TGATTTTGATTTTTACTTTGTATTGATTAGTCTTTTTCCTGGTCCCTTATTTAAGTTTTCTAAATTCCTGTTATGAGTGAGACCATCTGGTATTTTTCTTTTTCTTTCTGACTTATTTCGCTGAGCATGATCCCTTCTAGCTTCATTCATGTTGCTGCAAACTGCATGTGTTTATCTTTTTTGATTGCTGAGTAATATTCCATGGTGTATATGTACCACATCTTCTTGATCCAGTCATCTATTTTTGGTCATTTGGGTTGTTTCCGTAGCTTAGCTATTGAAAATAGAACTGCTATAAACATACGGTGCAGGTGCCCTTTTGAATTAATGTTTCTGTGTCATTTGGGTAAATACCTAGGAGTGGAATTGCTGGATCCTATGGAAGCTCTATGTTTAGTAGGTCAAGAAATCTCCACAGGGCCTCCCTGGTGGCGCAGCAGTTGAGCGCTGGGTTGCGAAGCTGCTACAGCCTCTGCAGCACCAGTGTGATCCCCGGCTGCTCCCCGGCCACCAGAAGAGGGTCCCACATGGCGCGCAGACCTCTCCTGCCGCCCGCTGCTCCCCTCAGCAGTGTACTTCGGTCCTTCTGCCTGCTCTGCTCCCTGCTCTGACTCTGGTGAATCCTCTCACCCTCCCACGCTTCTGACTGTACCCAGTGCTTGTCTAAATAAATAAACAAACAAACAAACAAACAAACAAACAAATCTTAAAAAAAAAAAAGAAAGAAATCTCCACAAAGCTCTCCATAGTAGTTGGACAAGTTTGCACTCCCACCATCAGTGCAGGAGACTTTCTTGAAAGGAAAAATTTTAAGGGCCTCCCTGGTGGTGCAAGGAGTTACGACACAACCTATGAAAGGAAAAATTTTAAAGGGAATAACGCAAATAAATAAATCCTACTTTAAAATTTTTTGACATAATTATAGACTTAGAAAAAACCTGAAAGAATAATACAAAGAATTCTTATATATATATGTGTGTGTGTGTGTGTGTGTGTAACAACATATATATATAAGAATGTGCATATCTTATATATGTATATTGTTATATATAAGAATATGTTATATATATATATGTCTGCAGGCTGGGCTGGGGCCAGTCTGTAGGTCGAACTCTTCAGCCTCCAGGCTGGGTTAGGTCCGGCCTGCAGGTAGACATCCTCAGCCTCCTGGCTAGGCAGGGACCTGCCAGAAGGTTGACCTCCTCACTCTCCAGCCTGGGCTGAGGCCGGCCTGCAGGTCAATCTCCTCAGCCTCCAGGCTGTACCAGGGCAGCCCCGAATGTCGACCTCTTCAGCCTCCAGGCTGGGCTGGGGCCTGCCTGCAGGTGGACCTCCTCTGCCTCCAGGTTTAGGCTGGTCCCGGCCTGTAGGTCAACCTCCTCAGCCACCAGGCTGGGCTGGGTCCAGCCTGCAGGTTGACCTCCTCAGCCACCAGGCTGGGCTGGGGCCTGCCTTCAGGTCGACCTCCTCAGCCTCCAGGCAGGGCTGGGTCCAGCCCTCAGGTGGACCTCCTCAGCCTCCAGCCCAGGCTGGGGACGACCCTCAGGTCGACCTGACAGCCTCCAGGCTCCGCTGGGGCTGGCCTGGTGGTCGATATTCTCAACCTCCAGGCTGGGCAGGGGCCAGTCTCACGTCGACCTCCTGAGCCTCCAGGCTGGTCTGGGGACAACCTGCAGTTCGATCTCCTCAGCCTCCAGGCTGGGCTGGGTCCGGCCCTCAGGTCGACCTCCTCAGCCTGCAGGCTGGGCAGGGGCTGAACTTCAGGGCGAACTCCTCAGCCTCAGGGCTGTGCTGGGACAGACCGGAATGTCGACCTCCTGAACCTCCAGGCTGGGCTGGGGCTGGCCTGCAGGTCGACCTCCTCAGCCTCCAGGCTGGGCTGGGGCCTGCCCGCAGGTGGACCTCCTCAGCCTCCAGGCTGTGCTGAGGCAGACCTGCACGTTGACATCCTCAGGCTTCAGGCAGGGCTGGGGCCGGCCTGCAGGTCGACCTCCTCAGCCTCCAGGCTGTGCTGGGGCAGAACCGTGTGTCCACCTCCTCAGCCTCCAGGCTCAGCTGGAGCCATCCCACAGGTCAACCTCCACCGCCTCCAGGCTGCGCTGGGGCCGGCCCACATGTCGACCTCCTTAGCCTTCAGGCTGGGCTGGGGCCTGCCTGCAGGTGTACCTCCTATGCCTCGAGGCTTGGGCTGGTCCAGGCCTTCAGGTCTACCTCCCCAGCCTTCAGGCTGGGCTGGACCCAGCCCGCATGTCGACCTCCTCATCCTCCAGGCTGGGCTGGGGCCTGCCCGCAGGTGGACCTCCTCAGCCTCCAGGCTAGGCAGGGTCTGGTCTGGTCCGCAGGTCAACCTCCTCAGCCTCCAGGCTGGGCTGGGGCCTGCCCGCAGGATGACCTCCTCAGCCTTCTGCTAGGCTGGATCCGGCCCAGGTCAGCCTCCTCAACCTTGAGGTTGGGTTGGGGCCGGCCCGTAGGTTGACATCCTCAACTTCCAGGCTGGTCTGGGGCTGCCTACAGGTCGACCTCCTCAGCCTCCAGGCTGAGCTGGGGCTGGCCCGCAGGTCGCAGGTCGACTTCCTCAGCCATCAGGCTGGGCTGGGTACGGCCTGCAGTTGATCTCCTCAGCTTACAGGCTGGGCTCAGTCTGGCCTTCAGGGCGAACCCCTCAGCCTCCAGGCTGTGCTGGGGCAGAACCATGTGTCCACATCCTCAGTCTCCAGGCTCAGCTGGAGCCATCCCTCAGGTCAACCTCCACCGCCTCCAGGCTGCACTGGGGCCGGCCCGCATGTAGTCCTCTCAGCCTCCAAGCTGGGCTGGAGCCTGCCTCAGGTGTACCTCCTATGCCTCGAGGCTTGGGCTGGTCTAGCCCTGCAGGTCTACCTCCTTAGCCTCCAGGCTGGGCTAGAGCCAGGCCGCATGTCGACCTCCTCATCCTCCAGGCTGGGCTGGGTCCAGCCTGCAGGTCGACCTCCTCAGCCTCCAGTCTTGTGCTGGTCCCTGCCTGGTAGTGGTCCTCCTCAGCCCCCAGGCTGGCCTGGGAGTAGCCTATAGGTCGACCTCCTCAGCATTCAGGCTGGGCTGTGTCCGGCCTTCAGGTCGACCTCCTCAGCTGCAGGCTGGGCTGGGGCCCGCCTGCAGGTCGGCCTTCTCAGTTTCCAGTCTGGGCTGGGTCCAGCTTGCTGGTCGATCTCCTCAGCCTAGGCTGGGCTGGTGCCGGCCCGCATGTCGACCTCCTCAGCCTCCAGGTTGGGATAGGGCCGGCCCACTTGTTGATCTCCTCACTCTCCAGGCTGGGCTGGGGCTGGCCTGCAGGTCGACCTCCTCAGCCTGTGTATACATGTATACACATATATATTTCATCCATATTGTCCAAATATGAACACTTTACCTTACTTATTTGCTTTTATCATGTCTCTCTTTCACTCTACCTCCCTTTCACACACATACAACCCCCCCCCCGCACACACACACTTATTTGAAAGTAAATTGAAAGCAAATTTACCATTACTCTGAATAATATAATGGATGTCTTCTAAAAACAAGGAGATTCTCTTCTCATCATCAGGAGATTATCACTGATCCAGTACTACCTTTTAACAAACAGACCTTATTACAGTTTTATCAACTATCCAACTAAAGGCCTTTATAGAAAGAGGAAAAAATATCATCCAGGATCCAGCACTAGCTAACTGTAAATATTGCATTTGGATTTCATGTTTCTTTAGTCTCTTTTAATCTGAAACAATTCTTGAGTCTTTCTTTGTCTTTCACAAACTAGTTTAAAATTTTATTTAGAATATGTATCATAATATTGACAAATCATTACCTATAGAAACAGCACAAGAATCCTGAGTTCATACTGATATACAAAAATTAATATATGAGGAAGAAGGACAAACTCTTCCTGAAGAGAATGTCGACAAATAATGCAGAAGGAAAGACAGAAAGAGAAAAATCACCATTTGACAGCTATAATAGTAATAATGAGATAAAAGTCATCTGTGTATGCTAAAACTAGATAGTTTCAAAGTATTTCCCCACAAAATGAGTATTAATTAAAAGAGAAAACCAGTAGTTTTACATTGAAGACAGCAGGAAGACACCACCTAACTTAACAAGGGATCAAAGTTAATATGACCAATAATGATAAAATTAATCAGTGTGTGCCTTCTGATACGATGACTAAGAAGAACACAATATTGTTTCTTTTATATTCCTTGTCATGCTGTATAACCTGAATTTAAAGTAAAGAAACATCAGGCAAGTCTAAATTGAGAGACAATATACAAAATATATGACTTATACTCTTCAAATTCTTGTAACCAGAAAACTGATAACATCCTCGATAGCCCTAGTTTAGAGTAAATATGTGTGGTAGAGTAGTTGAGAGAGATCCAGTTCTTCAGGACTAAAGCCAAGTCTTTTTTAATCTGGTGATACTCCAGGTCTCTCCCTCAGGAAACAACTATGCCCATCAGGATGCACCAGGATCAGAGGTGCTGTCCCCACCTCCTACTTCCATGATTCCAGGAGTCCTTATATCCAATGTAAAATGTCTATTGTGAGCCTTGGAGTACTCTAGAATTTGGAGGTATTTTTCCAAGAATATAAAATGTCGGACAAATAAGAGGAAGTACTACCTGATGCAGAAAGTAGAAATTTCTTAATTCTAGGGAGTAAGAACTAAGAAATTAAAATGGTTCAGGAAGAGAAAAGTGAATTTTCAGATGACAGTGTTAAGAGACAATTCATTAATGGAGTTCAATCTTTCTGAAGTGAATTGGAAGGCTAGGAAGAGTCTTTGTGGACACAATTCTTCCCTAATGCACCCTCTGGTTTCCCTGATAGCACTACCAGCCTCCTCAGTGAACTCTAGGTGGTAGGTCCGATGGGTTTCCATCAAGGTAGCATCTCTGGGCCCAGGACAATGGACTTTCCTGTTTCCTCTGGAGAATGCAGATGGGAACAGAAAGCAGGACACAGCCTCTTGGGTTATTTTCTAGTGACCTATGGAATGACAAGCTCCAGTGCCTATTACTACACCAAAGTGATGTCTGAGCTCTTCTTACATACCCCATCAGACACCGGAGTCTCCTTTCAGGCAATCAGCAGCATGACGGACTTCTGGGATGTAAGTATGAGGTTTCTACCCCTCCCCTCTCCTTCTCAATGGTGTGAAGTGTGAGGCCACAAGCCAAAGTTCAGGGATGTCAGATGGTGGATCTGGCCATATCCAAAGACTAGGTCAGTCTGTGATTGGGGAAATTCAAAGGGTCAAGCAAGAATTAATGGGTTGGATCTGAGTTCAAGTAGATGTTGATCAGAGGGTCAAGCCAACGTGACTAGAATTGGGAGTCAGAGGTAAAGCTGGACTTCAAAATGCTGTTTCAGTAAAGAATAAAGCCATATCAAGTCAAGAGCTGGTCAAGGTTTATGGGTCAGCTGAGAAGTCCAATAGAAGCTGACTGGAGACAAGATGGAGGGTCTGGGAGGGAGGGCAAAGGTCATTCTAAGGGTAGGGGTCAGGAGAGGCTGGATCAGGCCCAATCCAGCTTTGTGGTTTAGTTTGCCCAGGGTCCACTACTGGACAGTTTATACTGGACCAAATGGTACAACAACCAGAGCCTGGGTCATGGCTCCCACTCCTTCATCTACTATGAGAATCTGCTGCTGGGGGTTCCAAGACTGCGGCAGCTCAGGGTCCGCAATGACTCCTGCGTGGTGCATGAGGACTTCCGTGAAGACATTTTGAGCTGCTATGATGTCTACTCTCCTGAAAAAGAAGAGAAACTCCCCTTTGGGCCCTTCAATGGAACAGCGTGAGTCTCCCCACCAATGTTGCAGGGCTTGTCCCTCTGGGCCTGACACCATCCCCAGGTTTGGGAACCACTTCCACTGAGTCTTAAAGAAACTTGGGAGTACTTGGAGAGAGCAGGGGTACATCTCTCTGAATCCCAAGTATCACTGTTTAGAGACAGTGGTCTCAGTCACTCAGGAATAGAGAAGATGTATTAGCAGGCAGAGCCATATCTTCTGGACTTGTTCTGCACACAGGTCCTGCCAGAGAAGACATCCTTTCTTGCCCAGAAGTCCCTTGGGGGCATGGAGAATGGATGAAACATTGATGCTGCCACATGAGTTGGGGTTGGAAGAATCTGACCCTTGGAACTGATAGGGGAGCACAGTCTGAAGGATGGATGGGGAACTAAAGCAGAAAGGGGAAAGGGTGTATAGGTCAGAAAGAAGATGGCAACAACGGTCTAAGGAGGAAAGCTTATAGACAGAACAAAGAATCAGTGGGGCAAGCAACCAGGTGTACAAGCACAAGAATAGAACGGGTCTTTTCTGGATGGTATGAAACAGGAGCTTACCTCATGTTGACCACTCAGGCTGAGGTAAAAGGTGGGGCTAGGGTCTATCATCCATTGTCTTGGGTGACATAAGAAAATTGGAGATTGACATCTGCTGCTAACTAACTGGATTATCTTACACACCTCTGAGCCTTAGTTTCCTCATCTGCAAAATATGGATGATATATGCCCTCTTTGGCCAACCAGTTATCAGGATCAAACAAGATATTTTATGTGAAATATATATTATGATAGGTGAAACGAAATTCTCTATGATCTTAGGGAATCGTAAGGTGTTGCCATTGCCTCGGGACACCAAGTTTTAGTTGACTCTGACCTTTACTCTTCTTCTGTGTCAGGTGGACATACCACTCGCAGGATGAGCTGGGAGGCTCCTCCCACTGGGGCCTACTCACCAGCTACAGTGGAGGTGGCTACTACCTGGACCTTCCAGGGTCCCGACAGGCCAGTGCAGAGGCTCTCCAGGAGCTTCAGGAGGGGCTGTGGCTAGACAGGGGCACCCGGGTAGTATTCATCGACTTCTCAGTCTACAATGCCAACATCAATCTTTTCTGTGTGCTGAGGTGGGTCCTTCCCTAAACTTCGACTCTATAGTAAGGGTGGGGGGAGAGATGATGGGAAGAACTGCTCCTCTTCCACCTCCTCCCACAGACTGGTGGTGGAGTTTCCAGCTACAGGAGGGGCCATCCCATCCTGGCAAATCCGCACAGTCAAGCTGATCCGCTATGTCAGCAACTGGGACTTCTTTATTGTTGGCTGCGAGATCATCTTCTGTGTCTTCATCCTCTATTATGTGGTAGAAGAGATTCTGGAGCTCCACATCCACCGGCTTCGCTATCTCCGCAGCATCTGGAACATCCTGGACCTGGTCATCATCTTGGTGAGGGACAGTTGCTGTTGGACATGAGATGTGTCAGGATAAGGGGGAGATACACCCTGATAGGGACTCCAAATTGTTCCCTTTGGAGCCCCAAGACGCCTCATAATTACTGATCAGGTCACCATGTGACAAATCCCTAAGCCAGAGGCGGGTGTTCCCCTGGCTCATTCTGGGGAAAACCCTGTTTCTCACATCCCCTCTCCCTCTGCCTGTAATCCAAGTCCTGCTCTCTTCTTTATGCGTTTGACAACATGTTCCTCTCTGTCCCTTGCCTTTTTGACCTGCCCCTTTGAAACTCCTTCCTTTTCTCTTGTCTTCTATCAAAATAGTCTGCATCTCCCCTTTTCTCCTTCCTATTAACAAGACATATTTATTTCCTGCCCAAAGCTGGGAAGTGTTGGGAGAAATAAAATTACTTGGTTCCAGTTCTCTGGTGTCCTTGATAAGAACACTGTGTAACTTACCACTGGCCCCACAGCCTTTTCCTCGACTTTAAGATGCTCCCAATCATCCTGTTCACTTCTATTTGTACCTGAAGTAGTAGACAACTCAGCAGGGAGGGACTTTTCCCCCACCTGTCTTGCCTACCCCAGCTCTCCCCTGGGACATTTTTTAATTCCCTTTGAGATTCTCCTTGACTATCAAGCCCCCCTTTGCCCCCTGTGATGGCAGCTCTCCATTGTGGCTGTGGGCTTCCACATATTCCGAACCCTCGAGGTGAATCGGCTGATGGGGAAGCTCCTGCAGCAGCCAAACTCATATGCAGACTTTGAGTTCCTCGCCTTCTGGCAGACACAGTACAACAACATGAATGCTGTCAACCTCTTCTTTGCCTGGATCAAGGTACCCTGGGACTCCCCACCCCCAGCTCCATATCTGGGCACTCATTCTCCCTTCCTCAGTACTTGTTTCATTTCCCTCGTCTTGTTTGGTAGCTCCTGTGGCCTCTAGAGGCTATGGAAGTAGACTGTTCAAAGATTTTCTCTTTTCTTTTTTCAATGCTTGGCTCAACACGGTCCTTCAAGGTATTTAAGTACATCAGCTTCAACAAAACCATGACCCAGCTCTCCTCCACACTGGCCCGCTGTGCCAAGGACATCCTGGGCTTTGCTGTCATGTTCTTCATCGTTTTTTTTGCCTATGCTCAACTCGGCTACCTGCTTTTTGGGACCCAAGTGGAAAACTTTAGCACTTTCATCAAGTGCATGTGTGTATCCTGTCCCCTTCACTGATCCCAGCCCCTCCCACTCCATAGTGTATGTGTGTGTGTGTGTGTGTGTGTGTGTCCTTAAGGGTGCTAGGTAAATATGTGTGGGCATGTCTGTGCTTGAAACATCTGTATGAGAGTCCTCAGAAGCCTGGTGTGTGCTCGGGGTTCTGTGCACCTGTCAGGTTGGATTGGAGGTGCAATGGGGGGGGGTCTATATTCAGAGTTCACTGAAGAGCAAAGAGCAGTAGTTAGACGAGTGGGATGGGTTATAGATTGGAGTCAGAGATATGGTGGGGCTCTGGGTGAGGCCCAAACCCTTGTCTTTCAGTTTTACTCAGTTCCGGATCATCCTTGGGGACTTCGACTACAATGCTATTGACAATGCGAACCGCATCCTGGGACCTGCCTACTTCGTCACCTATGTGTTCTTTGTCTTCTTTGTGCTCCTGGTGAGGGCCCTTCTGAGGGTGGGGCTCTGAGGGATAGAGATGGAGAAGGCCTGCAGAGGGGGGTTTTGTGGGAGAGTGTAGAACAAAAACCTGACGAGTCAAGAGTAGGATGGGTTCCTCAAATCAAGGATGGAGAGTGGGGGTAGGGATCTTCTGAGACCTGGCTAATGTGGCCAGTGTGGTCAGCACCAACATATGCAGAGGAATATGCAGGCCCCTCACTTAAATCAAACCCTTGTCCTTCAAGGAGAAAAGGGATATAAGTGTTTCATGAGAAGGAGCTGCACCTGAAAACTTCTAGCTCCATTCTCCAAGACTTCCCTTCCGGGAATCTCAGACTCTTTCTGCTACCACTGCTTTGTATTTATTCTCTTTCCCTGCCAACCATGAAAGGTCTGGGTTTGAGTTTCATTAACAAAGTCACTAATACAATTTTCTTTATTTTTAAAGTCCTTTTTAAAAGATTATTTATTTATGCATACAAGAACCTGGGTACAGGCCAGAAGTGTGTGTGGGGGGTGGGGGGGGTGAGAGGATTTGCCACAGACAGAGTTGGGAACAGAACAGGGAGACCGACTGAAATACACTGCTGAGGGGAGCAGTGGGCGAGACAGGAAAGGTCTACTGCGCCATATGGGTTGCTCCCTGGCTAGCCAGGGATTGAACTCGAGCTGCAGTGACCGGATAGCTTCACAGGTTGCATCTTAACCCCTTGCGCCACCAGAGAGGCCCCGATACAATTTTCTTTATTTGACCAATAGATGCGATACAGACATGGATTGGGGCAGATGATAAACAGAGTACAACTACTCCCTCACCTTGAAAAGTTTCTGGTTCCAGTGCCTAGTAGACCCTTATGTGGAAGGGATAGGTAGAATATGTTGGGGTATCACTGTAGCTGGGTTATGCAGCAACTGAGTAAGGACACCAGGTTGATGAGGGAGCATGGTCCACCCTTAACAGGATGCTCTGAAAGGTTGGACTCTGGGGGCCCTGAGATATGAGTCCCCATGTAGACTGCAGAGCTGGGGTTGAAAGCAGAGGCCCTTTTAGAACATGTGTCTGAGATCTTAGTAGGGTCAGTGGGCTCAATGCTTTTAGTGGGTCTGAGGGTAATAAAGTGTCCTACTTTATTCTCCAGAACATGTTCCTGGCCATCATCAATGACACATACTCAGAGGTCAAGGAGGAGCTGGCTAGACAGAAGGATGAGCTGCAGCTTTCTGACCTCCTGAAACAGGTGACTGACTCCTCCATCATCTTGAACCACACATCAGCATCAGGGCTCAGACTCTGTCCTGGTCTGTCCCTGACCAGTGTAGAGGCCATGGTCTTGTGTGCCTTTGATTTAATCCTGGCAGCCTGTGGTGGCGGCAAGAGATAAGGAGGAGGTTGTGGGAACAGGACTTGTTTCCTTTTTCCTCTCAGGGCTATAACAAGACCCTACTGAGGCTGCGTCTGAGGAAAGAACAGGTTTCAGATGTGCAGAAGGTCCTGCAGGGTGCAGACCAGAAGATCCAGTTTGAAGATTTCACCAATACCTTGAAAGAGTGAGAAACCAGAGATCCAGGCTTCCTGGCATTGGTCATATACCCTTTGCCTACAAGCCTCTGCTTTTGGCCTGTAGGTCTCTGATCCTGACCTTCAGAATTGTGCCCTTGATTTACAGGTCTCTGAACATATTCAGTAACACTTTGGACCTTGTTGAACAACTCCTAGGAGTAATGTGATAAAGTAATCCCCTAGTTACTACATACATCCCTCAACCCCACATAACTCTGCTCTTAGATCTATATTCTTCCACATATGCCATTCCCTTAGCCATTTCTCCCTGCTTCCCAGCTAAACATATAAGCAAACACTGAACAAATAAATTGTAAGCAGTGCTGTGAGCTGGGCAATAAGCAGGGCCCAAATTAAATGAGACACAGTCTTTATCTTCTAGGAGTTCATAGACATGTAAGCAAATAATTTGGAGCACAGAACAAGTTCAGCAAAAAAGTGACCTGTGAGAGAGTCATCAATTTGATCTTTAAGTTTAAGAGAAGACTTCTTGGAAGAGGTAATGCTTAAGAATGGTCTTAGAGAATAAAGAGCTTACATATGGACAAGCAGAGGAAGCAATTCCACAAGAGGAAAGCTTCTACAAGGACACAGAGATCTGCAGCACACAGCAGTAATGAGTAGCTGAGTCTTGCTAAAGGGCCAAGTAAAATGTGGGGCATACCAGGAGAAGTGGTCAGAGAAAGGGGCGCCAGCCACTTTGGGAAAGGCAGCCTGGCAGCCTGTGGGTGAGGGCAAGAGATGATCACCAGTGTATCCAAAGAACAGGGTGCCCAGGAGGGATTTTAAGCAAGGAAGAGGTATATTTAGTCCTGCTCTTAAAAAATATTAATTACTCTGGATTTCAGGGGTAGGGAATGAAGGGGAAGCCTGGAGATAGGGGGTAGATGGGTTTTCCAGAGCAGAGAGATTTTCTAATAATCCCTATAGGAAATCACAGGGCCTGAACTTAGCTGGCAGGAGTCAAGGGAGGAAGAAATAGATTCAAGTGATTTCTTGGAGGTAAAATTGCTCACCCTTGGACATCCTGACCTTCCCATGTAGCCCCCCTTTTCCCCAGAGAGCAAAACTCTTGCCACAGTCTGGCGAAAGAGTGGAGTCTGGAGAAATTGATAACAGAGAGATGACAGCCATGGCAGGGCAGAAGTCATTCTATCATCCTGTTCTCCGCAGACTTGGGCACGCAGAGCAGGAGATCACTGAGTTAACAGCCGCCTTCACCAGATTTGACCAAGATGGGAATCACATCCTGGATGAGAAGGAGCAGGACCAAATGAGACAGGGTCTGGAAGAAGAGAGGGTGAGCCCAGCTGGTTGGGGAGAGGCAGTGTAAAGAAGCTGCTCACCCTCCCTTCCCTGTCAACACACCCAGAACATGAACCCAAAACGAAAATCTTCAGATAGATGGACAGGAAACAACTCTCTGAAACAGTGGTTTGCAAACTGTTGCACACTAGAATACCCTGGGAGCTATTCAAAATCTTTATGCTCAGGCCACACACCCTAGACTAGATTCTCTAGGGGGCTCAGCATTGGTACTTTTTAGAAGTCCCCCAATGCGCAGTCAAGGCTGAGAACCATTGTTCCAAAATAGTCTTGGGGGAAAGGATCAGTTGCCTCTGAATCCTGGCAACTCTTTCTGAAGACTTGACATCTCTAGGATTTTCAAAGTCTGATCCTCAGCTGCCCCTGCTGTGCCTCCTTCATCCCCACCCAGGGGAGACCAAAAGGCCAAAGGCAAGAGGATACGCTGCAGGTATTCTGGTCTGTGCCTCCTCTCCCGAACTGAATGGGTTTCCAGGGAGCACTTGGTTAATCGAGGCTTCTAGAAGGGAGGGGAAGAGCAAGGACTGGACCCCAGGTCCTGGGAGTCCATTAAATCAGGTATTGGAACAGGAACAATGGTCTTCCAGTCATTTCCCTTCTCTGACCTCTGACTTCCTTGTCAAGGTGGCTCTCAACACTGAGATTCAGATCCTGGGCCAGTGCGTTGTGAATAGCCCACCAGGAGATTCGGTTCCAAAGGCTGCCGGAGCAGGTGGCGGGGTTTCAGGAGAAGAATTCTACAAGTACGCGAAACAAGAGCCCCAGGGCTGACTCTGATTGTAAAATCCTACTTTGATTTTCTTTCCACAATCTTCCAATCCCCTGACCTAGTCTAAGGAGAAACTCTGTCCTTTAATTCTCCCTATGAAGTAGGCCGTACCTTCCTTGCTCCCATTAAGAGATGCACCATTCTGTTCCCCACATATACACACCCTGGCCTCTACAGATACTCGGCCTCCCCAGACTCATATTTCTCCTCCCTTGGGATCTCTCAAACCCTGCACAGACTCACAAGGAGAGTCCTGCAGCTGGAGTCTGTTCTGGAAGGAGTTGTGTCCCAGGTTGATGCTGTGGGTTCAAAGCTGAAGATGCTGGAAAGGAAGGGGCAGCTGGCTCCCTCCCCAGGAATGGTGAGTGGCCCTTCACCTGGGGTCTCTTAACTCCCCACAGCCAAAATCTACAGTCATTTCCATAAGAGATGGAGGGGGGAAAGACAAAACATTTTTGAAAGACCTATGTTTTCAGTTTCCTGGGCAACATTTTCTTCAGAGTAGTCAGTATATCAGCAAAGGGGAGGGGGTAGAGGGAAGACCTGAATTTGGTCATTCGGGTCTAAGAAATGCCTTGGCCTTGGTGTGGGGCTGGAGAATCAGATCCAGATAAAAGGAAAGTGGGACACCAACTCCTCCTTCCAGTGACCCGTACCTTTTTTTTTCCCAACAGGGAGAACAAGGTGTTTGGGAGCACCTCCAGCCAGCTCCAGCTGTGACTCCAGCCTCCTGGGGAGTCCAGAATGGGCATGAGAATGATGGGGGAGGGGTCCTAAAGCACCAGAGAGCAGGCTTCTCTCCCTCTGCCTCCCCATAAGTGTCCTCTGCACAAGCCCTCCACTTGTAGGGCAGCTGCTCGAACCTCTGCTGCTGCCACTGAGTCCAACCCAGTGTCTGGTCTTTTGAGTCATTGTGTCTGTGTGTAGGCAGGTGTCATGCTTGGGCCTATGACTCAGCCTTTGTCTGTATAGCCACGCAACCCTGTAGCTCTGTGAAGTAACATTTTCCACCAGGTTTCTCACTCCCTCTCAGTCATGCTGTGACAACTAAAAAAAAAGGCAATCACAAACAGAACAAAGGAAAGGAGGGCAATGACCTTCCCTATGCACCCAGGTAGCCATGACTTGTGAAAAAAGCAGGAGGCAAGTGAGTGATAATATCTAGACCTCTTCCCAACAGCAGTGAATCTTATCCTTTGTGCATCTGGAGATCTTCTGCTAGTACCTCTGGGGTTCTTGTCTTCCCCATGGAGTTTCCCTGAAAGAGAAGGGGAAGCCTTTAGAGGAGAGATTTCCTCACTTGGGGGGAGATGACATGTGGCATGGAGTTGGAGTGATGTCCCCAGGGCCAAGTCCACCAAGACTCAGTGGAGGACCTGCTTTCCGGCATACCATTGAACACTAATAACTGAAGAGGCCGTAATCCAGGAGCCTAACTTGGGGCCTGAGGAGAACCGGGCAATGAAATGACCACAGGAAGTCAAGAATTTGTCACTAAGTGTGCTGGGCTCTGACTCTATTTTCCATAGGACAATGCGGGTTTCCCTGCTGACTATTAATAAAAATCCTTAAGAAAACAGGACTGTGCCTTTGCTTTGTGATGGCAAGGGAAAAAGAGAGGCAGGAACTGATCTGTTCTGTTCTTGGGCTGGGGAAAGCTCACCCCGAGGAGCTGTGGAGTGGGGCTGTGATGATGGAAAGGAGCTGGGTTGCTTTAAGTTCTGAAACAAGAACTTGTGGTTCTGAGGAGTGGCTTGAAATGGTAGGAGCTGTGATTGTACCATTAAAGAGAGTGCAGACAGTGACCTAGGGAGACCCTGTGCCTTCAGGGAGAGTAAAGTAGCCCTTACTTTGGGATCGGAGGTCCCTGTTGTGAGCGTTGTCTGGTATGGGAAGTGAGAGGGTGTGCATGGAGGACTGCAAGGGAGGACAGTAAGACAAAAATTCCTGCACCAAGATTTTGGGTGCTCAGGCCTGCATGGGGAAATCTGCTACATATATGCCCCCTCTCCCATCCCCTGTGACCTTTATTCCTTCCTCATTTTGAACTTTCTGTTGCTCCCCAGTAGTTTCTTTTCGTCCATTCCATTCCCTTCACCCACCCGGTCTCGCATTCCATCAAGTACACGCTATACCAAGGTGAGCTGTGAAGCAGCTAAATGCAATTAAGATAGCCAGAGTGGATTCTAGATCTGAAACAAAGTATGACCGGAAAATAATGTATGATCTAAGCTTTCTTCCAGAAAGGTGGTATCAATCCAAGAGAAGTAGGCACTGGCCTACAGCTTAAGCAAAAGGAACCAATGAGTTGCTGTAAATACAGGACACTGGAAGAAAAAATATTTAGGCTCAGGGGTCTATGCCTGGAGGCTTCCCAGCGCCTGGATGCGACTACCTTCAACTGCGAGGATTCCTGAGCAGTCTTTAGGCGACCAGTCCCGGCTGGGGTGTGGAGTCTCTGGGGAGGGAGTAAACTAGCTCAGCATATTTTGGTCAGCGGGACACCCCGGGTCCACCCACCCCAGGCAGTTGGTAGGTTTTGCTAAACGAGTGACACCTTTAGGGCATGGCTGCGGGGAGGGGCACACCCTCAGTTGCAGAAGTCGCCAGTCTTAAATGTGGAAGGGCTCCACACAGCCGGCCTCGCGCGCACACCCGGCGGTCACTGTCGTCGGCTCCCCTGAGCCCAGGGGCGGAGGGCGCGCGGGGCTGCGGGCCGCGGGCCGGACGCCGACGCGCATGCGCAGGCTCCCAGAACCGGAAGCGGCGCGGGTCCGGCATGGCGGCGGCTGCGGAGGGCGACCCGGCCCCTCTGCGAGAGGAGCCCGTTCGAGGTACTTGGAGTGGACGAACATGAAAAGTCCCGGGGGAGGCCTGGGCTTCCAAGTAGGGGCCCTGGGTGGCCGGGCTCACCGAGCAGGGCGGGCAGGTGGGAGGGGTGCACCTGTGTGTCTGGGAGTGTTTGTGCTGTCAAGGAGACAGGGTTTGGCCGCCGGTTGGTGGAGAACTGAGGGGTCGGCGGGTGGAGGCGGGTGGAGAAGTTGGCGTGTTAAGTGGGGCAAGGGCGCAAGGGGGACTTGAAATTCTGGCTCAGAATGGAGCCGATGTGATCGAATGACAGGTGGAGGGATGTGGGAAGAGGCTGCTGTGCGTTGGGACCCAGTGTAAGGCAGGACACCCATTCTCTCTTGACCCAGACGATGCCGCGGTGGAGACAGCTGAGGAAGCGAAGGAGCCCGCAGAGGCTGACATCAATGAACTCTGCCGGGACATGTTCTCCAAAATGGCAACTTACCTGACCGGGGAACTGACGGGTGAGCTGGAGTGTGGGTTGATTCTGGTAGCCTGATGCACCACTCTCTGGAACGGTGGGAGAGGGGTGAGGTGCTTCAGCAGCATCAGTCGATGATCACTCCAGATTCCCTGAAATATGCCTGTGGGAAGTTTGGGGAGGTCATGAATGCTGAACGAGGGACGGGTCCTGACTGCTCCGCTCATTCCTCTACCCCCACCCCCCAGCCCCGGGGGAAATTCACGAAATATTTTCCGTTTCCGAAATATAAGAATTAATACAACTCTGTGGAACTCCGTGGTGTAGACTAAAACAGAAAAAAAAAAAGGAAGTGAGTCCTTGTGGAAAGTGTATGTTGAGCAAAGTTGAGAAAGGAGTTAACGACTAGTGAGTGGAGTGGTGGTATAAACCACGGGTGTGGTTGTTGTTTTGGCTACAGTGGGTGTATTTACTCGGCCAAAGAGAAATTAAATTGGTGAATGGGTTGTGACCTGCAACTTTAGGGACTCGTTAGGTTGGTTTGAGGATTTGGTGACCCAGCCTTTGGGACGTGTGTGTGTGTGTGTGTGTGTGTGTGTGTGTGTGTTTCCAGGTGAACATATAACTCATGTGTAGAGGAGCGTCTAAAAAAAGAGTCGGGTTCAGTGTGGCTTCTTGTAAGCAATTATTATACAGTTTTTCTTTCCCAGGAAATTGCTGTGAGCTAAATTTGGAAATCAGACTCTATGAGAAAAGGCTTAAGGCAGAATAGGAGGGTTTATCAATCTGACTACTTATTACCAAGAGAAACCAAGTAACAAAATCTAGATTCTTGTCTTTTTTAAATTTATAAAGATTTGGCGATACTAATTGAGGCTATAATTGACTAGAACTGAGCAGTTGTCTCTTACATAGGTTAGTGATGTGCAGGGAGTCCATTCCCTGTTTTCTTCCTCTTGCTGAGAACTGGTGTCACCTACTATTTACCACTATTATTATACTGTTGCTTTTCAACTTAGTGGTACGGAAATGGTTTTCTGTACTAGTTTCTCTATTAACATTGGTAAAATAAACAATAGACTTACAGAGAACCACATATTCCAAGAAGTGAGAGAGAGCATATTTCTTTGTGGAAATGAGTAATTTTTCTAATGTGTTTAATATATGAACATCTTGTTTGCTTCACACATTTATATTATTTTTCTGGCTTCTGGGTATTTGAGTGTGTGACCCTTGTTTTAGAGAAACTAATACGATAGCACTGACTATGACTATGGAGGAGAGATACCAGAGATAGATGAGCAATGTTTCAGGTGGAAAATAATCATGGTCTGTGAGAGAGTGATGAGAAAGGAACAGAGTGATAAAAAGGAACAGGAGAGAGCACAGGTGCAAGAACACAACAAAATGGAATTTATAGGACTTGTTGAAGTGTTATGGTATTGAGGAATGGGAGCAGCCTGACATGGTATGAGATTTTAAGCTTTTGTGGTATCATCGAGACAGAGAAGTTGGAAAGAGGAACCATATCCTAGTGCAAAAATAATACTTTCAGTTTTGGCTTAACTGATTTTAGATATTATCAGGACACTCAGGTGACCATTTTCAGGATGCTCAGGCAACTTGAACATGTGAGTCCAGAGTATGAGGAGTACTCAGAGCAGGAGAAATGGATTGGGAGTCACCTGCATAGTGGTGTGAGTTGCGCAAAGGATGAGATTGCCAAAGATTTGCTTAGAGTGCAAATAAAAGGCTCTAGACTAAAATCTTAGGGAAAAGGGCAATTAATTTGCCTTTAATTTCAGTATTTAAGGTACCTAGGTGTTCAGTTGATTTATTTATTATAAAAATAAAGTTAAGCAGATTATAATTTTCCTGTAATTGCCATTCATTCTTGCTTGCACAAATGCTTTCTTAAGTTTGAGAGGAAGCTAGCATAACCTTAGGAATGCCCATGGGGATGTGCCACCCATGTAAACATGAGTCATATGTTATAATTAAGAAAAAGCTGAGAACTAGTAGTTAAAAGGCTTGGATAAGAAAGGATTTGACATAGAAAGTGAAAGAGCAGTTAGAAAGAGTTTAGGAAACCAGGAGCAGTACAATGCCAGAGCAGCCGAAGGAAATGAACATTTCCAGAAGAGAGCTAGCTCAGTGGTGTCAGATACTATGGAGAGGTTCAGGAGGATAATAACTGAGGATGTCATGGGTTTGGTGTTTAGGAGAACAGTGATATTTTGGAGCATGCAGTTTCTCTGGATGGTGGGAGGAGAGGCCCACCTTCCAAGTTTATATGAGTGAATGGTGAAGAAAAGGAAGCAGTGAGTGAAAGCTGCTCTTAGACGTTAACAGTGAAGCACCTTTGCCTTACTAAGCAAATAGTATAGGTCTAGCTGAATGGAGGCAGTGGTTTTGGGTTAGAGAAACCCCAATGGAGATATTTCTAGATAGAGAGGAAGGTTTCAGCATGGAGAGAGATCTTGAAAATGCAAGAGAAGGGAGATGACTGAAGAGAGTTCCTGAGGAGGTAGAAAAGTTGGGATCAATGGCACAAGAGTTGTTGTTTTGGCAGAAACACTTCTGCCTCTTGGGAAAATATGCTACAGAAGAGTTTAGACGAGAGGCAGAAAGGTTGAGGGAACTTATGTAAATGGACTTGGCTTTTAGGAAAATTGGAATAAAGGCCAATTGTTTTGAGTAGGGTGGGGAAGGGAATTGAGGATATGAAAAGAAGGCAAATGGTTTGGAAAACTAAGTGCATAAAATACAAGATGGAATCACTGTAATAAATGATTTACTTAATAGTGGTGTGATCCTAGTTGATTTTACGTATGTATGTATGATGCTATCTTCCAGATTACATGTTTTCAAGTTGTAGAGATACCAGGACTATATTTTACCTCCCTTTTTTGAGCACTTAAGTTTATCTTTTACCTTTCTAGCCAAGATGATTAAGCTTCTGGTTCTTACTTGGTTGCTAATATTGTCTGAGTCTCTAGATGTTCCTAGTACACAGGCTGTGTATGAATGTCATAGATCAAAAATCACCTGATCCTTTGACAGTCCCCAGGTCCAGCCTTGAACAACCACTTGACCGATAATTCCACGCTCCAGTGATCTAAGATTTAATCTTAAAGGCATCCTCTCTTCTGTTTGTTTTAAAGCCACTAGTGAAGACTATAAACTCCTGGAAAATATGAATAAACTAACCAGCCTGAAGTATCTTGAAATGAAAGATATTGCTATAAACATTAGTCGAAACTTAAAGGACTTAAACCAGAAGTGTAAGTAATAAAATTTATAACTAAACGTGTTTGTTTTTAATGTTTTTTTTTTTTTTCTTTTGTGCTTGGGGCTGTGGAGAAGGGGTGGGAACATGGCCCTTGTCCTCAGAGAGCTCATCTCCTAAAAGTGAATTACAAAGTAAAGGTTAATTTCTTCCATTCTGAGGATTAGCATGCTTAGTGGTGTGATTATTTCTGCTTCTGAATCTTAATTTCATTGGTTTCTTCTGGAAAAGGGGGGTCAGGGCAGAGGAAAAGTGACTAGATTCTAATAAATGGATTTAACAATGAAATATATAAAGGACTACTCTATAAACAGAAAACTAGAACATCTGTAAATGAAAAATGCTAATTAGAGCGGCAAAAGAGACATTTCCATTGTCATTTGTGTTCCCTGTCTCTAGTTTATTCTTTCTTGTTCTGGGAGTACCCGAGAAATTGAATCAGTCATGGAAAGTTTGCTTGGAGAGCAATGCATGTAAAAGAGAGGAAAACTAGTAGATGAAAAGGACTTATTTGTTGAGTTCATGCCTGATCAACTAGCTACTGTTTTCTAAAAAATCTGCCCTGCTAGTCATCAAAATCATGTTACCCCAGCTAGTCTGCCTCACGTAGAGCTGGAGAGACATTCACATTCTCACTTTCCCTTTCTTCCACACTCCTGGATGATGCTGTGTAAACATGTGACCTGTCTTTGTTTTTAAAGATGCTGGATTGCAGCCTTATCTGGATCAAATCAATGTAATTGAGGAGCAGGTAGCAGCTCTTGAGCAGGCAGCCTACAAGTTGGATGCATATTCAAAAAAACTGGGTAACCATTTTTATTTCTGTTTTGATTTGATGCCAGTATGACCTTAACTAATATGATACCTAACATTTATGGTGCGCCTACAAAGATCTATTTTAATTTTCACAAAAGCTTAGTCAGAATAACTTTTTTAGTAGAGAAAAGTAACATTTCCTGAGTATTTAATGCTATATCAGATGCTGTTCTTAGGGTTTTACATGTATTATGTTTTTGTTTTTTTTTAAGTTTTTTTTTTTTTTAAATTTATTTATTTATTTATACAAGCACTGGGTATAGTCAGAAGCGCGGGAGGGTGAGAGAATTCACCAGAGCCAGAGCGGGGAGCAGAGCAGGCAGAAGGACCGAAGTACACTGCTGAGAGGAGCAGCTGGCGGCAGGAGAGGTCTGCGCGCCATGTGGGTCCCTCCTTCTGTGGCTGGGTTGCAGCCGGGGATCGAACTGGCGCTGCAGAGGCTGCGGGCAGCTTTGCAACCCAGCGCTCAACCGCTACGCCACTGGGGAGGCCCTACATGTATTATGTTTTTTATCTTCCCTGTAATTACAAGATAAGTACATGATTTTCACCTCCATTTTACTGGTTGAAGTGGTTAAGTAGCTTGAGTAAGAATACAAAGCTAGTATATAGAAGACCTAGTATACATGTGATGCAGCAGGCTAAAGCATCTTGAATAATGTAGATACATGCCTTAAAAAAACAGTGGTCAATTAAGGTTTTCATGATGGAATACTTTTCCTTTAAGGATGCTGGTAGTGCTTATGACTTACTGACTATGGCTCTTTTATTTTATTTTAAATTAAATTTCATTTAATTATTTTTGTCCATGATTAAAGATAATGAATTTGTTTTAGTTCTAGGTATAATTTGCACATTATTTTATTTTCATCAACAATGGTTTTGCTACTTCATGAGAGTGGTTTGTAGCTGAGATTTGACCAGGGTGGTGACATGGGCAGTGATTAACAGTCTCATTGTCCACAATTGAGTTTACTTAATATGTAGAAGGCATTGTACCAGGTACTTTTGACGTTTCAAAGAAATCTATCACATTGAGAGGCTTATTTGATGGTGTAATAAATCTCTCTTTCAGAATTGCTTTCCTAGAGTGAGAGGTAGGAATTAATAAACAAAAGGTGGGAACATACATTTATATTTCCTGAGAGTTCCATTCTGGCTCCCAGAGATACCTGGGACAGTAACGTGGATAGTAATTTCCTGTGCTTTTGGAAGGCTTCTTCTGGTGGCTCAAGTGCCAGTATATCCAGAGGTGCTATTTACAGGGTTAAAACTTAGTAACCTTATGTTGGGTTCTCAATTGTGTGTGTGTATGTGTGTTTGTTTGAATATTTAAGTTGTGCTCGTTACCGATCTGTTTTTTGGGACAGATGATGAAATGAAAGCTAATGTAGGTGTTTTTGAATTTGCCTGGAAACGCTAACCAAAAAGTGTCTATGTAAGGTTCAGTTTTAAAAAATATAACTTCCTTTTTCTTTCTCCCAAGCAGAAGCCAAGTACAAGAAGCTGGAGAAGCGATGAAATGCTTGTTCCTGTGGGACAGTCTTTTTTAATGTGGAAGAATATTTTATAAGACATGAATCTTGAGACTGATGAATTGTCAAAACTCCTTGGAAGGAACTATGCTGCTCTTCCCAGAAATATGCCAACATTGGAGTAAACTGGAGGACTGTGGCCACTCCTGAATGTCTTTTGAGGCAGTATCCCTCAGAAACTCATACTAATAATTCCTTAACTTTTACTTGAATGTTTCATTGTCCATTCAGGACAGGGAGTCTCTCAGAGTTCAGGATAAACCTGGGCTTGCCAGTAAAATCAAATGAGAGGACCTATTTATTCTGGCGGTGGTTGATACTACATTATTTTCTTAGAAGGCTGGTTTTTGAGTTACTCTGTAAATGGTTGTTCTGTTAACGATGCTATTGCATTGCTAACAAGATACTGAAATAAAAAAGGAAAAAAAAACCCTGTTTTTTACATTTTATCATTTTGTGAATGTCACTAATTTACTTTCCCATACCGTTACAATAACAGACAATCTTATAATAATTCCAGACTGAGTCTTCTAGACTGAGCAGAAACATCGAAAGAAGTGTTGCCATCTCTTGGGGTACGTGATGGGGCCCTGCTACCTCTTCTCTATGTGAGTCAGATGTCTGAGAAGTGAATGACATCGTGATATATGTTCCCCTTTGGATGTGTATATGTGTGTTGGAGGGGGAGATGGGGCTGCCACTCAGAAAAGAAAATTTTTTAAAGATTTATTTTTATTTATTTATGCGTACAAGAATGAGGTGTAGGCAGGGGGTGAGGGGATTCAGCAGAGCCAGAGCAGGGAGCAGAACAGGCAGATCTAATGGAATACACTGCTGAGGGGAGCACTGGGAGGTCTGCTGCACCATGTAGGTTAGCTTCCTGGCCAGGGATTGAATTCAGGCTGCAGTGGCTAGTGATATCTTGATAGTGCTGAGACTTAACCCTTGCGCCACCAGGGAGGCCTCCCCCCCAAAAATTATATAATATTTTCTTGTGCTTTCAAGGTGAGAGGGGGTTCCAGGGGTACCTGATCATCTTCCTTTTAGACTAAGACATCAGAGGATGGAGGATACAGACTGATCAGTCTAATTTGGAAGATAGGCAACCTCATCCAGAGTTAGGTGTTAGTAGTTAAGAAGGTACTTGAGCGGCCTCCCTGGTGGTGCGAGGAGTTAAGTCTCAACACTATGAAGCTATCCACAGCCACTATAGCACAAGTTCAATCCCCAGCCAGGGAGCTACCCATATGGCGCTACAGACCTCTCCTGACTCACCTGCTGCTCCCCTCAGCAGTGTATTTTCAGTCATTCTGCCTTTCTGTTCCCTACTCTGTCTCTAGTGAATCCTCTCACACCCCTTCCCCCACCTCTTGCCTATACCCCACTTCTTGCATGCATAAATAAATCAAGCTAAGAAAAAAAGAAGGTACTTGAGGTCCCTGATTCCTCTACAAAAGAGTTCTTAATTCTCTTCTGCCATTTCTCACTGTCCCAGACCACTATCATTCATACTCTGCTCTTTTGGATTATTGCTGCAGTCTGTTTTCAACTATTCCTCCAACCCGTCCTCCATACTACTGCCAAAACAGTCTCTCTAAAATGTAAACTAGCCAAGTTAGTAACCTGCTTGGAATCCTTCAGTGACTTAATGGCCTCTTTGGAAAAAACAAAAAAAACAGAACTTTTAACTTGGAAACCAACATTTTAATGAAATATTTTAATTCCCTTTTGTATTTCTGAGGATGAACTAGTCTGATGTAAGTTTCTTTGGTCCTTTATTAAGCTTGTATAAGTTTTTCACCAAGATTTGAAACATGGCTAGATCAGCATCCTGACACAAAAATACTCTGAAATTGGTATACACATATATAGTGGACAACCTCCCCAATTACATTTAGGACATAGGGTACTCCCAAAATAGTATTGATGATATACCAGTTTTTCTATGTGTATGTATGTTGAGAGTTAGCGCTTAACTCTATTTCTTCCCCCAACATAGTTACCTTTTGTGTGTGTGGTAAGGACATTTAAGATTCATTCTTTTAGCAACTTTCAAGTATTCATTGCAACACCAGTCACTGTGTTGTATATCAAATCCCCAGAATGTATTCATCTTATCTTGGTAGCTGTACCCTTCCACCAACATTTCCCCATTTTACACCCCTTCCCCCAACCTCAGCAATCAGCAATTTATGTTTCTATGAGTTTTTTATATATGTACCCAAAAGGGCAGGTTTATTATTTTAAAAAAAGGAAAGGAAAGGTTTGCACAGACACAAGCAGGTAGAAAGCTGTCCCTTTCAGGGGCAGGTTTGTGAAGAGATACCTGCATAGTCAGAGGGGGACTGGAGAGCTGCCTCTGAGTTTTAGGTATCACATGTAAACAAAATCAGACAGTATCTTTCTCTGTCTGACTTATTTTAGCATAATGCCTGTAGTTCATCCATGTTGTCTCACAAGTGGCAAACTTTAGCACACACATAAACCCTCTATTCCCTGCAACCTTTTTTTTTTTTTTTTTTAAGATTTATCTATTTATTTATACAAGACTGGGTACAGCCAGAAGCGCGGGAGGGTGAGAGAATTCATCAGAGCCAGAGCAGGGAGCAGAGCAGGCAGAAGGACAGAAGTACACTGCTGAGGGGAGCAGCGGGTGGCAGGAGAGGTCTGCGCGCCATGTGGGTCCCTCTTCCGGTGGCCGGGGAGCAGCCAGGGATCGAACCGGTGCTGCAGAGGCTGCGGGCAGCTTCGCAACCCAGTGCTCAACCGCTGCGCCACCGGGGAGGCCTCCTCCCCCCCACCCCCCAGCCTTTTTCAATTTCACTTCCAGTAACTCTCACACTTACAGTGTTACACTTACAGTTTTGAGCTACCCTTAAATTCCTATAGATGTTTTCATAAACTCTTAATACTATAGTAAATTCAGATTTGCAGGGGAGTTGTGAAATTTATACAGAATTCCATGTGTCTGAGTTTTCATATCAGAGTTATTTCCTCTTTCTGAAACTATTACCTGCCCATATTTGCCAAACTTCTACTTTTCTTCAAGATTGTCTTAATCTTCACACCTGGGCTGTGCCCCATTACTTCCAAAGTAGAAAAAAAAAGTGCTTTGTGTGCCAGAAAAGAGGGAGCATTAATATCTATTGGAACTTGATATTTAAAAATAAACAAAATGATTGCAGACGTTGAGGGAAACCAGAAGTTTGAGGTTCTTCCTTAAACTTATTTTTTATCTTATATTTTTGTTAATCTTGAATTACTTTTTTGTGCCAGTAGTGAATCTTCACTCACTATTTTCCAGTAGGAGATACTGGGTAAGGGGTCAGATGAGGAGAGGATAATTCCAAGGTGCCCTGTGATGGACCAACTGGATGACACTCTCCCCCTTAATTGTCAGGAACTTCCTGTCTTGTTTCAGTTTCCCGAACAAGAGAGAATGCAAAAAAGAGAGAGAGATGAATGCAAGTGTGAAACTTGATTGGATCATAAATGAAAACAAACCCCAGGTATAAAATAAATTTGGGAAGGTAAATGGGGAACTTTAAATATGGGTATGTATTAGATGATATTATTGAATTAATGTTAATTTTCTTGGGCTTGTTACTGGCATTACAGTTATTTAGGGGATATCCTTATTTTAGGAAATTCATGCTGAAATATCTCTGAAGTCTGTGATTTATTTTTAAGATTCCATTAAAAGGGAACCACTAAGCAAATAATCATTAAAGCTCCATGCTAAAGAGTCTTATGCCTGGAGCAGTTAATAATCCAATGCTTTATAATTAACAAGTTTTCTCACTTAACAAATTTTTCCTTAGAGAACTTTCTGACTAAGTTTTAGCTTATTTAAACAAAGTTACAAGATTGGGCAGCCAGCCAAGCTGGTCTCTCTCTCCAAGGCCATCCCTGAATGCCTGTATCTTTCCCCCTTTGCCTGGTGACTTTGCAGCAAATAGTTGTGTCTGCTGAAAACCGATGCTATCAATGTAAGATAGTAATGTATAAAATAAACCCCTTATCTTTAAACAGGTGTTCAGACTTTACAGGGCTACCCAGATCTGGGACCTCATGCATGAATAATAAAGCTTTTCCTGACCTCACCATTCCTGAAGTACCGCCTGTTCTTCCTCTGCCTGGGAAAAAGGCCAGAATTTCTGCAACACCATGAGAATAAAAGTGCTTGTGCATCTTGAAGCGGAGTGAGAGCAGACGCAGGAGTAATGTGGCAACCTGTTGATACTGAATCGAAGTGATAGCGATTATTCTTTTAATAGGTTAAACTAATAGAAGCATGTGGAGGCAAATTGTCTTGTCCACCAGACTGATGTGGTTAAGGTAGAGCACAGCATTTTTCCAAGAACTTATATTGGCTACGGGGTAGGGGTGAAGGGGGGAACAGATCCTAATAAAAATCCTTTCTGGTCATATTCCTTCAGCTTCCTGAGTCCTTGAAGAAAAACCGCCTAAGAGGTTTCTGTCCCTCAGCGCTCTCCGTAGATAACTGACTCCTCATTGGCTGGGAGCGCTGACGTCTTATTGTGGTGCGGTCGCGTTTTTCCGCGGAGGGGGTTTGTGCTATAACACATGCAGCTGGGACCGATGGCTCAGAAGCCGCTGCGCCTGTGAGTGACCCTGAAGTTGAAGAGTGTGTGTGTGTGTGTGTGTGTGTGTGTGTGTGTGTCCCTGAAGTTGAAGAGTGTGTGTGTGTGTGTGTGTGTGTCCCTGAAGTTGAAGAGTGCGTGTGTGTTTTACTTGTAGGGGTCTTCCTCAAGACTGGAAGGGAGGACGAGTAGGCAGGGGTGGGAACCGCGAGCTCAGATCACTTCTTTCAGTGGCCGGCCGGAGGGAGCGCGGGGGGCTCTGGTCACTTCTTTCCGTTGTCGGGGCGTGTCTGTTTCCCGGCGGCTTTCGTTTCCTAGAGGTAGTCTCTTGGCAACACTCGCTGGGAGAAGCGGAAGTTGCCAGTCTCAGGTCTCCATCTTAGCCCGTTCTGCCCCAGCACGTAAGTTCCACTTTGTCTCCGCAACCCGTTTATTTATTATCATACTTTTCTGGGCACGGAGTCCATTGATGGACGCTGGTCAGTGGTGTGCCCTGTAGATAGATTGATAGGACTCCTGCTCTGGTGCACCTTTTTGGGAGAAGGGTGGTAAAGAGAGATCGTCCACTCATTCATTCATTCAACAGATATTTCTTGAACAGTTGTAATTTGTTCAGTAGGCAATGTGTTTAGGTGTTGGACAGATGGACTTTCTGCTTTAGTGGAATTTGTATTCTAGAAAAACGTAACAACCCAGTAATTGTAAAATCACAGTAATGATAAATGTCAGAAGGAAAACGTTCACTGGTGTGGGACAGTTTATAATAGGGCTTAATATGACAATTCAGCGAAACGAGGATTGAACCTGGATGAATACTTTTGTCTTTACCCTTTATAAGTCAGAGAACTGTTTAAGGACACCTTGGCATGATCAAATTCTTATTTTGGAAGCGATTCTGGCTGCTACTTGGAGAACGAATTAGAGCCAAAGTAGAGGACAGCTGGGTTTAGGTAGAGCGATGTCAGAACAAAAGTGCAGGGATTCCGTGTATTAGGGAGATGGACTCAACAGGCGTGGGAGTTGGTTAAGTTGTGAGAAGAAAGAGTCAGCACTGTCAGGGGCCTGAATTTGTTTTTCTTTTGTGGGATAGGAGATATTGGGTAAGGGGCCAGATAAGGAGAGGATAATTCAGAGGTGCCCTGTGATGGACCAACTCCATGACGACTCTCACAGAAACAATCAGAGTCACACATGACAACTGCTATGATAGGGGAGGTGGAGGGTGTTGTGATGGGAGCAGCAGGAGCTGGTGGCTTATAAGGATTGGAGTGGTCCCTAGAAGAATTGGTGCTCATAAGATAAAAATGTTTAATAGTTTATTACAGAGCTTGCGCTGAAGTTCTGTATGGGTTTCTGAAGTTTTGAGAAGAGGGTGACTTTCAGAGCCTGTCAGGAAGGCTTTAGAGATGTGCTTGGCCTTGAAGAATGGAAAAAAATAGACTCAGGATGGTTAGGGTGGAACTGTTAGAAATCACTACCACAGGACTGGCAGAGGCAGAGAGTGATCAGATTGGTAGTAGGAAAAGTTTCTGGTAGGATAATTTGGAGAAGGCACTAGGAGGAGTGATCAGGGACTTGTGGAAGGCTGTTTTAAGGCAGTGGTGTTCTGATGTTTTGGAGGAAAGAACATTAAACAAATGACTATATGTAGGATGAATAGGAATAAGAAAAAGCTTTGGAAGAGAATTAAGTGTCTTTTATGCACTTAATATAATGAATCCAGATTCATTATGTTTCTCTTTGAGTCTCCATCTACTGTATCACAGGATTCTCAGTCCTGTAGTTAACCTCTATTTTTCCTCTTACCTCATTTCCCATCCTACTTCTCCATTCCAATTTGTGTTCAGGTCTTCATAATTCTAAATTTCTCATTTGTTTCTCTCTTCCCCATCTTCATTTGACATTGCCTTTTTGCTGGAATATTTGCCTATAATCACTTGTTTCTCCAGACCTTCTTTCGTTCTGTTACTAAAATAATTTTTCTGAAGCAAATTTGGTCATTCCACTACCCAACTTGAAAATGTTCTGTGATATGGACAATGACATTTCGCACACCAGAAAAAACATGCTGACAAAATATTAAGAACTGTGATAGCTGAAGATGAATTAAAATACATTAAGAAGGTGATATGAAAAGTGGGAAAACCATGTAAATCAGAATTATAAAAACTCAGAAATGAGATGATAGAATAAGTTATTTCACAACTTGGGGTCAGTCTGATTTATGAAACTCAACTCTTGCCAGTTTCTACCTCTCTGCCCCTTAACACTTTAGCTCCTATTATTGGCCTTTTCATGTAAATTTATAATTATCACAGTATCCCCTTCCCTGATGGTAAACTCCTTGAAGCTTGAGCTGAGCATTCCTGCTCTTTATACTCCTAAGATGTCCTTAGGATAGTGCTTGGATATTATACTTAGCATATTGTTGGTGTCCCAGACTATTTGATGAATGGATGACAAACATTCTGTGCTGAGATAGTGGCAGTGGAAATGAAAAAGGACGGAAGGATTGTGAAAGATATTTGGGAAATGGAATTGATGAAACTTAATGATTGGATGGGGAATTTTTTTTTAAAGATTTATTTATTTATGCATACAAGAGCTGGGGTACAGGCCAGAGGTGTGGGGCGTGAGAGAATTCATCAGAGACAGAATTGGGAACAGAACAGACAGATCCACTGAAATACACTGCTGAGAGGAGCAGTGGGCGAGACAGGAGAGGACAGCTGCGCCATATGGGCCACCTCCCTGGCTGGGGATTGAACTCATGCTACGGTGGTTGCGGATAGCTGCGGATAATTATAAATTTCATAGTGCTGTGCCTTAACCCCTTGCACCACCAAAGAGGCCCCAAATGGGGAATTTTTGACTTGAATTTTGACTCATCCACAAAACTTGGGAAGAGAGAAGAAACTGGGTCAATTTTGGAGGAGATAGTAAGCTAAATCTTAGATATGATGTCTTGGAAGTAATGTTGAGGCCTTACTGGAGTGGTCAGTAATAGTTCACATGCACTGAACCTCTCAGGGAACCTCAGAGAGACTGAATCAGACATCTGTTTAATCAGGAAAACTGGCAGGCCTTTGTGTTTCTTGAATTGCCTTAATGTTTATCTCTTGTTTGCAGCTTGGCTTGTGGAGATGTTGAAGGAAAGTTTGATGTTTTATTTAATAGAGTTCGAGCAATTCAAAAGAAAAGTGGAGACTTCGATGTAAGATGTTTCTTTTTACTGAATTTAATTTTACTGTTGTAGACAAACATACTGAAATAGTTTGGGCTTCTTATTCATTTCTAAATTAAATGCATACTCTTCCTTTTTTGTCCAAATGAATTCCTTTTGTGAGCATAGGCACACAAAACTCCAGAGTAGTGGGAAAAAGAAGACCTGTTTACCTTTTAATAATTTTAAAATTTGAGCCTTGTTACTTTATACAAAACTGAAAACAGACTAGTAAAATCTCCCTGGGTTAGATATATTTAATCCACATTAAATCAGATAACGTGTACAAGTATTTCACAAACTAAACAACCCTATAAACATGTTTTGTGTGGTTGCCAACTAGACTGTAGACTCCTGCAGCACAGAAGGCTCTCTTTGGAATGCAGATAATTTGTTCATAGGGTTAAAGATTGAGTAAAGAGGCAGGTTTCTCTTCTGCCTTCTCTCTTTCTCAGTATCTAATATTTTAAAGTTTTGTATTTCACAGAGGAAATCGTTAAGGTCCATTTTTCTATCTTTCCCTGACCACCTCTTCCCCATCCCCTATTTGAATTTGATTGCCAGTGAACCAAAATTTAGTAGTAATAATTTATAGAATTAAATAATTACTATAATCACTACTAAAGAATTATGTATTGAAATTTTGCAAATTGATTTGGGATCACTGAGTAGGATGATTAGCTGAATGATGTTATTATCAATGGTGTACCATTTGATTAAAAAAAACTCATCTGTTTAAAAACTCATTTTAGCTGCTGTTGTGTGTCGGAAATTTCTTTGGCTCTACTCCAGATGCTGAGTGGGAGGAGTATAAAACTGGCATCAAGAAAGGTACAGAAATTATTTTTATTTAACAAATGATTTCTTTTTTTTTTTTTAAGATTCATTTATTTATTTATATAAGAACCGGGGTACAGGCCAGATGCACGGGAGGGTGAGAAGATTCACCATAGGCAGAGCGGGGAACAGAACAGACAGACTGATGAAATACACTGCTGAGGGGAGCAGTGGGCAAGACAGGAGAGGTCTGCCACGCCATATGGGACCCTCGCCAGTCGGCCGGAATTTTACCAGTGCTGCAGTGGCTGCCGACAGCCTCACAGCGCTGTGTTCAACTGCCTGCGCCACCAGAGGAGGCCCTAACAAATGATTTCTAATGAAGTTTCAGCTTACACCATTCTTTCTGGGTTATTTTTCATGGATGCTAGTTATTTAAGGATTTCCCTTTGAGCTCTGCGTTATGCTGGGAAGAATAACCATGCATCTAAATGTTTACATTTTTAATTTGGTTTTATTTAGTTTCAGAAAAATAACTCTTCTAAGTAGCAGAAATTGAGTAAATGCAGTCTGTATCCTTTTTCCATTTTTAGTATCTATATTAAGGTTTGTAGGGTCTGTGTTTTTCTAATTATATATTGACCATTATCTTTAGGATGTCACATCATCAGCCTAGTGATACCATTTAATAGTCGGGCCATAAGGTTGGTTATAGTGTACCCTAAGCATGTTTCACATATAGGATTGCAGGCTCTACTTTGGCTGTGAATATTTTCTCCTTTAGGGAGGCACTTTTCTAGTTTCAAAGCAGGTCTAGTAACTATATGGTATCGTGTTTCTTCTCACTAGCTCCTATTCAGACATATGTGCTGGGTGCCAATAACCAGGAAACAGTAAAATATTTCCAAGATGTTGATGGGTGTGAATTAGCTGAAAACATTACTTATCTGGGTAAGTCAACATTTTTTGCATTTTTTTTTCTTTTTTTTCCTTTTAACATTTATCTTTTTTTTTACATTTTTTTAGACAATATTTGCTTCCCCCCACCCCCATTTTTTGCATTTGTAATGAACATAATATAGTGTGCCAGGAATTAGTCTTCCAGAAATTTGTGGCTGAATTCTTCTGCCATTGCTGCCTAAACATACAAAGCTTAAAGTTCTTTTTCAAAGTCTGTATCTATACCCTTAAGACTATGGCATTTTTTTTCTTTGTTGTCTTTCCCACCTGTGTTTCCACAACCCAATATGTACTTTTTCAGCACTAGAGGAATAAGCTACTTGACTGCAATGCATGAAGTACTTCAGGTTTAAATTAAGAAATTCCATGTTTGTGGTCTCATCATAAAACACTGCTTGCATGTGTGCTAGTGATCTCTCTCTCTCTCTTTCTCCCAGCCCCTCCCCCCCATATATATAATACTCTAAGCTTTTGGAAATTCACATTTTCAGTGCTGATCTTGAGCTTTTCCACTCTGTCATTCTGGCTCCAGATCCACTTTTCAATTCCAGGTTAAAGTTGTTCCCTGCACAATCCCCCATATCTTTAATGGTTCTTTCAATATTTTTAAAAAATATTGAAATACTATCAAATTTTGCTTTTGTCTCACTCTCAACCCCCTGCTGCCAGTGTACTGCTTCTTGTATCAGTCAACTTTTTTATTCTAAAATGATCCCACTGCTCTTTATATTTCCTCTCAGTCACATTTCTCTAGAAAGCTGTGTTTCCTTTGTCACTCTCTCTCCCCATCACGGTCTATCTTCACCTTTATTCTCTACATCTGACTGTGGCCCTCATTGTAAACGGTCCCATCTCATCTTGCTCCAATATTATGGATGAGTTTTTGTTTGTGATTTTTTTTTTAAAGATTTATTTATTTATTTATACAAGCACTGGGTACAGTCAGAAGCACAGGAGGGTGAGAGAATTCACCAGAGCCAGAGCAGGGAACAGAACAGGCAGACTGACAAAATACACTGCTGAGGGGAGCAGTGGGCGAGGCAGGAGAGGTCTGTCGCACCATGTGGGACCCTTGCTGGTGGCCGGGGATTGAACTGGCGCTGCAGAGGCTGCGGGCAGCTTTGCAGCCCAGCGCTCAACCACTGCACCACCAGGGGAGGCCCTATTCGTGATTTTTAACCACAGTTGTGAGATGCATATTTGGAAATCCTTTTGTTGTACATCTAACAAAGGGCTTGATGTTCATAAGGATGTGGCAGTTCTCAATGTGGCTATTAGATGTACATTAAGATCACTGCTGTAAGGTATTTGGCAGTCATTTTACAATATGAGATAGTGTCAGGAATGTAAGAGCATTTGAGGTTCTAGGGTTATTTTTTGAGATCTGGTGGGATGAGTAAACAATGAGTTTGATAGTGAATATGTGCTAGAGAGCTTGAAGTGCTGGCATAACATCCAATGTACATTTGGAAAATCATGTACAAGGTCAGTATTGTAGAGTACAGGTTTTGGAGAGTTGGTCCTATAAAGATGAAAAAGCTGAGAAGAGAATTAAGTTGTTAAGGAAGAAATACAATAAGGGAAGCAGGCAGATAGTAATACCTGTGGTGGAGGGTGTATATCTATCTAGAGGGCAGGCAGAGAGAGATGAAAGTGATTGCAGGGGTATTTGGACAGATAAAGAGGTATTGTCAAATTCAGGGACCCTAAGTGAAGAGAGAATAGTGTCGAAAGCCACTCTCGGCAAAATGTCATGTCAGGAGTCCCTGAAAGGATGAGACAGCGTCGGCGAAACTTGAGGGCTGAGGAGAAGGGGAGTGAGGCAGACACAGACACTCTTTTTTGGTGCAAGTATCTCCTACTGAGGGACTCAACGGGTCTTTATTTATTCATTTTTTGCAAGCAGTGAGATTACACCAATATATGCATAGAACAAAGCAGAAACAATCGGTACATTCTTTTCCCATAAACTTATGGCTCCTACAGGTCTCAGCAAGATAGTAGCCTTCAAGGTTAATAGATAAAAAAACTAAACCTTACACTAAAATTTATTATTTCAGTTTAGATCATTACCTAAGACAGCCTATAGCCGTCAGTATAGACTCTTCTTATTATATGGCCTTCAGCCGAAGACCAGCTGCTTTCTGGTTATCAGCTAACAGGGTTTTCTACCTAGGAACTTCTTAACACAATTAGCGTCATTTAAAAGCTTTCCTAAGAAACTTCAAAAAAAGCAAAAGAAGGAATTACTATAGTAGTTGTCCTGGATTGCTTGTCAGGCAGGTATAATAAATTGTTTCCCATTGTCAAGTAGACCAAATTGTTTAGTGATTAATTTTTAAGCAGGTAATTTTCCGTGCCATGTGCTTACAATATTCTTATACATATACTTTATTGCCCAGTGTATTTTTCGAGAAGTTTTTTTTTTTTTTTTTATGACCAAGAGCAAAAAACAAAGGGAGATTTATAGGTTATAGATTAATCTTCAGCCCCACGGTGTGAGGCCCTTTAAAAGTCTTCAGCCCCACGGTGTGAGGCCCTTTTCTTAACTGCTTGCCAGCATCTTATCTGGCTGGGGCAGCAAGGCCCCGCAGAATAGTTTCAGGAAAAGAGATCTTTGGCAATTAAAGGGTGATAGTGACCTTTGAGAGCCTGGTGGCAGAGGGGAACCATGGCAGTGTGCTGAGGACTAACTAAAGGTAAAACTTTTCAGCATCATGTCCTCCTCATTTGAGAAATTTGAAACAGAACAGGAACTTTCTTAGTGTGCTTGTTCCTTTGTTGTTTTTTTATTGGTATGTTTGTTCCTTTCTTGGTTTTTATTAGTATATGTGTTCCTTTTCACTAGTCTGTCCCTTTAGTTAGTTAGCTTGAGTGTTCCTTTGTTCCTTCGTTGTTCCTTCATTATTCCTTGTAGTATGTATGTTCCTTTGTTAGTATGTATATTTCTTTTCAGAAAAGAATATGATGTTCTGTTCTTTTCTGACTGGAAAGAGCCCTTTGAGAAGAGACTCTGGATGAAAGGAGGGTGAAAATTGATGGAGCAAGGTCTTAGAGGCAACAGGAAGGACTGGAGTCAAGGGCACAGCCAGGGATAAATTTAGAAGAGGGTAGAGTCTCTAATTTTTGCCAACAGTTGTTCTTTCCAAATGTTTTCCTTCAATTAGAAGTTGTTGCTCCATGAAGAGTACATCTGTTTTAGATTAAATTTCTTCAAAACCGCACTTATTTTTTCTTCTAATTGCCTCTCCCTGTGTCCAGATGTCTGAGTTTTTTAGTATCTTCTGGAAGTTAGAAAGCTTTTTTCTAAATCAGTGCCTCCCACCTTTTTTCATTTGTAATCTGACTGGCCTCCACATAAGGGCGCCTCTTGCTTACTAACCAGGCTGGCTGTTGTGGTCATGCAGCACCAAAGTGGACGGGGGTTGGGGTGGGGGCCCTGTAGGAGAGTTTATACTCAGGCATGTAGAAAAAAGGAAAAAACAGGGAGGAGGGAGATTCATGGCACAGGAAGCGTCATCTCTAATGACATTTCATTTTGCAGTTTTGACTACAGCATGTCTATTTTTCTTTGAACCCAGGTCGGAAAGGTATCTTCACTGGAAGCTCGGGGCTGCAGATTGTGTACCTCAGTGGGACTGAGTCCTTAAATGAGCCCGTCTCAGGTTACAGTTTCAGTCCCAAGGATGTGTCTTCCCTGAGAACAATGCTGTGTTCAACATCCCAATTTAAGGGTGTTGATATCTTGCTTACATCCCCCTGGCCCAAGTATGTGGGGAACTTTGGGAATTCTTCTGTGAGTAGTGCTTGTTCAGTTGGAATTTCTAAAAGCAAGTTGCACTGGCTTAATTTGGACCTTTTTTTTTTTTTTTTTTTTTTTGCTCTTTATATTTGAATATTTTAGCTCTCGGTACCATTCAATAGAAATTTTTTATGATTTTTTTTCAAGACACTTCAAACTCAGTTGGCTAAAAAAAGTTGATCTTTTGAAAGCATGATTCACAGATGAGACTGCTAACACCTTAACTATAAATGAATGGTTCTTTAAATTATCGTCTCTATTTCAAGTGCTCTCTTTCAAGCTGCTTCTTAATATGTTTTGTGGTTCACTGATGTTCAGTGAAAAGATTTATGAGTAGTGGCAGTTCTGAAGTTGTATTTCTCCCCTTCCACTCTGCATCACAGTCTTTCAGCTATCAAAGTATTTTTAAAGATGGAATCATTTTGGGATTGAGGATACTGATCTAAATGGGAAACAAGATGTTAAGAACTTGGTACTGCTCTAGTGGGAAAGCTTTCATGTTGGAATACAGTGTTGCTCACCATCTTAATAATTGTATAAGCAGTCTAGAAAAAGGTCCACCAGGTTGGTGAGTGATAGCTGTTATGGGAAGAGAAGTGCTACATTGGAAATAAGCCTGAGGAAGATTTTGAAAGTCTATGTGAAGGCAGAAAGCATGTGCAGGGAAGGGAAATGTAAGATGTATTTTGGCACAAATGTCAATTAATAAATTAAGAGTTATTTGTGGAGACCCAATAGAGAGTCTTGTAAAACACCCCCTATGAACTTTATTACAATCTGTTCATGACCAAAAAGGCCATGCGGTATCAACCGTTGTGAGAGAAGGTGTTGAAAGGAAAAGAAGCAATACTTTCTCCTCCTTCCACAAACCCAGGGTTATTCTTCATCTAGAGTGTAAGAGGCAGCATAGAGGAGATTCAGCAAAGCTCAAGAAGACCCCAATGGCCACTCAAGTGATGCTGGAAGCGGAAAAGATACGTGTAATGTCCCATAAGGAAGGATGAGAAGAGTGAGGCCCCTTCATTTTGGGGGTACTAAAACAGTTTATAATTTGTAATTGAAGTTTATTGAAGTTTGTAAATAACCATACACACAATTTATAGGGAAGAAACCAACATAATTCACCAGTCCCTAAGATGCTGTAACTAACCTCAAAACCAGTTCCCTGCCCTTCAGGAGAGACCTGAAGGAGGCAAGAATAAGACAAAAAGAAGTTCTTGATTTATGTAGTAGAAAATTAGTTTTGGCAATTCCTTTATTTCCAGCTAATGCCTTCCCTTGGAATTGAGTTCATAAATAATGTAATGGATGAGAGACTTAATTTGCTATTAGTGGAAACTGGAATGTTCTGGAAACAAGTCTAACTCTTGTCAGACTTTATGTTATAAACTTTGTAACAATTGCAAGGTTGCGCCCTTCCACAAACCATGGCATCCTTAACTGAAGCAAAAGAGAGTGCATGTTTATGTGAAGTTTTTCAAAGAGAGAGATACAAAAAAGATTGAAATTTTTCTGATTAAGTGAAATTTTTCTGATTAACTTAAGTGTGGAATCTACCATGCAAATACTGCTGCCCACATTTGTATCCACAGATGAATGTCAGCATTTCAGTGTCTTCTTATATCTTTGCCTTTCTTGATAACTCATAGGTCTGTTATGATTGAGTTTCTGTTTCCTAGGGAGAAGTGGATACAAAAAAGTGTGGCTCTGCTTTGATCTCCAGCTTGGCCACTGGCCTGAAACCAAGATATCATTTTGCTGCTTTGGAAAAGACCTATTATGAAAGACTTCCATATCGGTGAGAAGTACCTTGTTCATTTTTTGTCTTGTTGACGAACTAGCCTTAAATATTCTGTGTGGACGTCTCATGCTCACTTTAGTCATATAATGTCTTGGTTCCACTGAGCCAGCCAGGCACTGAAATGATTAACTCTTAAATCATTCAACTTCTCTGACTTGTTTCTTAATTTGAAATATAAGAGAGTGGACTATATATAAACCCCATTAAAGATTTGAGTGTCTGCGGTACCAATATTAATGAATCGTCGGAGCTTAATATAGCACAGTAGGTCCTGTTTTGATCAGGTCAAACCAGTTTTGAAAACTCAGTTCTCAGTATAATCCCTTCAGAAGTATTTCAATTTAGGAATTAAGAGCTTGTATTGAGCTTTTTTTCTTTTTCTTTTTCTTGTTTGTATTTGTATTTGGAACTAAGTTTTTTAAAGGTTGTTTTGCAGAGGAAAGAAAACCAGTGTTTTTTTGTTGAGTGATAGAGTTAACTCCTCTTAACTGGTAAAGGGCATGGATAATCGCTAAAATAATTTATAAAAACCTTTTTTTTAAACAAAAGTAATATATGTGTTGTTGAAAAATATAGGCGGGCAAAATGAAGAGAATAACCTACCTTTTCCCCAATACTACCACAGCCTAAGATACAAATAGAGGTTTTAGGTTTTAAAACCTAAAGTTGCAGTTTTTGTACTTTGGATATATGATCTTGTTTTTTCCTCACAGAAGTCCTGTGAGCTGCCACCGTCCTGCAGACATGCAGGGAACATCTGAGATGATGTTACTGATGATAATGGACTTAAGACCTGGGCTTTTTTGTGGCCTGTGGAGTTTACATATTTCATAATTGTGAATTAAAAGTAAAGTTTGTTGGTAACCAATTACCTCTCAAATATGTTCTAGAAACCACATCGTTCTGCAGGAAAATGCACAGCATGCCACTAGGTTCATAGCGCTGGCAAATGTTGGAAATCCAGAAAAGAAAAAGGTGAGAATTTGAGTATTTAGGGGTAGGTTAATACTCATTGTCTCTTGCCCAGTGGGGCATTCAGATCTTTTCTTTTCCCAGCTATAAGGTCCTAGAAGCTCAGTGACTCCTTTGTAAAGATATGGTAATGAAAGGTCAAGTTTCCTTGGGTCTTTTGTACAAAGGATTTGAGAAATTAGGACCAGTGGACAAAAGCAAAACTTCAAGTGAACGATGTTGCTTTCTTCCCACGTTCCTTTCTTACCCCTGCTTCTGAGGATATTCACGAGTTTGTCCTCGGATAGTACTCTTGCTCTGCTTCTTTTATCAACTTTGTGTGGAAATAGTAAAATCCTCCCCAAAATTTATCTAACCCCTTCTTAACTTTGGGAAACGTGGTGATACCTGGAACGTAGCTTTGTATTGGAAAACAGTGCAGGTAAATTTTTCTCATTCACCTGAGAGAGCATTTCTGACTCTCGGGCCAAAAGCAGCATGTGGTTAATAGTGACACTTAAGACCAGAACAGTCTGGCAACTGGGAAAATAGGCAGTAATAATCTGAAGAGTACTCACGGTAACATGACACAAATAATGTACATACCAATGTAAGCAAAGACAAGTTTTGTTTTTTCTATAATATCTTAAGTTTTTAAGCCCAGTGTATTCTTAGCAAGGTTAGATCTGTAATTTTTTTTTTAATTTCACTTTCAAAACCAAAGCACACTCACAGCATTTTCATTCTGCTACTTTACTACCAGAGACATGTTAGCCTCAGCAATTCATACTTCAAAGTGCATGCACAAAATAATAAATTTAAAAAAAGAAAAAACAAAGAAAAGTTAAAAAGAAAAAAAAGTGTTTGCATGTTGTAAAATTTGGCAAGCATCATTAAATTCATCTCAAAATTTTGTTCTAATTTATACCCTTGCTGGGGTGTATGATTTTCTTTTCTACACACATTCTCACTGGATAGTGTCAAATTTTTATTAAAGTTTTTGCCAGGCTGATAGGTGAAGATGGTGTGTCACTATTAATCAGTGGCATTGCTCTGATCACCAGTGACATTATGGGTCTGTTCTTGTCACATGTGAAGTTTCTAATATGTATGTCATTAGTCTGAGATTGTAGGGGTGTGTGTGTGTGTGTATATATATGTACGTGTATATATACACACATGTATATATGTACATATACATGTATACATACACGTATACATATATACATGTTGTATATATGTTGTATATATACATATATATGTATACATCTATACATGTTATATATATGTACATATATATATACACAATTTCTACTGAATATGCTGAAAAATTTTCTAAGGATAAGCAGCAAAGAAGTAAATATATATATATTAGATTCATAGTGCTGGCTGTTGTATAATATATGGCTGTTGTATAATATAATAATGAAGTGGTGAAGTTGTCCAGTTTAATTTTCTTTCCTTTTTTTTAGTTTAGTTTTTATTAGTTAAAAAAAAAAAAGAATGCTAGTACATTGATTCTGTTGACAAATTATGCAAAGATACAGGTGTCAGAGACAGAAGCAGTTTGTCTTTAAAGGTTTCTGAGCAATCCCTCTAGGCATTATAGTGATGGTTGTTCTGTGTAAGGGGTGATTTTTGTAAGGCTGGAGTTTTGATTTGTTGCTTGTTACTTTGTCACTCTTGGTTAGCTCCTGCAGAGATTACTGGATTGGCATTTGATTTACTGTGTTTTCTCTGAGCTACAGATGGGCCAGTTGTACTCAATTTCTGAAACTTTCTGTGAAATCTTCACCATAAAATCGGTTGATTACATTTGAGTAAACAGTATTTCTCTTAATGTTATGTTGTTTCTCTCCAAAGTATCTTTATGCATTCAGTATTGTTCCTATGAAACTAATGGATGCAGCAGAACTGGTGAAACAGCCTCCAGATGTCACTGAAAACCCTTACAGAAAATCTGGAAAAGAAGTATCCATAGGAAAACAAATTCCCGCCCCGGAGGTATGTTCTGATTCAGAGGTGGCATTTTTCTGGGCAGGATTGCCCGTAAGCAAATCTGCTTTTCTTGGTTATAGTTTAGTTCATAATACAAGTTTAATCCTTAGCATCTAACTCTTTTTTTAATCCTTGGAAAATCATGGTGGTGTTTAGAAAACCGTAGCAGATTTCAGGTACATTCAGGATGTTTTATTGTGGTTTGGGTGAAGAGAGGCATATGTTAAGTCTTCTCTGTGTGATTCTGATTCATATGTTGGAATTTCATATGTTGCCTTCCCTTTTCTAGTGTTAACTTTTCAGGGCAGATCCAAGTGCTGGGTAGCAATGTAATGAGTGTAAGTAGGTAAATAAGAGTCACTGAGGAAATTTCTTTATAGTAAGCTTTCCTGATCATTTTTTCCTTTAAACCAAGGAATATTAAGTTCCCTTAGTAGTATTCATGGCTTGCTTTCTCAGACTTTTTTTTCCCTTTATGAGTAAACTCATCTTTATAATTAAAGCTGAGATTTTTGTGACCCTTGAAACTTGTACGATGCTTATGGCCCGTCCCTGTTTTAGGGAAGAATTGCTTTATTACTTGTGGTTTTTTTTTTTTTTTTTTTAAAGATTTATTTATTTATACGAGCACTGGGTACAGTCAGAAGTGCGGGAGGGTGAGAGATTTCACCAGAGCCAGAGCAGGCAGCAGAACAGGCAGAAGGACCGAAGTACACTGCTGAGGGGAGCAACGGGTGGCAGGAGAGGTTTGTGCGCCATGTGAGACCCTTGCCTGGTGGCCGGGGATCGAACCGGTGCTGTAGAGGCTGCGGGCAGCTTCGCAACCCAGTGCTCAACTGCTGCGCCACCGGGAGGCCCCCTATTACTTGTGTTTTAACTTGTTTTTGCAAAGAGATGAATTTGATGGTATAAGCCTGATAAGTGTTGAGAAATATTGAAAGTCCAGGCATCAGGGCTGGGAAGATGTTTTCACTTGACTAGGCAGAAAGGGCTGGGAAGGAAAGCTGGACATGACAAGGCAGGTATATTTGTATATGAATTTTTGACTACTTGTCTAACAGTTTCTTTAAGAGTGTTTACTCTTCTGCTTTGGCCATTGCAGGAGGAATCAGCCTGTCAATTTTTCTTTGATTTAAACGAAAAGCAGGGAAGGAAGCGTTCATCTACTGGCAGAGATAGCAAGTCTTCTCCTCACGCAAAGCAGCCTCGCAAACCTCGTAAGTACTTTTGTACCAAAGGTCTCCTGTGTGAGCAATAATTGCTATTTCAGGTCTTATGTGGGAAACAGCATGGCTAAGACAGCCTGTTTAGACAGAGGAAAGTTGTACAATGAATCAATAATAAAAACAATACAAAGATGGCCTGACTTGGAAATAGTCTCAGGTGATTCTTATAAGACTAGGGAAAGAGCTCTCTTCGTATCTGTGAAACATGAGGTAAAAAGCCTGTAAAACCAACATATCTTCAAAAAATAGTGGAGTAATCAAACTGGTAGAATTTGAAGGCTCTTTTATTGAGATCCTCTTTCTCCACTCTTTTATTTCAAAGATGAAGAAATTGATCTTGGGAAAGTAGTCATCTTATCCAGGGTCACATGGACAGCTAATGGCTTTGCTGGGGTTAGGATTGAGGCTCCTGACACCCAGATCAGTGTTACCAGTTGCATGCTACTTTAGTCAATAGGTGGTTATCCTTTTGTGGGTCACTTACATATGGATTGGTTACAAATTCAGAAGTTTTCTAGTAAAGATTAGTTTTCATTATTAATAGTGAAGGGGTGGGGGTAGGTTTCATAGTGAAAAGCACAACAGCGCATGCCACTGTGGCAGTGCTCATACACCAGTTTTTGCAGGATGTAACGATCAGACAAGATTGTATATGCTGGAGTTGTTTGCTGGAATTCTTGACACGCTAACATTTGGCATTCTTCCACATAAGCTCAGCCTCCAGGACCCTGTTGGTTTTGCCTTGCCAGTCCTGAAGTAGAAAAGCATTTGGTGGTCAACATTGGCACACATGTGAGTTACTTCCAAGAATCTTTTGCAGAGGTGATACCTGTTTGTTTTCTATTAACTTTGAGTTATAGTTTACATACAAAAATTACCCACTTTAAGTATGCAAGCCATCACATAATGTGGTTTTAAAACGTATCCATCACTTCGATCCCTCTTGCCCATTTACATTTAATACCTGTTCCACTCTCTGCATCAGGATTTGCCTTTTCTGGAGATGGCTTGACTTTCTCTTAGCATAATACTCTTGAGGCTCATCCATGCTGTAGTATGTATCAGTATTCCATTTCTTCCTGTTATCGAATGGTATTCCATTATATGGACATACTACATTTTGTGTATACATTCATCTATTGATAGGCAATTGTGTTGTTTCTACTTTAAAACTATTAGAAATAACGTTATCAGCATTTGTATGCAAATCTTTATCTGTATGTTTTTATTTCATTTGAATAGACACCTAGGAACTGCGGTAACTTTATGTTTAACTTTTTTTTTTTTAAACATTTGTGTTTTATTTATTTATTTTTTAGTTTATACAAGCGCGGGAGGGTGGGAGAATTCACCAGAGCCAGAGCGGGGAGCAGAGCAGGCAAAAGGACCGAAGTACACTGCTGAGGGGAGCAGCGGGTGGCAGGAGAGGTCTGCGCACCATGTGGGACCCTCCTCCAGTGGCCGGGGAGCAGCCGGGGATTGAACTGGCGCTGCAGAGGCTGCGGGCAGCTTCGCAACCCAGCGCTCAACCGCTGCGCCACTGCGGAGGCCCAACTTTATGTTTAACTTTTTAAGAAAGTGTCAAACTTCCAAAATAGCTGAACCATCTTACATGCTCACTAGCAATGTATGGGGGTTTCAGTTTTTCCACATATAAGCCAGCTATTATTGTATGCCTTTTTCATTATAGTAATTCTCCTGTGATTTCCTAGAGCCAGTTTCACAAGATTTCTTGGTTTCTCCCTCCCTGACAGATAGGTATTGATTTTGTAGGGTGATGCTTTTATATACTTTTGAACACTGTATTTTTAGTGTATAACTACTTTGAAGGTGATGAGTTGCCTTTATTAATAATTCGCTACTTAAAACAGACTTCCTTTGTCTTAAAAAGGGAGTCTTATTGTCTAGAAAACCCTATTAGGTTAAAAATGTTTACATTCTTTTTAATATATCTTCAATCAGAAACTTGACTTTAGTGGTATTTATATAGATTTATATCATGCTGAGAACTGAGTCACACTAAATATATTAAACTAAAGGGAACTGAGTCACACTAAACATAATAAACTAAAGGCAAAACTAATTCTCAGTTTTGCCTAGTAAAGAGTATGTAGTTCCTAATGACAGAAATACCCATATCCGCATTCTCGGTGTGAGTACCTGGAAACCTGAGATAATAATTTTAAGATTACTTGATAAGCACTGAATTATACTATAAGGACTGGATGTCAAGGGTGATTTTACACAGGCTGTAGAAAACTGATGAACAACTGTGTGTGTCTCACAGGAAAGTCATTCTATTTCAGTTTTTCCTGGAGACTTTTCCGTGGACAGGTCTGTTAGGCATTATACAATACTATTCTCTGACCCTTTATCTCTGGCTGCAAGTAAACCATGATACCTCCTTTTCATTCAATAAGAAGTTTAATTTTCAGTATTATACGTGTACCTTACTTACCTGTGATTAGAATTGGCTATTTCCCAAGGCTCCTGAGGGAAGTCTTTACAGATGTTTCTTAGTATGTGGTACTTCTGCAGACAGATCCTGCTATCCATTTTCCATTGATTTGTTTAAGTATGGTATTTCAAAGTGACTTTTTCCTCCACTTCTCTTGAGAGTCTGATTACCCTTTATTGTGAGTTCTTATAGAGTCTCAGTTTCATCTTATAATTTAAGTCACATTCCTCTCCTGACTCTGTTGTTTCAGACCGAAGAATCCTAGTCTTTTACATGTAATATTTATGTCTTGATTATGGGCACAATTGCATCTCTAGGAGTCTGTATCTATAGGGGTCAAGTCTGTGACAGAGTTGAACCATGAAGATGAACTCTTCATTGGAAGGAAGAACAAACTTGAAAAACTCCTATCTATACAGGAATGCTGTTAAGAGTCCAGTATAAATGCTGCAGAATTCGTGCATTTTACTTAGGGGAACAGCATTTATTCAGATCCTGTTTGCACATTATTAGAGATAATTCAAGTATAGAGGTGATTAGAAGATGATAGATTGACAGGGAGGGAGGATATGGGCAAGTGTGAAACTATTCACAAGAAATGTTTGGGGGTGGGTATTTGTTACTTAGTCTAGACTGGAAACTTTCAAGAACCTCAAAATGTGCAACACAAAGTAATAAGTGGCCTTTATGGCGGTGACTTTCTCCGCCCCAGCATAAGAAAAGATGAAAAGAAAGTCTTCAAATACAATACAATAAATAATGGTTATTGTAAACATTTTTAAGTGGTTGTGCTCAGTGCTCTGTCAAGGATATAAGTCAAGGATAGTTATGCTTTTAGTTTGGTTCTGATACCTCCCAGGTCAATCTGCTGGGACTTTTTTTCATGGTAGATGAGAAATAACTGATTCCTTCCTTCAGTCTTAACTTTGAACGCACCACACTGAAAGTATAGCTTGGATTGTTTTTTCTAAAGCTCCAGTACTTTCATTTGCCTGTACTGATAGTCATAGGCCCTTTTCTACTCCTCATAGTGTTTTCCCTTCAAATTTGTCAAGAGTGGTAGAGCCTCTTGCATGTATGGTTTTAACAGAAGTAATTTTAGTTGATACTTAGTTGCTGACATCCAGTGTTAGGAACCATACTTTTCTACCCCTTTGAATGTATGAGTATGAGGTTTCTCCTTTTTTCTTCCATCCTTATATGTGTTTGCTTTCATTTTATAGAGGTTAGTCAGCAATTTAAGGCTGTAAGGACATTGGATGCTAATCAAGTCACCTTAGCCTTATTTTGTGAGCCCAGGGCATTGTGTATGGGGTCATGTGGGGAAGGAGTGGGATTGGATGCTATTATAGGGAAAGTAGTCATTTTGAAATCAGAAGTGAAATCTTTCTGTGTCTGAAGGTGACAGCCAAAAAATTATTTTTAAGTTTAGAGCCTGGTTGGGGAAACCAATTGTTGTTTGGGTTGCTCCTGTATTTGAAGCCAACAGCCCTCTTGTGTGCTACTCTTTTGCTCCCAGTTCATTTGAAGTTGCATAGAGATTTGTTGCATTATAGTACTCAGCTTTACAGGCTCAGCCTCATGATCCTGGAATTCCTTCCATAGCTGCCTTCTTACCACATGCTTCTGCCTTTCAATTAGAAATCTGCAGAAAGTCTTGCTGGAAGCTAGAGCTTGGGCTAAAATCTAAGAGCTGGATTATATGTTTCCCACACTTCAACCTTTGCAGTAGCTAGGCCTGTTTCGAGTTGAAACATTTGTTATTGATAAATATATTGGTTGGAATGTCTCAGTTTAAAGGGTGAAATAGAAGTTTCTGGTTTTTGCTTAGTCATGTGTGAAATAGGTCCCAAATGAATGACTTACTTCACTGCAGTAGATCCCAAAATTGATCTCACCACTTTGTGCCCAGCCATCACTCTCTCTTAGTGACTTCCTTGCAGCAGAGCAGGGCTGAGGGGAGGAGTTCTAAATGTTTTATGTGCTTGTCCATAGGCCGGGGAGAATCATGCTGCTCCATCATAAACTGACACTAGCACCACCAATCACCCATTCCCCCTTCCCTGTCCACCACCTAGATGTGGAAGTCAGGCCATGGACCTGCTGCCACTAGGGTTGCTGATGGAAGGCCTGAGCTGTTTGTTTCTTCAATGTAATTTGTAATGTTGTACAACCAAATCTACCATCCAAAGCTCTGGAACCTCATTGGCTCCACTCAAAAAGAACTTTCAGACTTTAGTGTAAGCCCGATGGGAGAGAGAAATGAGGAGGGAAAAGGGCACACCATCCCTCTAAGCCTTTGATTGCGCCTTTGCATTGAGCCAAGGTTTGTATCTTTCACACCATGTATGACTCGGATGTCTACAGGTTCCCTTATCTATGGCATATATCCTGTGCATTTGGGTTGAAGCACCACTTGACATTACAAGAAGGATTTGGAGAGAGGAGATTTAAAAAAAATTTTGTTGCATGGAATCTTACTCTTTAGCAGATACCTGAGAACATTGTTGTTATAACTTCTAAAATCGTATTTTTTTGCAGGTAGTAATTATTATTATAACTGTATTATTTTTATTGAGGTAATAATGGCTTCCAACACTGTATATGAATTGAGGGTATAAGTTCATACATTGTCAGATGTATATATACCATGCTCACCACATAAAATCAGATTTTCAAAGTCGGAGAATTTCTTTGGATAGCCTCTTAAGCATTTTTTTCCACACCTTCAGGCTCATTCTTTGTATAGGCTTTTCACCCTGAAGAATCATATATTGATTTTTTTTTTAAAAAATGGAGATGGCCTAGATTTAAGGCTAGCTCCAGAAATACTTTTTTTTTTTTTTTCAAAGATTTATTTATACAAGCACTGGGGTACAGGCCAGAGGTGCAGGAGGGTGGGGTGAGAGAATTCACCAGAGACAGCAGGGAGCAGAACAGGCAGAAGGACAAAAATACACTGTTGAGGGGAGCAGTGGGCGAGATAGGAGAGGTCTGTCGCACCATGTGGGAATCTCCCTGGCCGGCCAGGAATCGAACCGGCACTGCAGAGGCTTCGGACAGCTTCACAGCGCTGCACTCAACCCACTGTGCCACTGGGGAGATCCCGAATAATCATATATTGATGGCACGATTCTGTGTTTTCTCTTCAGTGCTACCTTGCTCTAGCCAAGGGAGGCTTATCTGATGACCATGTCCTCATTCTGCCCATTGGACACTACCAGTCAGTGGTTGAGCTTTCAGCAGAGGTAGTAGAAGAGGTGGAGAAGTACAAAGTTACACTGAAACGTTTCTTTAAGAGTCGAGGGAAACGGTGTGTTCTATTTGAGAGAAATTACAAGAGCCATCACCTCCAGCTACAGGTAAGTGGTCTCTGTCCTAAAAGCCCTTTGGGCACCTGGATGTTGATAAATATTTAAATAATGTCAGTTTAATACTCAGTTTTAATTAATTTTTAAATATTTGGTCCTAATCTAAAATTAAACACTACTTTTTTAATATTTGAAAATTTACTAGGAATTTTCTTACTAATATTTAAATAATGATCATGTAAAAGGTTAAAAAGTCTCTTTTAAAAGGTGATGACTCGGGCCTCCCTGGTAGCACAAGGGGTTAAGAAGTATCGTATGAAGCTGTCCGCAGCCACTGCAGCACGAGTCCAGTCCCCAGCCAGGGAGCTACCTACATGGCGCAGCAGACCTCTCCTGACTCACCCGCTGCTTTCTTCAGCAGTGTGTTTCAGTCAGTCCACCTGTTCTGTTCCCCACTCTGTCTCTGTCGAATCCTCTCATCCCCCCACACCTCTGGCCTGTACCCCAGTTCTTGTATGCATAATTTAAAAAAAAGAATTTTAAAAGGTGATAACTCTAGAGACTTCACAGGAAGATGCATCATCACTACAATTAACAGCACAGACAGTAAGGGCCTTGTTTAGAAGAGGAATGTGTAGTTGAGAAAGGTTCCAGGAAAGATTTGGGTCTTGATAACTAGGGTTTGGAAGAAGTGAATATTTTATGTGGAGGCCCAGTGTGAGTAAAGACTCAGAGATAGGACAGTCCCTGAGAAATTCACTTTGTTTATAGACAGTTTATTTATAGCTGTGGTGGTTTTCATTCTGGCACATTTGTTAAGTTTTCAAATGGGCCTGATTCTGCCACAGATATTGCATAGGAGCTGGTAAAGGCTGGATGACAAAGCGATCTTTCTCTAGCCTTTTCCACATCAGAGATTGGCTCCCACATGTGGCAAGCTCTCTCATAAGTTTAAGTCCTTACAGACCGGCTGACACAGGCCTGTCTGACCTGAGGAGAATTTATGCTGAGGGGTTTTTCTTCACCCCTGTGATGAATTTGCTACTTCTCAGGGACTGTGCAGAAGGTCTGAACTCTGTGGGTCCTGCACAAAGAATTGCTGGCAATCTCTTCTTCCCCCACCCCCAGCTTATTCCTGTGCCACTCGGTTGCTGCAGTACTGATGACATCAAAGATGCCTTCATTACCCAGGCACAGGAGCAACAGATAGAGCTGCTGGAAATCCCAGAGCACTCTGACATCAAGCAGGTAAAACAGGAGGGAAGGATGACGTTCAGGGAGAAGGAAAGACCTGGTTTCTGATATATCGAGTTTGAGGTACTAGCAAGGAATTCTAAAAATGTTAAATACAGGTGGCAGTTTGGAACTCGAGCTTAGGGTACTGTTTAGACTGGGGATAGAGATGGCATGACAGCAGTGCCTTCATGCTTTCCTGGGAAGGGCAAAACATTTCTTAAGATAGGAACTTAGAAGGATGGGTGTCACTGGGAGAATCTGCCAGTCTGGCTTAAACTCTAGTTCCGCTAAGTGGTTTGGGACCTATAGCTGCTCATATCCTTTTTCTGGTGCTTCTAGACTCAATTCTTTGCTAAATTCAAGCTTATAAGAGATGAGTTAGGGGTTTAGGGTTCTAGAGCAGTAGTGTGTCCTCATGCAGCTCTGTTTACTTTTTAATTATAGTACTAATATTACCAAGCTGCTCTCCACTTAAAAAAAAATTAGTGGAATGTTTAATTCTGTTTACTTTTTAGATTGCACAGCCTGGAGCAGCATATTTTTATGTTGAACTTGACACAGGAGAGAAGCTTTTCCACAGAATTAAAAAGAATTTTCCTTTGCAGTTTGGAAGGTTTGTACACATATGTATGTGTTTATACGTGTATGAGAGAGAGAGAGAGAGTGTGTGTGTGTGTGTGTAATTTGATGTATTTTCAGTGGACCCACTATGAACATAGTAGTGGACTGCATAGATGGTGGAATAAAAAGCCACATAAGAAAAAGTCCTTGTCCCAAGAAACCAATAGTCTTAAGGCAAGTCAGATATTTATATATATATATATATATATATATATATATATATATATATATGACAGTAACTTAAGGCAGAATGTAAAAAGTACCATAACAGAGTTTTGAGGGCCAGTGTAGTTTAGAAAATCAGAAAAGGGAGAACTTGTTTCTACTTGGTCAAAGACTTCATGAAAGATAGAATTTGGGTCTGAGAGGTAGATTTACAAGGCAGACATGGGGTGGTTTTCTAACCTGAAGGAGTAAAGTGCTACCATTAATTGAGCATATACTCTGTACCAGGACTATGCCAAGAACTTTACATGCAAATAAAGTTATTTCTAATGTATCATTATAAGTAAAAATAAATTAAAGCAGTGGCAATTAGAAGGTAGCATGTGTGTGTGTGTCTGTGCATGCACATAGTTATACTTTAGTCTGAGAGCTAAGATAAGTTATTTTGTGGTGTTGAGCTTGTGCTATTGTGCCTATGTGTGCCCCAGTCCCCTGCAAGGAGAGTCAGGAGTTTTAAGCCAGAGGGCTATGACACACTGTGCCTGACTCTGAACCATGCTCTCAGCAAATTCATGGTCTATTTGGGATGACAAACTGCAGTTTATAGCAGGATGTAAGCACAGCAGGTTTGGTGCTTTGATTGTTACCGCCATACCTCAAAGAAACCCTTAATTTGTATTCCATAAATGAGGGAATCAAGACTGAAAGTTGAAGTAATCTGTTCAAGTCATAGATACCAAGTGGTGGAGCTATGGATGAAATCCAGCCTCTGACCTTTTTGACACCAGAGCGTGCCCTCTTTCTGCTGTGTCATATTGCTTCAGTAATATAATTCCAAGTTGTTCAAAAGAGAAGTAAATGGAATATGAAGGTTTAGGAAAGAGATAAGACCTGAGCCAGTCACTTGAAATGCATGTGCACTTGATAGAATGGCAGTGATGGCACTAGGGTAAAAGGAAATTGTATAAGCAAAATCAGAAGAATTTGCCTACCTTTGTTGGGTGATGCTGTGGTGAGGGCTGTGATTGTAGAGAAATGGGAGAGGAAATTCAGGCTGCTATTCTCCATTTTGACTTCCTTGTGCTTTTTCTGCAGGGAGGTCCTAGCCAGTGAAGCCATCCTGAATATTCCTGACAAGTCTGACTGGAGGCAGTGTCAGATCAGCAAGGAAGAGGAGGAGACTCTGGCTCGTCGCTTTCGGAAAGATTTTGAGCCCTTTGACTTCACCCTGGATGACTAAGCAAGGGGAAAAGCACTTTATGAGCTTCATAGGAAGTAGCAATCTGTTTTTTTTATGAAATGACAGTCTCCCATGGGGACTGTTTCCCTGCCTCTTTTTGGTGCATTCCCATGGAACCTGCCTGGTGCGAGAGGCTTAAAATGGAGTATTTTAGAAAAAGTCACATTCTAGGGTGAAAATTTGTTAAAAAGTACAAACATCAGCTACAAATATAGCTTGATTTTGTCAACATTTTCAGAAACATGTAAACTATCAAATAAAATCCAGATGCTTTTCTATGGTTGGAAAGTGTGGTTTCATGTTACTTATAACCATTGAAATGAAGTACAGTTGATCCTTGAAAATATGAGTTTGAAATGTGTAGGTCTACATGGGAATATTTTTTTTGGAGATTTGCAACAATTTTAAAAAAACAAAAACAAATCACTCAAATGGACTGCATTGTCTAGAAGTATTGGAAAAATTAAGAGAAAGGAATGTAATGAATGCTTAAAATGTACTCTCTCATTAGGCACTATAAAACATACATATTTATTATGAAAAGTTAATTTATCAAAACCTTCACACAAACAAGCTGAATGTGGTGCCATTCACAGTTGAGAAAAATGTAAACAAATGTTGTAACTACATAAAATTAACTGTAGTATATGCAGTAATTTCATAGCCACGACCTGTTGCTATTGTGAGTTTAAGTGTTGTGAATATTACATATGTCTTGGCTCAACCATGTTACAATATGTTAGTTGGAATCCCAAGTACTGAGCTGACAGGCTGGGCTACACACGACTTCCCAGAGCACATGACTCCACTAAATAGAGCAGCACATCCTTAAGTTGTTTGGAATTACGGGGGAGAGTATCCATTAGGTGTATGAGAGGTCAAGCAAAGGAAGAGCTCACGACGAATAGTTTATGGAAGATTAATGATTTTTTTTAAATGAACTATGAAGGCGAGTGCATCAGCGGACCAGTTAGCACGGGGTTCTTCCTAGTTCTTAGGATTCCACACTATTTAAATCACTGGTGGCCTTTGCCAGTACCAGCGCAGTGGGTGGTGGGGGCTGCAGGAGATGGCGAGGTCTTGAAGAGAGGCGTGTAGGGGAGACTGGTTTGGAACGTGACCGGGAGGCGATGCAGGGTTCGGAGAGAGCTTTGTGAAACGCAGCTAGAAAACGTCCTGGGAACATAAGACAGCGGACGGAGGGCTCCTCAACGCCTCACCCTCTGGAGGGCTGAGCTGCAGCTCCTCGCGCGAGCTCGGGGCGGGGCTTTGGGGGACAATAGACACCCTCGCTCGGCCAGTACGGAAATGACGCATCGTCTCGCGAGAGGACGGTTGCGCGAGCCTCGGCGGCCCGGAACCGGCCTTGGAGCGGTGGCGGAACCTGCGGCCGCCTGCCCTCCCGCCCCATGGAGCGGCCCCCGGGGCTGCGGCCGGGCGCGGGCGGGCCCTGGGAGATGCGGGAGCGGCTGGGCACCGGCGGCTTCGGGAACGTCTGCCTGTACCAGCATCGGGTGAGGCGGGCGCGAGGGAGCCGCGCTGGGTGCTTGTCATAGCCTGTGGAGCCGTGACTGTCAGTACGTGAGGCTGTCGGAGAGACCGGGGCACTGTTGTGGCCGGAGAGTGCCCCGCGTGCGTGCGTGTGCGGGGCGGGGGGCGAGAGGGAGAGGGCCTGTGAGCCTGGTGACCTCGTCTCAGGTGGTACCTGAGGTCTTAGGTCAGTGTGTGGGGTATATAGAACTGTTAGGGGAACTTTTGGTCTGAGTGTCAAGCTATGACAGGTTGTTTACTGAGTGTGACAGCGCATGTGTCTCTCAATGTAGAGGAGTCAGGGCGTGTGAGGCAGACACAGCAGAGTGTACGTGTGAACACGAATGCGTGAGTAAAGGGGGCTGATGAGGAGGGCTGTCTGTTGGAGTGTGTGTGTGTGTGTGTGTGTGTGTGTGTGTGTGTGTGTGTGTGTATTAGGAGGACATGAGATGCCAGTAGGGGCTGGGGTAGACAGGTTTCATGGAGGGTGTACAGTTACGCTTTTGGAAGCATTGGGTAGGCTTTGGGATTGGGGGAACAGCTTTTTAAAATGATCATGACTTCAGAAAGGAAGGTCGTGGACCTGGGGTAAGGTTCTCTGGGGGTGGAAGACACCTGCCTTCAGATGTGGGATTTTACTTTGATTTAACAGGAAATGTTTGACTGCTGTAGCAGGAGTTAATAATTATGTTTGAGTTGAGCTTCTTTTGAGGCATTTTACCAATAAAAACTATAAACCCTTTTGCAGAAAAAAATGCATAAATGCACATCCACAACACTATATGCATTGCCATTTGAGGGTGTTTATGCACTCCTAAAGGACATTCTCAAATATGTAAACGCTGGACTATTATTCTCTGCAGTATCACCTTTGTTTTCTCATCTCTTAAATGTGTATAATAATGTAAAATGTTGTGGGTCTGTTTTGAGAGGTAAATAAGATAATAATGTGTGTAAAGCTAAGTATAGTACCTCGCCCATGGTAAGCTGTGAAATATTAACTCCTGCGGCTGTGTTATTCTTGCTATTATCATTCTTAAATAGGTAAATATCAAGATGTAGTGGTGTTCTAAGAAGATTATTTTGTAAAAGATAAATCTGAGTGGAAAAACATGAAACAAGATGAACAGTTAAGATTTTACTATAAAATGCCTGCATTTGACCTATAAATGGAGAAATTATGATTTGCTGTCTTAAGGAATATGAGAACAGTGGGGAGAACCCACACTTCAGGGTGGGAGATGAGAGTTTATGTGGCGGAAATAGTACACTTTTGTGCAGTTAGAATGACAGATGTCACTGATAGAGTTGATGAAATTCTGTGAAGCAGATTTCATAAGAGGAAATTTTGGGGAGAGAGAGGATGGAAGGTGAAAAGGATAAGGCATTAAATACTTTGATAGTCAAACAGTATATTTAATTATTCTCCTCATCAGAGGGGATGTAAAGTACTCAAAGAGAAAAGAGAGGGACTCAAGTGCTTCCAGTAGAATATTGCTCATGGCCTTGCTAACTAAGCTGCCCATCAGCCTGGTCTTAAGAAAAAATGTGTTATACATGCTGGCATGCTTTTGTGGATGCTTTCCTTGTTCCCTGACTTGGGGTTGGGTGAATATGTCTTTTTTTTTTTTAACTGTGATAAAGTATACATAGCTTAAAATTTATCATTTTAACCATTTTTAACTGTATAGTTCAGTTGCATTCAGTTGTGCACCCATCACCAACAACCATCTTCAGAACTTTTCAGTCTTCCCAGAGACTCTGATCCCATTAAACAATATTTCCCCATTTCCTCCTCCCCCATTCGCTGACAATCACCTTTGCTACTTTTTGTTTCTGTAACAGTCATCATTTCTTAAATGGAAGACATTTGGCTTCCTTTAGAATCTTGAAAAATCACTCAAGAGGGCCTCCCTGGTGGTGCAGGGGTTAAGTCTAGCACTATCAAGCTATCACTAGCCACTGTTGCCTGAGTCGGCCTGAGCTCTATGGCCTGAGTTCGATTCCTGGCCAGGGACCTGACCCACATGGTGCAGCAGACCACGCCTGTCTCGCCCGCTGCTTCCCTCAGCAGTGTATTTCAGTGGATCCACCTGTTCTGCTCCCTACTCTGACTCAGGTGAGGCCTCTCAAACACCTCTCCAACACCTCTCCTCCCACCCCCCCCACCCTGCCCCCATGCCTTTGGCCTACACCCCATTTCTTGTATATATAAATAAATAAAATGAATCTTTTAAAAAAAAAAATCTCTTAGGAACTTTCCAATTGCCAGCGTGACCCTTTCCCCAAACTGGGACATTTGACAACAGAGCCTATAGCAAGAAGAGAAGACATGCTTTGTCATAAGAGTTGGAAGCAATATCATTCCTTTTCCAAACCTGACTAAGGTGTGCATTTATGGTTTTCAAGATCCCAGTGTTCTGGTACAAGCCACATCCCAGGATTTCATCCACACCTTTTAAAACAACGAGGAAGAGAAAAAGATATGAGATAGTTTATTTAGCTCATTATTTTGCTGGATGCCTATGGTAAATCTCTTTCTCTGTCACACGCACACACACAGACACACACACCCCCACCCCTGGATGATACACACTCACACACACACACACACACACACACACACACACACACTCACACACTCCCCTCCCCCCCCCAAGGAGACTTCAAGTCTAGTGGTGGCTAGAGACACAGAAACACTTTAAGTGCAGTGGTTACAATGAAGAATTTTTAAAGTGATATGGAAACAACAAAATAACCAAAGAACTCTACCTCCAGTAGGGTAGCACTTCTTTCTCAAAGTGTGTTTGGAAAAACTAATCTCAGAAAAGAGGTTGGGAAAAGAGGTTATGTTGGTCTGATACATTGGGAAATCGTGCAGTATTCCTTTATTTGGAGATTGACAATTCACATTAGCTTACTACAAGCTCTGAGAAGTTCTGTAGTAAAGAAACTAATTTAACTTTCTATTTTCCTTTGTATTTTTTAACTGTTGTAAGAGAAGCATAATGTTTCCATTTTAACTATTTTTAAATTCTGGAACATGATGTACATTCATACACTCTGCAGTCATCACCACTACCCCTCTCTCTATTTTTTAAAACAACTTTTTTTTTGGGGCAGGACATTTATAAACTTTTCACAGAACATTCTGAAAAGGTAGAGTAAAGAGGAAGGCCTTCACAGAGTAGGTGAAATATAAACTGAGGAGTTGAATAATCTTTTAGGATGGGATCTTTTTAAAATACATAGCTTCCTGTCTCATTCATATGAAAATTTAGGACTGTATGTTGTTCATGCTTGTACCAGAATGTCTCATGAGTTTACATGGCACTTAGCTACAGGAAGGTACATGCTCAGAACAAAAGAAAGATTGAGGGGAGTGAGGACTGTAGTTAGGCTAGATTGTAGTCTTAGTTCTTTTCTTCTCTCTGTATGCATTGAATATCCTATCTGTAGCCTCTCCTCTGTGTCCCGCCCCCTCCCGCCCCACCTTTAGACTGTTCCATCCATGTCTTATTTCCTCATCTGTATATTTTTTTCCTTCCTGTTTGGTCCTGACTGCTGGTCCTGAGCCTCATTTTTAGTGATGCCTGTATGTGATGAGCTCTGGCTATTTCCTGTAATGTGCTTCTGGGTGGTTTTAATTTTAGTCAGAATTGACTAAATCATTAGTCAAAGGCAGGAGTGGACAGGTTCATTTTATAATATTTGGAAACAGAAGTATAATCATTGTAGGATTATTTTATATGTCATTTGAAATGTAAAGATTAGGAACTAATTCTGCAGTTTTTATAATAGACTTGGTCATATTAAAACTATTTCTTGGAAAAACTATTTCTTGGAATTCAGGGAATTCTGAATTCTCCTCTTCATTCTATTTAGTCTAGAGGCTTGTTAATTGTCTTAACTAACTTTGAATAGAGTTTGGAGGGACAGGGTCCTTGGTATTTCTCTTTCTAGTAATATATTGTGAGACAGTGTACTGAAGAGACCTGATAGAGGATCAGCCTTAGTCACTTTTTGATTGTGTGTCTGAAGGTCAGTTTTAAAACATTGCTTGTGTAGCTTCATAGTTTACCTAGCAAAAGTGTTGACTCAGGAGAGCCATGGATAAATATTTAATTAGTAGAGCTAAAAGAGTTTTGTTTTCCCAAGTTGACATTTCTTTGATAACAAGTAAATATGCACAAGAGCCTAATACATTATTTTGTTCATTTTTTATGTTGGCAGGAACTTGATGTCAAAATAGCAATTAAATCATGTCGCCTAGAGCTAAGTACCAAAAACAGAGAGCGGTGGTGCCATGAAATCCAGATCATGAAGAAGTAAGTGTACTTGATGACATTTTCTCAGTTTTGCAGCCTACCTAGATGGCATCATAGGGAAGGGGGCCAGGAATTTATCCTTCTCAGCATCTTTTTGGGTACATATTTTTTTCTCTCTCATGAAATAAGTGTGTTCTATTTCAAATAGCATCACATTATGATTGTTATAAGGAAGTTTAGTTTAAAAAGTCATCTAAGGGGCCTCCCCTGGTGGCGCAGCGGTTGAGCTCTGGCCTGCGAAGCTGCCCGCAGCCTCTGCAGTGCCAGTTCAATCCCCGGCCACCGGCGAGGGTCCCACATGGCACATAGACCTCTCCTGCCGCACCCGATACTCCCTTCAGCAGTGTACTTTGGTCCTTTTGCCTGTTCTGTTCCCCGCTCTGGCTCTGGTGAATTTTTTCACCCTCCCACACTTCTGACTGTACCTACCCAGTGCTTGTACAAATAAATAAATAAATCTTTAAAAAAAAAAAGTCATCTAGGAATTATAAAACTTTCTCCAAGGACAGAATCTATCTCTTCTGGATCTTGGGCAATACTCATCTGCTATATCTTCTAGTTAAAGATAAGTTACTCTTATCTCTTTACTCTTATCTATTTTAGTTGAATAGTTTACTTATTGCTTTGACAAAAATTACTTGAAAAATTAGTGGCTTAAAACAGCTAATATTTAATATCTCACAGTTTCTGTGACTGAGGAATTTGGGAGTGACTTAGTTGGGTGCTTCTGACTCAAATTTCTTCTGAATTATGTCAAAATGTTGACTGGAGCTATAATCACCCAAAGATGTGACTGGAGTATTTCCTTCCAAGTTCTTTTATATGACTTTTTGCCAGAGACATCAGTTCCTCAGCTTGTGGGCCTCTCCACAGGGATGCGTGAATGTCTTCATGACATGGCAGCTAGGTTTCCCAACATGAGGGATCTGAGACAGAGAGCAAGAAGGAAACATATCGGTTATGATCTTTCCTTGGAATTCATTTCATCATTTCTACCGCACTGTGTTTGTTAGAAATGAGTCACTAAGAACGGTCTACTCTAAAGGTGAGAAAAAGTAAGCTCTTGAAGGGAAAAGCAGACGTATCTTTGAAACTCCAAAGGTACTGTATTCAGTTCTTTATAAATAATTCTTCTAGTTGTCACAAAAACTCTATAGTTAGGTATTATCTTTGTTTATAGTAACAAAGTTGAAGTTCATAGAGTCATACAACTGGTAGATAATAGAGTCTGGGTTTAAAATAAGCACTTTCTGACTTTAGTGTCTGTGCCCAAACTTGGTAATGTGGGGGCAGCATCAGGAAAGCGTGTTCACAACCCTCCTCCTGGAGATTGTTTCTTTAGGACCTGTGAGTCAATCCTAGGTTTGACATCTTCTGTCTGATGATGATGGTGGTGGTGGTGGTGGCGGAGGCTGGAATGATAATATTGTTAAGTTAAAAAAAACCATGTCAGAAAACAACATATAGTGTGGTTCAATATTCATTGAAGAAAATATATTAGTGTACAGATTAAAATCTGGAAGTAAATACAGCAAAATTTTAATAGACTCAGCTTTGAGTGACATTGTGATTATGGGAGAGATGGTCTTATATAGGCTTTGGAACCAGGCTGGCACATTGTATCCTTACGCAATCACCTACAAACTGTGATCACATGTTACTTAACCAGTTTGTGCTTCAGTTTTCTCTTGTGTGATATGACTATTAAGTCTACCTAGAATTATTGCGATAAGTCAGTGAGTTAATATATGTAAAGTGCTTACTGTTTTCCACATAGAAATGTAGTAGTAGTAATAGTATTTTTATCTATATTTTCTTTATAAAATTTTTTATTTTTAATTATACAAAAGGCAAATTTTATAAATAATGCCAACCTTCTTTCCCCTCATTGCCCTCCAGTTACTTACCATTTCCAACCTAGTCCGTTTTCATTAGAAGGTAATTTTTATTTTATTATTTTCATTTTTTATTGTGGTAATGTTGGTTTATGCCACTGTTTGTATTTGAGTAGTGTGGGCTCCCTGCCTTCAAGCGTTGTTGCCGTAGTGCACCCCCCACTATAGTCCACCAACGCTCCCATAGTCCACCACCACAGTCCACTGATTGAAAAACAATTTTTAATTATATTTTCCCCTTCTTTTTCAGGTTGAACCATGCCAATGTTGTAAAGGCCTGTGATGTTCCTGAGGAGCTGAATTTTTTAATTAATGATGTGCCTCTTCTAGCAATGGAATACTGCTCTGGAGGAGATCTCCGGAAGGTAGTGTGAATTTTTGAGATGATGAGAGTAAATCAGGAACTTTAGCAGTGCTTGAAGAACTTTCAATATGGTCATTGAGATTATGGATCAGAGAACTGTGACCAGTTACCTTTTTTTGGTTGTTGTTAAATAAAATTTTACTGGAACACAGCCAGGCTCTTTCTTATGCATTGTTTATGGCTGCTTTCGTACTGCTGTGACAGAGTTGAGTAGAATAAAGTGTTTGCCATCTGACCTTTTACAGGAAATGTTGACTGATCTCCGGTTTACAACAGGCCTTTTTTTGATATTGGTGTTTACAGAATGGAATTATATTGATGTTAGATCAAAATATCCATGTTGAAGGTGTTTATAAAAAAGTTGTTTTCTCTGCTGCAAATCTTTCCTGTCTCATTTTAAATCTACCATATGGCTATTGTTTGAGTTTTCAGGGTTTTTTTTTTAACCTTCCAATTTCAAATATTTTACTTTACTTACATAAGCTTTGCCATGAAATTTATGTGTCCTCAGTATGGATTTGGTGATTTTTACCCTCATATTTTATTAATTACAACTTATTTTCTTGTCTGAATAATCTTATTATAGTGCTAAATATGTTGTTATTATTGCCCAGCAATATTGGCAGTATACATTTTTTTAGACTTCTTTTTATTTCTTTAGCTACTGAACAAACCAGAAAATTGCTGTGGACTTAAAGAAAGCCAGATACTTTCTTTACTAAGTGATATAGGTATGTAAGCAATATAAAATTACTATCATAATTTAATGCCCCTGGGCCTCTTTGGTGGTCTAGGGGTTAGGTCTCATTGCTATAACTGCTGTGACATTGAGTACATAATTCGATCCCTGGCCAGGGACCTAACCCACATATGGTGCAGTAGACCTTTCTTGTCTTACCTGCTGCTCCTCTCAGCAGTGTATTTCAATAAATCTGCCTGTGTTGTTCTCCACACTGTCTCTGGTGAATCCTCTCACCTCTGGCCCACACCCCAATTCTTCTATGCAATTATTATTATATAATGTCCCTTTGGTAGTATAAAAGATTCTCATACTACTGCTTGGGAATTAAAGAAAATTGTTGCTATATATACAAAGCATAAAATTTTAGTATCTATGTGAGACTTTTTAAAAAATTTAAGTGTTACTGTGGATGTTAAATTAAAGTTAAGATATTTTGTAATTAATTTTTATTTTTGACTAGGTGTCCATTTTTGGTTAATAGATGAATTAATTGCTGATGAAAGATTATGTGAAATGACCTTTCAATTTTATTCCTCCTCCCCAATTAACATAGTAACTATTTACCAGTGTCACTGTTTCTTGGGCAGAGGTTTTAAAGTCAGCTTTTCAGGTGAAACATCTCTTTATATTCATTACTCCTGAAAAAAGCCCTAAAATAACTAGTACTTAGGCCCTTGGCGGAAACTTGAAGACCAAGAATATGTTTATATATTTTAGTTTTGCTTTCTTTCTTGGGTCATAGTGTCCAAAGTCTAATTGAAGAGGGTGATGTAGGTTGGAGGGAAAGGCTACAAGGGTAAATATATGCTTTTTCATTTCTTTTTAATGTTCTTTTCAATGTTAATTTTCATAAGTTAAATGAGCATATATTATAATTCTGTAGTATTTGTCTTAATGTTACTGGATTTTCTGTGGAGAAAATCTCAACTGCTTTAATATCATTTATTCTTTAGTTGTAGTGGCCCATATGAATTTGAGCATTGGAGCGGATTTGTACAAAATGTGAAATGAATTATTTTTTATTTAATTTAGTGTTTGCTATTACCTCAAAATGCATCTTAAACTTTTAGGGTCTGGCATCCGATATTTGCATGAAAACAAAATTATACATCGTGATCTGAAACCAGAAAACATAGTTCTTCAGGATGTTGGTGGAAAGGTAGGTGGAACTTGAAGAAATGACCCATGCCTATTGACTACAGTCTCCCTGATGTGGCTAGTCTTTGAGGTTTGGTGCCTTCCTGTATACCCCTAGCATTTTGTTCTTTGCTCCCCCAGTCCTTACTACACTGAACTATACTTTCGTGTTTAGTTTTTCTTCCCTGCTAATGAAGTAGCTCTTTCAGAGAAAGAACTACCTTGTATACTTGTTTTTCCAGCACAGTTTCTACCAGAGAGAGTAGGCAGTGAGTACATAATTTGTTAATCCTTAGGAAGCACATCCAAAAAACACACACATCCTACATCTGCCTTACTTTAAGATTAAAAAACCCCAACTAATTTAAGGAAAAAAACCCAACTAATTCTTCTCCCACAAGGTTCCAAGTGCTGTTGTTAAATTAAAATCCAAACCCTTGATTTCTCAGATTCCTAAATGAGTCATCTTGGGAAAAAAAAACAAACAAACAGAAATTGTGAATTGACTCCTAAAATTTTTATTTTTATCAGAATAATTTGAGCAATTTTCTTGCTTCCAGTGCCCAGAATCTGTGTAGACCCAAGAGTCTGAACCTTGAGTTCTTTAGTTAGTGAGATGTTGGTCAGTTTTAGGTGATACGACATAGCTGATGCTTTTTTTTGCAGAGCCTTTCATTTATGCTTTGCACCAACTTTGCCTTGTTGTGTATCCAGGATATTTTTGAGGTTAGATAGGCATTTGCTCGCATCAATCCATTCTAAGATGGCATAATGCTGCTTCAATATTTTCACTATTTCGTTGAATCCTAATAACAATTATGTAGAGTAGGGATTGTTAGTAATACCATATATAGGAAACTGAGAGAAGATAAGTAGCTTAATCAAGATCACATGACTAGTAAAGTGGTAGAGATCAGACTTGGAACATATTTGTGTTATTACAAAATGCAAGCTCTACTACAAACTTCTCTAGGGACTGTTAAGGGCATTGTTGCCTTTCCTTTTCATATTTGTCAACCATTTAATATTTTGCAGATTATGCATAAAATAATTGATCTGGGATATGCAAAAGATGTTGATCAGGGAAGTCTGTGCACATCTTTTGTGGGAACGTTACAGTATCTGGTAAGACTTGTATTTTTTTTTTTCATTGTCTTATTTTAGGTTTTTTTAAAATTATCTTACATTGTTTTTCATTTTTTGTACAATATTTGAGTTCTCCTCCTGGGTGTAGTCCCATAAATCTCCCATTAGGACATCACCCTGTGAACCATCACCATAGTGCCTTGTGCTCTTCCTTCACCTGTTTTGATCCCTCTCTCCCTCCCCCTCCCCTGCTGTATATCTCAGATCTCTAATTTGCCTGTTAGTTTTGTCTTTTTTTCTCTTTGTTCAATTTCCCTGTATTCCTCCTCTAAGTGATATCATCTGATATTTTTTCTTTTTCCTTCTGACCTATTTCACTGAGCATAATCCTTTCCAGCTCTACCCATCTTGTTGCAAATGGAATGAGTTTATCTTTTTTGATTGCTGAGTAGTGTTCCATGGTGTATATATACATCTTCTTGAGCCATTCATGTATTGGGGCATTTAGGTTGTTTCCATATCTTAGCTGTTGTAAAAAAAGTGCTGCGATAAACACAGGAGTGCAGTTTTCCTTTCAAATTAATGTTTTTATGTCCTTTGGGTAGATTCCTAGGAGTGGAATTGCTGGGTCGCATGGTAGCTCCATTTTTAGGAATTTGGGGATCCTCCACACAGCTTTCCATAGTGGCTGGGCTAGTTTGCATTCCCACCAGCAGTATAAGAGGGTTCCTTTTTCTCCACATCCTCTTCAGCATTTGTTGTTGCCAGTCTTTGATACGGGCCGTTCTCACCAGTGTAAGGTGATATCTCATTGTGGTTTTGATTTGCATTTCTCTGATTATAAGTGAGGTTGAGCATTTTTCAAATGCTTATTGGCCATTTTAATTTCGTCTTTGGAGAAGTGTCTTTTTAGCTCTTTGGCCCATTTTTTCACTGGGTTGTTTGCTTTGTTTTGGTTGAGTCATGTGAGATCTTTGTAGATCTTGAAATCAGTACCTTATCAGTTGTATGGAATGCAGATATTTTCTACCAATCAGTAAGATGTCTCCGGGTTTTGATTATTGTCTCTTTTGCTGTATAGAAGCTTTTTAGCTTGATGTAGTTCCTGCTTTTCCTTCATTTTGTTTGCTTCTGGATGTCCTTAGTGATTCTGAGGTATATGTCATGGAGTGTCTAGCATGTGTTTTCTTCTGTGAATTTTATGGTTTCAGATCATATATTCAAGTCTTTTATCCATTTTGATGGGTTTTTGTATATGGTATGAGGTAGTAGTCTAGTTTCATTCTTTTGCATGTAGCTCTCTGTTTTTCCCAGCACCATTTATTAAAGAGACTATGCTTGTTCCATTGCATATTATTTTCTCCTTTGTCATAGATTAGTTGACCATATATGTATGACTTTATTTCTGGTTTTCAATTCGATTGCACTGGTCTGTGTGTCCTTTTTTTTGTTCCAGTACCATGCTACTTTAATTATTATGGCTTTGTTGTATAGTTTGAAGTCTGGGAGCATAATATCTCCATTCTCCCTCATTTAGTCAGGAGTGCTTTGGTTATTCAAGGTTTTTTTGTGATTATTGCTCTAGCTAGAACTTCCAGTATTATATTGAAAAGCAGAGGTGAGAGTGAACATTGGCTGTGGGTTTGTTGTATATGGCTTAAAGTATTGTTCCTTCCATCCCAGGAGTTTCAGGGACCTTCATCATAAATGGATGTTGAACTTTGTCAAATGCTTTCTCAGCATGTGTTGATAGGATCATATGGTTTTTATTTTTCTTTTTGTTGATGCTTCATTGAGTTGCATTAATTGATTTTCATATGTGTATTTTTTAATTGAAATTATATTGGTTTATAACACTCTAAGTATTGTTTCTTTGAATTTAAGTGGATCAATTTCATTCTTAATTCTAAAAGTCATGAATATAATGGTACAAAATAAGGTAACTTTTGTCTTATCATGACGGCATCTAAAACATTTTTTCTTTTTAAGGCCCCAGAACTCTTTGAGAATAAGCCTTACACAGCCACTGTTGATTACTGGAGCTTTGGGACCATGGTATTTGAATGTATTGCTGGATACAGGCCTTTTTTGCATCATCTGCAGCCATTTACCTGGTAAGAAGTAGAAGAGAGCTTTGGTGTGCTTGGGAAATGGAGATTTTCAATTGCCTGCTTTATTTTTCACTTCTCTATTCATGGTACAATGCTTTTAGAAATGTAATTGAATACAATAAAGTGGCAAGAAAAATCTAAATGTGTTTATGAGAATCAGATTGTCAACTGAGGCAGCTTTTGTTTTCATAGGCATGAGAAGATTAAGAAGAAGGATCCAAAGTGTATATTTGTAGGTGAAGAGATGACAGGGGAAGTTCGGTTTAGTAGCCATTTACCTCAACCAAATAGTCTTTGTGGGTAAGTGCATTTTAGTAGAGGAAGTTCTTCAGGGTTTAAAAAAGAACAATAGAGGGTCTCCCTGGTGGCTCAAAGGGTTAAACACAGCACTGTGAAGCTATCTGCAGCCTCTGCAGATTGAGTTTGATCCGTGGCTAGCCAGGAAGCTACCCATATGGTGCAGCAGACCTCTTCTGTCTCGCCCACTGCTCCCCTCATCAGTGTATTTCAGTCAGTCTGCTGGTTGTGTTCCCCACTGTCACTGGTGAATCCTCTCACCCCCTCCATACTTCTGGCCTGTACTTCAGTTCTTGTATGCATAAATTAAAAAAAAGAAAAGAAAAAAGAACAATAGAGTAGTTGTGTTTTCCAAGTAGCATTATCCAATAGAACTGTCTGTGTTGATGTAAATGTTTTATATCTTTGCTGGTCACCTGAGGCTGTTGAGCACTTGAAAGGTAGGGTAGGTACTGTGACTGAAAAATGAATTTTAAATTTTATTTAATTTTAAATAATTTAAATGTAAATTCAAGTAGTCACTTGTGACTGGTGGCTACCATATTGGACAGCACAGATCTAGTGGAAACCAGAACTACTGCCATTTAACTATTATCTTCAGTACCAAGAAAATTCTTGGGATGGTGCAGTTAATGAATTTCTTGGTGAAAGAAACTGGATTCTCCTGTTGAGGTTGCCAGTAACTAGCTTATATATATGGGTTTATCGTGTTTATTTTTTTTAATGGGAAAAAAGTTTGTCCTCTGTCATTTCAGAATTGATATAAAATGGTATAGATAAGTAATGACAAAGGACATTGACAACTTGTAAATTACCTTTTTTACAGTACTAAAGGAAAATTGAAACATGATTTTCAGTCTATTTTTGTATATTTTCTAGTTTAATAATAGAACCCATGGAAAGCTGGCTACAATTGATGCTAAATTGGGATCCTCAGCAAAGAGGAGGACCTATTGATGTTACTTTGAAGCAGCCAAGATGTTTTGTATTAATGGATCACATTCTGAATTTGAAGGTTAGTTCAAAGGGGGTCTACCTAATAAGTCTAATATTGAAGTTAACAATTTTATTCAGAACGTGAACATAAATATATTTTAATAATCTTGATGCTTATTTGAAAAATAAAATAATATTCTTAGAGCTGAAATTTTAAGCTTTCTCTGTTTTACTTCTTTGTGGTATTGATTATTCCTTTGAAGTATTTTTTTTATTTTCCCCTTCCTTATATTGCATATACTAGTCAGTGTAAGGAATTATATACTTGTCAACAGATAATAATTTTGTGTGACTTACCTAAAGGCAGTGGGAGGAAGAGGATTTAAAATGTTTCAGGGCCTCCCGATGGTGCAGGCAGTTGAGCGCATCGCTGTGAAGCTGTCCGCAGCCTCTGCAGCGCAGGTTGGATCCAGTCCGGCCGGCAAGAATCCCACATGGTGTGGCAGACCTCTCCTGTCTTGCCCGCTTTTTTTTTTAAAGATTTATTTATTTATTTATTCAAGCACTGGGTATAGTCAGAAGCATGGGAGGGTGAGAGAATTCACCAGAGCTAGAGCGGGGAGCAGAACAGGCAGACTAACAAAGTACACTGCTGAGGGGAGCAGCAGGCGTGGCAGGAGAGGTCTGTGCGCCATGTGGGACCCTCGCCGGCAGTCGGGGATTGAACCGGCGCTGCAGAGGCTATCGGCAGCTTCGCAGCCCAGCGCTCAACTGCTGAGCCACCGGGGAGGCCCCAATCTGCCTGTTCTGTTCCCTGCTGTCTCTGGTGAATCCACTTACCCTCCCACGCATCTGGCCTGTACCCCATTCTTGTATGCATGAATAAATAAATCTTTAAAAAAATAATAATAATAAAAAATAAAATGTTGTTTCAAAAGACTGATTTCTAGTTCTGTGGCTCCATGGTAAAGCCCCAGCTGACTCATTCTTGCCCTCTCTTGTCCCCTCTCAGGCTACTTTCACTGGGGCTTTAAGTGAGACTAAGATTTTTCTTATCTAACTTTGGGCCCTTAGCCAGATCACTGCTCTCAGATTTGGGTCTCATATCTGGAAAATGAGGATAACAATGCAGTTTCCTGTTTAAATAGAGGCCTATCTTTTCTGTCAGGTAATTATTTCTTGAGAAAGTAGTCAAGAAATTTATGAGTTCATATTTAAGCTCTTAACAGTTATCAGCTGTGTGACCTGACAAGTTATTTAACTTCTCAGAGAGCTGGTTTCTCTCTTTTGCCAAATGGTGATTAGAAGTTCCAATTAACAAAATATTATGCACATGGTTGGCATCTATTAGGCACTTGGTAAATGGAATGTTTTCTTCTAGGTCCATGATATGTTTTGCAGAATAAATGTTTTCTTTTTAAATTGGAATTTTTAGTGCTGGAATTTGTACATCCTTAAACCTTTGAAATATTTTCCCTTGAACTAACATCTGTTGTAGTAGAAAAGTAAACTCTGCTCTTCAGCTTCCAGTCTGTCATTTCATAATTATAGGAGATCTCACTTTGAATATGATTAAACCTTGTTTAGTGCAGCGATAGAATCTTTTTCTCATCTTGAGTCTTTTATGTACTTGATGATCAATAATCATTTCTCTTTTTTCTTATTTGTACAGATAGTACACATCTTAAATATGACTTCTGCAAAGATAATTTCCTTTCTGTTGCCACCGGATGAAAGTCTTCATTCACTACAATCTCGCATTGAGCGTGAAACGGGAATAAATACTGTTTCTCAAGAGCTTCTTTCAGAGATGGGAATTTCTCTGGATCCTCGGAAACCAGCCTCTCAATGTGTTCTAGATGGAGTTGTAAGAGAATTCTAATATACTTAGAGTATAAGAAATCTGTTTGCTGTAAGGGTTTGCATGTCTCATGTTTTTTGTATGTATGTGGGGGATGGCTCACATTTTATAATTCTTTTAGTTTTATCTTACTGTTACTGGTTATCATTGCTTTGCCAAGTGAACAAGATACAAATGACTTTCTCTTTGGTGTCACTTCTCTCCTCCTTCTTCACGTTTTGTACTTAAAGCCTAGAACCTTGAAATTAGACCAGAAGCCTCATAGATCCTGCCAGAGGATAGATGGATGGTAAAATATGATTGTGGTCGTGATTTATTTTTTCATTTTTCTTTTTATCACTTTATTGGGGCATATTGCAACTAAGTAATTTTTTTTTAACCAAAATTGTGCCATCACCATAAATCAGTTTTAAAACACTTCATCTCAGTAAGACCTTTCATGTCCATTGACTGTTAATTTCCATTCTGCCCACTGGCCCAGGCAATCACTAATTTACTTTATAGATTTGCTTTTCTGAACATTTCATGTAAATGGAATCATATAATCTGTAGTGTCTTGTGTTGACTTTTGCACTTATGTTTTGGAGGTCCATCCATGCCATAGCCTGTATCAGTGCTTCATTTCCTTTTGATTATGGAATAGCATTCCCAGTGCATGGATATATGTTGCTTTTTTGGGGGGGTGGGGGTGGTGATTGTTTTTTACTTTAACCCATTCTGCAGTTATTTATTTTTCTTAAGCAAAAGTTTTGACCCTAAGTCTGAGAGTTATGTTAATAAGTGTTGGCTTCATTCATTTGCATTTCAATGTAGGAAATCTATGGCTTAAGTACTTAGAGAATATAGGATTTTTAAGAAACTTTTTTTTTAATTCTTTTTCAGAGAGGTTGTGATAGCTATATGGTTTACTTGTTTGATAAAAGTAAAACTGTATATGAAGGACCATTTGCTTCCAGAAGTTTATCTGACTGTGTAAATTATATTGGTAAGTACAGTCCATTTATTAACTGAGTTTTTAATTCTGAAATAATATAATGTTGACTCAACATAATTAGTGGAAATTGTTTTTTGGTGTTTTTATTGTGTCTCATACTTGAGGTTTCTATATGTGACAAGAAATGTATTTATAATTTGAAAGGTGAAAAGACAGATTTTAAACCCTACCAGATTCCTCATTTGGGAGAAGACATATTCCTAACCATAGGGCTCTTATAGATAGAAGAATTGCCACTATTAACTAAGCCTACTTTTTTAGTTGCTCCTTTATTATTTAAGTATGTTCAAATATTTATTTCATTTTGTACTGTATACTGAATTAGGCAACCTTGGTGTTCAAATGTTTTCACTTCTCTGTGAGAATTATTTCTTTCTTTGGAATAAGTTAAGTGATCAATTTCTGTCTAGTCAAAATTAAAATCAAGTACTAACTTGTAAAATCAAGAACAAAATTGGACATAAGGGCTAAAACTATATAATCTTTCCTCTCTGTTACCATTTTGTTGTTGTTGTTTTTAAGTTTTTTATAGTTTGAATATACTGAAATGCACAGATCCTATAGTTTGGTGATTTTTGACAAATATATGTACATGTATAATTGACATCACTATCAAGATACAGAAATTTCCTTCACCTCAGACAGTTCCTTCATGTCTCTTTCCAGTTAACCCTCCTCCCAGACTTAATTTTATTGTTATTATTATTTATTAATAAGATTTTTTTAAGGAATGGTTTTAGATTACAAGAAGCTGAGCAATATATAGTATTCTTTCTCATGTTACTCCCCTTTCTCACACATGGTTTCCCCGTTTATTAACATCTTACATTAGTATAGTACATTTGTTACAATTAATGAACCAACATGTTAATATTAACCAATGTCCATACTTTATTCATACCTAAGTTTTTATTTGGTGTCCTTTTTCTGTCCATGATTTCATCCAGGATGCCACATTACTTTTAGTTGTAATGTCTGAAGAGGCTCCTCTTGGCTGTTAAAATTTCTTAGACTTTCCTTCCTTTTGACGACCTTGATAATTTTAAGGAGTTACCATGCAAGTATTTTGTAATTTGTCTCTGTTTTATAGATATTGCAGTTTATTTCTGTTGTAATTTATCAGATTTTTCCCCCTACATGATTGGACTAGGGTTATAGTGTTTTCAGAAAAATATTGCAGAAATAAAGTGCCATTTTCATCATGTTATATAAAAGGTACACACTATCAGCATATTTATGACCTGTATGACTTTGATTCCAGCTATAGTAGTGTTTGTCCATTTTCTCCACTCTAAGTTTAGTCTTTTTTACCAAACCCATACTCTACTCTTTGGGAGGAAGTCACTGTGCATAACCCATACTTAAAGAGGGGGAACTATGCTTTCCCTTCTTTAGGATAGCATATCTACCTAATTTATTTAAAGATTTGTCTCTTCTCTCCCATTTATATATTTATTCAATCATTTATTGTGTCAGTTTGCATTCATGGATATTTTTATGCTTTAGATTATAATCCAGTACTAATGTTTGAGTTGTTGAAGTTTTGCAGTTTGTGTTATTGTGTTGTTGCAGTTTTGGTCATTTGGAGCCTTTCAGTTGGTTCCAGTGCATTTTTTTTAAAGATTTATTTATGCATACAAGAACCGGGGTACAGGCCAGAGGTGCAGGGAGTGAGAGGATTCACCAGAGACAAAGCGGGGAACAGAATAGGTAGACTGACTGAAATACACTACTGAGGGGAGCAGCAGGTGAGTCAGGAGAGGTCTGCTGCGCCATGTCACTCGTGCTGCAGCTGCGGATAGCTTCATGGGTTGCGTCTTAACCCCTTGCACCACCAGGGAGGCCCCCAGTGCATTTTTCTTTTTCATACTTCCCTACATTTGGGCTTCCCCGGTGGTGCAGAGGTTGAGCGCTGGGTTGCAAAGCTGCCTGCAGCCTCTGCAGCACTGGTTCGATCCCCAGCTGCTCCCCGGCCACCAGAGGAGGGTCCCACATGGTGCGCAGACCTCTCCTGCCGCCCGCTGCTCCCCTCAGCAGTGTACTTCGGTCCTTCTGCCTGCTCTGCTCCCCGCTCTGGCTCTGGTGAATTCTCTCACCCTCCCATGCTTCTGACTGTACCCAGTGCTTGTGTAAATAAATAAATAAATCTTTAAAAAAACAAACAAACAAAACTTTCCTACATTTTAGCACTATAAGATGTTCCAGACTCATCTTGTGTGTTTCCTGCCATAGTCATAGAATCAGGTATTTCTCCAAGGATCCCTGGCTTCTTTAATTGAAGAATGGTATTTGGAAACCAAGATCTGGACTCTAGGTGTGCTTGTTGCTAATGGGGTATCATTCCTTTTAAGCTCTTTCAGATTTTATGTTTTAAAGAATATGTTTTGTGGGGAGGCTCATAAGGTTCCCCTCCCTCAGACATTTTATTTCAAAAAGTATTTGGATTGTTTTTGTTTTGTTTGGGTTTTGATATTTTGGTCTATTATAGGAAGTCTTATGAAAATAGAAGAAAGGTTAATTGAGGCTATTAATAATTATTATGGGAAATAAGATTTTTCCAGGTAGTGTTTTTTTTTTTTTAATCTACTTCAGAAAGTGTGTTTTCTCATATGAACACTAGTAGAGCAACCTGTCCCTGAAGGTTTTCACTGGAAAATAATCACAGAAACTACCTTAAAGTCTAAGGTTAATTTCTTCCAGTCTTGGAGATTTCAGTAAACTGAACACTTACCTGCCATAGTTTTAGAAAATAGCATTCCCTTTATCAAAGAAAGAATAAAAGATACATAAATGATTTTGTGAGTCTGGCATTGAAGAAACTGTATCTTATTGAACTGCCATTTACCCTGTATGTTTTTCTGAAGCTGGGTTGGTAGTCCAGGAAATGAAATTTATTAGTCAATGAGGGGATCAACTGTGGTGGATTTAGAACTTGAAAGATAAAACAAATTGGATTAGTGGGAAGAAACAGTATTCCAGTTTAGAGAGAAGCAAGGAAAAAAAGGCAGGTACAGAAAGGGTAGGGACTATGCTCATATTTATTTCCCTTTGCAGCTGAAGCAAGGCTTGTCTATTGTAGGTGCTCAGTAAATGTATATTGAATTGAATTAAACAGTATCAAGTGGTTATTTGTAGCATCTATGAGAATAATATTTAAACATAAAATCGCAAAGAATGATAAAAGACCTTAAAATCTTAAAAAATAACGGCCCCTGTTTTCTTTTTCCCCCATCTTCTTACATGTAGTACAGGACAGCAAGATACAGCTTCCTATTATACAGCTACGTAAAGTATGGGCCGAAGCAGTGCACTATGTGTCTGGGCTAAAGGAAGACTACAGCAGGCTCTTTCAGGGACAAAGAGCAGCAATGTAAGTAGATTCTGTTGCTTAGAGGAGCAGTGTCATGTGCATTAATACTGAAGAACTAATCTCACCAGTTTTCATTTATCAATATACATACAATAGTAAGATATTGGCCTGAATTGAAATGTAATATTGTCAGATTTATAGAATTCTTACAAATAGTCTGGAACTGTCCAGTTGGAATAACTTGAGAGTAGTTCCTGAGTGGGCCTAGTGCAGAAGATTGTTTTATTACAGAAGATCACAGGAAGGAATAGAGAGACCAGATTCAAGAGATTACCAGTTTCTTGTAATTTATAATAGACACAGGCTTTGGTGTATTGCAATTTAAGTTTTTAAATTTTGTCTAATGTTTCTAAAATGTTGATTTTTTTTTCTTTTTTGGTATGATTTAGGCTTAGTCTTCTTAGATATAATGCTAACTTGACGAAAATGAAGAACACTTTGATTTCAGCATCTCAGCAACTGAAAGCTAAATTGGAATTTTTTCATAAAAGCATTCAGCTTGACTTGGAAAGATATAGTGAGCAAATGACTTATGGCATATGTAAGTGTTTGGACAATGTGTTTGAAAGATATCTAGTCTTTAAAACCAGTATTGTTTTGCCTTCATTACTCACTAGCAGTTGTTTCACTTATGTTTTTGTTAGAACAAGAGACAGGGCAATTCGTCATAAACCATGTTTGTTTTGTATATTTGGTTTTCTAACCCTTAGTTGAGCAACTGTACATTCTTATTTTCACAGTTGAATTAAAATTAACTCCAGAAAAATACAGAAGTGATTTAAGAATTTGTGATTTTCAAATCTTCCTTTTAAAATAGATATAAAATACATGCTGAAGTAGCTTCTAGCCAGGGAAGTCTTAAACTCATCTTTATACTGTAAATAATTCTAGGATTATTTCTCCTCCAACCCATACCTTTTACTCTGGAGTTGCACTGTTTTTTATTGTACACAGTCTTCCGTTTTTCAGTATTTCACACCAAGCTTATCTCCCTTCAGTTGTACTAAAGAAATGTAAAAAGCAGAGTTAAAATTTAAATAATAAATTGAAGAGATCATCACCAGTATTTGTGTTTTCTTTCACTTTTTCCTTTCAAATATTATTAATTTGTAAGTTGTTTACACTCTGGTAGCGTGTTTTCACATCTTCACATGTACATGAGCTTCACTTACCCTCCACCAAGACTCCTATGCCCATGCCCTGTCCCCTTCCTTCCTGCATCCTCTCTTCCCTCGCCCGCCTCCCCTGTACCCAGTGTATTTTTCAGAGCTGAGAATTATCTTTGCTGTGCTTTGCCAGTTTGTTTTCTTTAGTTATTTATATTCCACAAATAAGTGAAGCTGTTTAGTATCTGGACTCTCTGATTTATTGATATGAGTTTTATTTTCTGTCTTTTTGTGTTTTTTTTTTTTTTAATTGTTTCGCCTTTTGGTTGTTTCTTTTTTATTTGTTTTTCTCTGCATTTTTATTTGGGTGGCTTTCCTTGGTGGTTCTTTCTGTTTCTTCATTTCTTCTTCTGTGTCTTGTCTAGATTTTTGCTTTTGGTTACCATGAGGATTATGTCAAATTGTCCAAGAAAGTCCTTTATGAACTGGTATGGACTCATAGTCATTCTGCTTGTTCTCATCTCATCTTCCTCCCCTACAGTGTTTTATTGTCTGATACTACTCTTGTACTCTTATACTTCTGATTCTGCATTCTTATTGTCACTGCTCAAGAATTTGTGTTTTATTTTTTTTCTGTTCTTCTAGAAGAACTTCTTTTAAGATTTCTTGTAGGGCAGGTCTGTAGTAGTTGACTCCATTATGTTTTTTTGGTCTGGGAAAGCCTTGATATTGCAATGATAATTTTGCAGGTTAAAGTATTACTTGACTGGCAGTTTTTGTCTTTTAGGACTGTGAACAGTTCATTCCACTCTTTTTGAGATTAGAGTAACTGCTGAAAAATCTGAAATGTTACCTTTTTTTCCTCCTAGCAGTATTTAATATTTTTTCCTTATTTTTGACTTTTGATAATTTAACAATGATGTGTCTTTTTTTTTATATTTAGAAATATGGCTGTTCTTTCTGCTTCCTGAATCCATGTTTATTTCTTTTCCTAGGTCTGGGAAGTTCTTATTTACTCATTTTACTAGAGTCTGTTGCCTTCTGTCTTTCTTCACTTTCTGGAACACCCATTGTCTTATGTCTCCTTTTTGTCATAAATGGGTGCTGAATCTTATCAGTGCTTTCTCTGCATGTATTGATATTTATCATGATTTTAACCTTTATTTTTTTGTTGATGTGTTACATTGATTGATTAATATATATTAAATTGTCCTTACATCCAGAGGCAAATGTTCAAATTTAAAGTGTTGGCAAGGCCATAATCCCTCAGAAACCTATGGAAAAGAATCCTTTTTTGCTTCTTCCTAGTTACTGATGTTTTGCCAGCAATCCCTAGTTTCTTGACTTGCACCTGCAGCGCTTTAATCTCTGCCTCCATCATCAGATGGAGTTCTCCCATGACATGTCTGTGTCTCTCTATTCTCCTCATTTTGTAAGGATACTAGTCAGAGTGCTTTAAAGGTCCCCCTACTCCAGAATGACCTCATCTTAACTTAGTTAATTGTATCTGCAATGACCCTATTTCCAAGTGAGGTCACATTTTAAGATACTGGGGTTATAACTTCAGCTATCTTTTTGGGGATAGTTTAACCAATAACACCATTTTTGATGGTGATGTAGCAAGGAGGTAGGTAGGTCAGTAATTGAGGTTGTGATTATTTCTGAGAAAACTAATTTATACTTTTTTTTTTAGCCTCAGAAAAAATGTTAAAAGCGTGGAAGGAGATGGAAGAAAAGGCTATCCACTATGCTGAGGTAAAACCACTGAGCTCATTCTCTATGCCTCTTAATTCCTGAGGTCTCTCTTTGAAATTATCTCTGCTTTAGGTATGTGAAGTATCTTTCATGTCACTCCTGAATATCAGACAAATATCTAGTGGATACTTAGGGATAAAAACAAGGGCTTTGGGAAAATGAGATTAAATTAAAGCCTCACTGGGGTTCAATTTCCATATTATATTATGGGAGTTATATCTTTTTTGGCAGAGTTATGCAGATTAATTTGAAGGGAGTAATAAATGGTAGCTCTTGCTATTATTTTTATCACTAGTTTAGATAGGAGGGTGCCACATCTTGTTAACTTGGGATAGTTCCAGTCTCTGTCTTACCATAATTAGCTATTGTACTCCCTTCACTCTCAAAATTATGCTATTTTGAACAATAATATGGTCACCCAAGTGTAGAGCGTACTCCAGATCGCAGATTCCTTCTTTACCCTGTACCTGAGCATCATTCTTAGGCCTCCTAAGTTGTTGCTGTCTGTGATGCCAGTTCTTACCTTGAGAACATGGATGAGGTAGTTGATATCCCAGGCTGATCTGGCAGATTACTCTTTATCTCTTTGCCATATTACTCAAGGCAGTAAGGAGTAAGAAGCAACAAAAACTGTGGAGGTAAAAACTAGGGCAGTGAAAACCACATCAATTGTTTTGGTGGTTACTTTCTTGGCTTTGTTAGTGACACTTCCATCTTTTTGCTTCTCAGGAGGAGAGAGTAAATGCTAGTAGCTTATAGTTGTCAGAAAAGGAAGGAGAATGGGAAAAGTATGTTTTTGGTTAGATTAAATGTCAGAATCTAAAAGATAAAAAGACTTGAACAAAATCAGTTTGCATATTGAATGATTTTGTTCTCTTGTGTGGTAGCAGGCCATTCCTTACAATCTGAGTTCTTTTCTGCATTGTGTGGTGGTGAGCCTGTCATTTCCTTTGTTTCTCTGTTTTAGGTGGGTATCATCGGTTACCTGGAGGATCAGATTATGTCACTGCACACTGAAATCATGGAGCTACAGAAAAGCCCCTATGGAAGACGTCAGGGAGACTTGATGGAAACTCTGTAAGAATGTATTCATGTTCTAAAACCGATGTCTGTAATTTTTTTAGCAGGTTGTTTCTGTGTAGATCTGGCAGATTAAGCATGTACATGGTTCTTCTTTTTATAGTTTTTCTTTCCTCAAGCATATTGGCATCATATTTTAAAGAGTTTTTTTTCTTAGTCATAGGAAATTTCAGAAATGACTTTTTGAGTTGATCTTTACTTTTTAAATCAAAGCATCTTCTCACATAATGGGTAAGAATTTTTCAAATATGCTAAAATATAAATGATTTCCTTACTTATCATAATTATTCTGGTCTAAGATATTGTGTAGTAAATGCCCTAAGTGAGGTTGATGTCCTAAGTGTTTGAGTTAGAAACTTAACACTTTTTTCTCTAGTCACAGACCATAATATTTGCCCAATTAGGTGTTTCTGTGTTAAGAATTTTGTATATATGGTGGTAGATTAGAACATATATGAAGTACATTAAGCTTTACATTTTAAGACCTTGCTTATTACTCAGTGAAATACTCTGTAAAATATTCATTGGTTATATGTATTTGCTTTAAAAAGTGATACTTTTTCTATTCAAACGATATTAAGTGGTGGATTATTAGCGCCATTAAATTATCTGTACACATAGAAGCATGCCTTCTCTTTTGCAGGGAACAGCGTGCCATTGATCTGTATAAGCAGTTAAAGCACAGACCTCCAGGTAAGACATTTTTATCTCAGTGTACATAGGCTTTTTAAGAAGGCACCAGTAGTTTAGCAAATTCAGGGGATTGAATTTTAAAGAAGCTATAGAATAAATTCCAGCTTTGATATTGCCATTGAGATGTTTATAGTACAACAGCTTTTAAGTTTGTGGCAATTTAAGAGATGACAGTCTTTTAAAAGGGAAGTGGGGCCTCCATGGTGGCACAGGTGGTTGAGCACTGCGTTGTGAAGCTGTCCATAGCCTCTGCAGCGCGGGTTCGATCCTGGCCGGCCGGCGAGGGTCCTCCATGGCGGGGCAGACCTCTCCTGCCTTGCCCACTGCTCCCCTCAGCAGTATATTTCAGTCAGTCTGCCTGTTCTGTTCCCCGCTCTGTCTCTGGTGAATCCTCTCACCCTCCCGCACGTCTGGCCTGTGCCCCGGTTCTTGTATAAATTAAAAAAAATAAAATAAAAGGGAAGTGAAAGGAATGCATGAAAGAGAAAAAAGGACTCAAGAAAGGGGGAGAGAAAGCAAAAAAATGTATGGAATGATGAAAAAATAAAGGGAAGTGAAAGAAAGGAATAAAAGAGTAAAAAGGAAGAGGGAAGAAAATATGTGGAAGTATGGAAAAAGTAAGTGCTCATTATTAGAGGGGCAGGACAGAAGTTGATGCAGGGGACTCAGGTATGGAAGGTCAGAGGGAGGTCCAGTTCCCAGTACAAAGCAGTTTGCCTTGAAAATAACACCTTTATCTACACTGGTCACCAATTATTCATTTCATTGCCAAAACAGTTTTAGTAGTCATTATACTTTTCACCACAATCTTAAGTTTCATTTAAGAGTACCCTTGATTAAAGCAGCAAAAATTGTATTTAAGGAAATCCATTTCCACAGTTGTTCACATTGCTTGTTGACTGACCTCTTGTTTAATGAAACATCATTTTTAATTGAAAGAGTGATTGTAAGACAAACTGTGGCTGTTCAGATTGGGGTACATGTCATATATTTCCTCAAAAATTAATGAAGCATACCTGTCACTATTAGGGGAGAAACCAGTATTTGTTGGCAATGATAAATTCCATGTGTCAAGGAAGGAATTCAAATTTAGGAAAACTTGTGTCTATCAACTGAAATTTCTCAGCTTCCCAATACTTAAAAGACTTTTCTTATCAGATCAGTGGTGATATTAAAGATTTATAAAAATGTAAAATAGTGCCAGTTTTTCATTATATATTGTTTTGGAAAAGATAGTTATTTTTAATAGCAGTATGTTAATAGGTGAGTTGTTACTATTTTTAAGTGAATACATATTTTAAAATATCTGTTTAATTCCTGAAAAACACTTTGGTGTTCTTTCTTTCTTTTTTTTTAAAGATTTATTTATTTATGCATACAAGAACTGGGGTACTGGCCAGAGGTGTGGATGGTGAGAGGATTCACCACAGACAGAATGGGGAACAGAACAGGCAGACTGACTGAAATACACTGCTGAGGGGAGCAGCGGGCAAGTCAGGAGAGGTCTGCTGCGCCATATGGGTTGCTTCCTGGCTGGCTGGGGGATCGAACTCGTGCTGCAATGGCTGTAGATTGCTTCATAGGTTGTGTCTTAAACCTTTGCGCCACTGGGGAGGCCCCTTGCCTCTTATTCTAAAATAAGAATTGGGGTTAACTGTAAGGGAAGAGGTAATGACATCAACTTTTTAAAAAACTTTCTTAAAGCTGGTGTGTGCACAGGAAGATGTTGCTTACCCAGAACATTTACAAAACAAAACAAAACAAACAAACAATTCAGAGCAGAAGTGAGAACCTGTGAATTAGTAGACAGCAGAGTGAATGATAGTATACTTTTTTGCTTGTAGTGGTTAGTAGTTTGGATACAGGACTGATAGAGCAGATGTTTAGCCTGATCCAGAGTTAGGATTTTGCTGATAGAATATGAGAACAAAAGTACTGGAGATATTGACAAAAAGTGATTTAAGTTATAATGGTTATATAGAAAAATTGTTGGGCATGGTCTGCGGGATGTAGGGAGGGATGCTGTTTGGAGCCCTTTTGTAGCCTCTGTGTCTGGTTGGTGAGGAACAGATGCCGGAAATAAAGTTGAACTATAGGAGAGCTTTTTTGCAGCTTTTTTTTTTTTTTATACCTCTTTTGAGACTCCTTTCATAATAAAATGTAGGTAATGATAGTAGCCATCTCACTGCAGTAACGGTTAAATGAGAACACTGTAAGCAGGTAATACCAAATAACAATATTATTTTTGCACCTGAGATTAAATATTGTCCAAGGAAATACAAGCATGATTCATGAGCAACCTTGTAATTTTTTAAAAGCTAAGTGGCCATTTTCTGAAATTTAACAATTAGTGTTAATTTTTTGTTTTGAGATTTTAAGGGTTTTTTGTTTTCTTTTTTTGTTTTTTTTGAGGTAGCATCTCCTATAAATTGTAGATCTCATTCATTGTGACCACACAACCTTCCCATTTAAGGACATTTATCAGCTGCCAGTTTTCCTTGAGATGATACTATCCTCAAACTGAACTTTTAGGGTATTTGGAAGTCCTTTTATTAATGTATCAGATTTGACTTAAGTCACTCAGCTTTTTCACAGTTTTTGTGGACTAGAAACAGATGGTTAAACATGAAATTCCAAACCACATATTTGGGGCAAGGACCTTTTTCCTTTGAGGCATCCAGAGTTTGATGAATTGTCCTTCTGTTTTTAAATGAGTGATGTTAATCATCCAAGAAAAATGGATCTCTTGGCCAGAAGGTTGCATATGTGTCTGGGTCTTGCTTTAGTAAAGACTAAACACAGTTAAAACCATTCTTCTCAGAAACAAGCAACTAAGGTCTCTGAAGAAACAGCAGTAAATTTATATATACATTATATGCACATAAACACATTTGTTTTTAGGCATATATTTATTATTTATTTACAGAAATATACTATATAATCTTAAAAATCTTTCATGTTTTAAGATTAAGATCTTCTTAATCCAATTTTTTAATTTAAATGGAGCTGCTTTTTAGTTAAAATTAATTTCAGAGTTTTATGAACTTTTTATTTGGAGGCTGATATATTAATGCAGAAAAGAGTTTGTGCCCACTGACTGAGGTCTTTTCTAGATCACTCCTACAGTGACAGTACGGATATGGTGAAGATCATTGTGCATACTGTGCAGAGTCAGGACCGGGTTCTCAAGGAGCTGTTTGGTCATCTGAGGTAGAAAAGTTGTTTATTTCTTATTGAAAAGTTAGGGTACTTTATCATGTTACTTTCAAACTATGATACCCTTATTTGCTAAATACACTAGATCTAGGTGTAGGTTTGGCAGCGCCCTGGGCAGCTTGACCACAACTGTGAGCATGTGTGTCCTGCCTGTGTTCATTGCTTTGGAAATCAGTCATTAAATGTGATGCTGATAGTGAATAACTTCTCCAGCTGGGTTTGGGATTATCATGTACAGTATTGGGGGATGTTTGAGTGTCTGACACTGATTTAATCTCTCCAGCAAGTTGTTGGGCTGTAAGCAGAAGATTATTGATCTCCTGCCCAAGGTGGAAATCGCCCTTAGTAGCATCAAAGAAGCTGACAACACTGTCATGTTTATGCAGGGAAAGAGGCAAAAAGAAATATGGCATCTCCTTAAAATTGCTTGTGTAAGTAACTATTAGCAAATTATTTAACTATTAACAAATTATTATTCCTGCAAAAGGGAAGTTCAACAGCATCATCTGTGTCCTCTTGAAGTAGTGTGTATTTTATGTGGGTTGCTGTTCATGTTCCTTGCTTAGTCTGACTATCAACTCAGATACAAACTTCATGATCATCTGTTACCTCTCTCCTTTCCAATCTATTTTTATACACTCTACCCCAATTTGGGGCTCACTTATGCCTGACTATGTAATGAAACCAGTCCTCTGTTCACCTGGGGTGTTTTTTTTTTTCCTCCTACTAAACTAGAATTAGAGGAGCAGATACATTTTATTTTAGTCAATGAAAAAAAAGGGGCCAAGGACAGAATAGTTAGCAGTGGTGTGTAAAGGTGAGGGTACTTTGTATAGAAACTCCGGTTGTACATATTATTAATGATAGAAATGTAAGTCCTAGGAATATGGTAGAAAATGATACGAATAAGTAAAGGTGCTTGCATATAATTAAATTTTTTTTTTCCGCTTTAGACACAGAGTTCTGCCCGATCCCTTGTAGGATCCAGTCTAGAAGGTGCAGTAACCCCTCAGTCATCAGCATGGCTACCCCCAACTTCAGCAGAACATGAACCTTCTCTGTCATGCGTGGTAACTCCTCAAGATGGGTGGGTTCACTTTATAACAATAGATAGTTGTATTTTCAAGAGCAGTGGCAGGAATGAGGCAGTAGAGCAATGGTTAAGGCAGTCTTCAGTGCCTTATAGACCAGGATTGAGTCCTGACTGTCTCTTTGTAATAGATAACCCTATGCAGTTAACTTGACTTTTTAAATACATTTCCTTATCTATAAAATAGGGACTACTGTGAAAATTTAATTAGGTAATATATGTAATGTGCTTGGGAAGTAAATAACAAATGTTACTCATTACCTCAATTCAAGTTCTAAGTCCTTTGTGTTATTAGCTGTCAATTCTTTTACCCAAACTTTATTCCTTCCTTAACTATTTATCTCCATGAGAAATTATGCTATCTTTTTACATTTGTCACTTGCAGGTCATTGATTACCCCTCTAATAATTGTTCAGTTTATTCTGTTTTATAACTTGGTGTTTCTAAAATCAGGCTTTTTCAATGCCGTAAATCAGTTTGACAAATAAGAACTCACGTTTTAATCCCTATATTTTCTTTTATTAATACCTGCTCTTCTGCTAAAAGCTGAATGACTATCCATTTCTATTATTTTCTCAGCATAAGATGTGCCGTATCGAGAGCCAGTGGCTCTTTGCTAGCTTGTGTATTGTCGCTTTTCTCACAACTCATGGAGACCTCTACAAGCACCAGCATTTCCTGGAAGCTGTGCCCATAATTAGTTTTGCAGAAGTGCAGCCATGTTACATCACTGCTCAGGAGGTCATGCAGTTGCACATTCTGTTACTCTACTTTTATGACAGAAAAGCACATGGCAGGAAGGCAAGTTGATATCAGGTATTTTATTCTTTTAAAGAAGGCAAGTTCCAGGGTATATCTTGGGGTCATTATAGAATTGGCCCAGTGTAATACATCCATAGCTGTAGCAGAGACTATAATTAATTACAGATTTTAGCAAATAAACCATCAATCAGAATTGAAGCAAACAAAAGTTAATATTTTGCTAACCTTTTTGCTTTCATTAAAGACATTTATGTTTGTTGGGGTTTCTAATGGTTGCAAATGTCACCCCTATACAGGTAATTTCCATTTGAGGTTCTGATTATTTGCAAAAGTGTATCTGACAGGGATTTAAATTATATTTTATAGTAGGAATATGTTGTAAAGGAAAACTGATTTCACTTATAATGTACCCATGGTACTTAACTGTCATGGATTAGGAACTTTTATCTTCAATTTCTTCATCTGTTGAATTAGAGCTGAATTGGGATTTAGTTCTGAGTTAATGGTGGCTATCATCCATGGTCCAAAATTAATTCTCGTGGGGTAGGGACTAAGGGCTGGTAAAAGATGAGGATAGGGCCTCCCCTGGTGGTGCAGCTGTTGAGCGCTGGGTTGCAAGGCTGCCCGCAGCCTCTGCAGCGCCAGTTTGATCGCCGGCCACTGGTGAGGGTCCCACATAAAAATAAATAAATAAAGATGAGGGTAGAGGCCATATGGAGAGGAAAGCGTGGAAGGTGGAAACCAGAATCAGATTTCCCTCAAATATAAACTTCCAGGAATACTTCTTGGTTCTGGGCACTCCCCTGTCACACTGTGTTCTGCTATCCTCAGAAATCAGCTTGCTTGTATTCTTTTTCATTGCTGTCATCTGTAGTTTTCAACCAGAGATTTTTATTTCCCTGATCTTTGCAGGACAAATTATATTTTCATATCTTCTCTCTTCATTTGTGTCTCTGAAGCACACTGATGTTTTAACTACTTGTAAGGAAAGGGACATATTTCAGAAATAAAAAAAAAAGAGAGAGAAACTTTCCATCTATCAATGCCACAGATTCCCTCCCCGACACGAGTTAGTATTTTCAAGAGGGAAAAGTTGTATCTTGCCACTTATATTTCAGAGACAAATCCAGAGTTCTAGTGAACTTCTTATCATTAGGGTTGGGCGGAGGCAACAGCCTGGAGTAACCAGCAAGGACTCTGCCTCTGGGTGGGACTCTGCCTCTGGGTGAGGAAACACGAGACTAAAGGAGTCAGCTGCATTGGGGTGTTGACTGGAGGAGGGGCCAGGGTAATTCTGACCCTGAAGACCAGAAATTGGAGGAAATTCACAAGTTCTTTTGCTGAATTTGAAAAGGCTTTGTTTTGTTTTTTTTTTTTTTTCCATCTCATAGGGAGACTTCAGCACAAATGATAGAAGAAAATTTGAACTGTCTTGGCCATTTAAGCACTATTATTCATGAAGCAAATGAGGAACAGGACAGTAGCATGGTAAGTTTTATGTGGATAGAGGTGTATTTGAGGTATGTTGGTTACCAAAAGGTTAAGTTTCCCTGCTAGCCTTGTATAGGGTGTTTGGGAAGCAGATGGGCAAACAGAGGGACTCAGAGGAAAGAGCATTTGAGGACTATCTTCAACCTCAAATCTCCATCTTCTCTTACTCAGGGATATACTGTGATTATGTCATTAGGGGTATTTTTGGTCAAATGAGTGGTGAGCTTTCTTTGCAGTGTAACCACTAAAATTGAATGGTTTGTACCTTTTTGCTCAGCAGTCAATTTTCTCCAATAAAATGGGGCAGAATTTGTACTATAATTCAAATATAATAAGTGCTATGTGCAAAATGAATAATGTTATTACTGTTGTAATTAATAGTGTTTATATTAAAATTTGGTTACTTATTAAAACTTGGAAGAAACTCCAATAAAATGTTTATTGAATTAACTTTTACTACATTTAGTTTGCTGTCAACTCTTTGTGTTTCCTTTTTTCATTAAGAATAATTATTTATTTCAAATACTTACAAAAACCAAAATTTTTCATTAGCAGAAAATAAGGTAAACTAAATTTTCTAATTGTAACATATTTACACTTGATTTTTTAACTTTTTATTTAAAAATGTTCAAACATACAGAAAACTTGCAAAAATAAATGCCTGTATACCTACCACTTATAGTCACCTTCTAATTGTAACCTTTTTCATGGCTTATTTTAGAATCTTGATTGGAGTTGGTTGACAGAATGACTATCTGTTCACTGTCTCTCTGTGGAAGTTGTTAACAAGTGTCAAAAACTTGTTATCACTCATGAACCCATTCTTCGGATACTAGTCATCGGAAGAAACGTCTATGGTTAGAAACTACTTATGATTTTACTAACACAATATTTTTACTTTGGGTAATTTCAACTTTGAACAGATAGAACTTTGCAAGAAGTCAGTGAATTTGTTTAAATACTGCAGCTATGTAGGGTATCACTGCAATTCATTTGTCTTCAAACTTGGGAAAACATTACTTATTTAACTGAGTAAAAAGAATCTTTTAATGTTTAACTTTTGGGTATAAAGCCACAAATATATACAGAGAAGAAAACCTCAGCTAATAATTATGTATTCCTAGTAAAAGTTGTCTGCCTATGTTTCAATGGAAGAGACTGCTCACAAGTAAAATAATATTTCTTGAAGAAAAATCCCTACCTCCTTGTGTTGCACAGTGCTCTTCCTGGCATCATAAGGAGTTGGCTCAATTACATTTTTGCTTTTACTGCACATTTGACAGTATTCCTTTCCTACATAAGAGATTGCGCATCTGTGTTTTTAATACCAGGTGCCTTACATGAGTGTGCTATGTATATATGTATTTAAGATGTACATTTAAATAATATCATAGTGATGATGTCTGTTAATTTATAATGTATTTGAAAACTCACCTGTTTTTTCAGTTGTAAAAATGGCTCATTTGTTTAAGAAATCTTTCATTTCTTGTCATACAAATTTATAAAGGTCTGTACTCCCTTATCTATAATTCCAAAATTCAAAAAGCTATATACAGGTTTTTTGTAAGCTTGGCAACAAAGCTCATTTGTTTGCAAGCCTAATTTGAACTGACATTGACTACTTCTCCCATCAGTGTGAATATTCATTTATTTTTCTGAAGAACTAATAATGTGTTTCATAATGAGGGGGCAGGGTGCTGTCATAGACCCTGCTTGGTGGGGTGGGGGGGGGGGTTATATAGTATGCTTTGTGCATCAAATTACCTTTGTGAAACCTGAAAATTTCATAATTCCGAAGCATCTGACCCTAAGGGTTTCAGATAAAGAATTGTGGATCTCTGTCTTCAGTTAAGTAAGTTAAAGGGTATTGTTTGTTTTTAAAAAATGTGAAATGCTTTTGTATTGTAGACAGTTTTTCACTTTGCATATTAAATGATTTTTAAATTACTTTTTGAATCTTTATTCTTTAAAATTAGAATCTAACATAAATATGTAGGGAAAGGAGGCCTCCCTGGTGGCACAGGGGTAAAGTCTCAGTACTGCGAAGCTGTCCACAGCCACTGTGGCACGAGTTCGATCCCTGGCCAGGGAGCTACCCACATGGCACAGCAGGCCTCTCCTGTCTCGCCCGCTGCTCCCCTCAGCAGTGTATTTCAGTCAACCTACCTGTTCTGCTCCCCATTCTGTCTCTGGTGAATCCTCTCACCCCCCACATCTCTGGCCTGTACCCCAGCTCCTGTATACATAAATAAATAAAAATAAATCTTAAAAATAATATGTTGGGAAAATGTGAAGGGTCCATGATGTGAATTTGGAGTATAGAATAACATAATGGGCTCTCTCTGTATTTTCCTTAGGAATTAAACAGGACTTACAGTAAAGACAGTACTGGGCAGCATGTCTTTTCTCATGACATGTCCCATTGCCACAATCCATATCTGAAAATATGCTCATATCATGTTCAATAAACTGTCATACTCACATCATTCCCATTTCTGCTAGAAATGTCTTCCAGGTTTGAAACCTTGGATTAGCTTTGAGATTTTTAATCATCTGGTATACTATTTTTCTAAAGATGGAAATTCTGTCAGTTGTCATATAGGGGTCTCTCTCTCCTTTCTATTGTTCTGGAAATGTTTAATAAACATTTCTGTACCTGTTGATTGGAAGTTACTGAGCTTGATGGCAAGCTCAGAAACAGTTAACACAGGCAGTACTATAAGAATGCTTATCTGGAGAGGGAGGGATATGGGAAGAGATGACAATGAGGGGGAGAGGGAGCACAACAACTGGTGGAGGACTATGGGTGCTTTGTTGGTGGGAGAGCTATGATAGTCACACCTGAGTGGAGAATCATACACTGTCAAAATATTTTTTTAAAGATTTATTTATTTTTGCATACAAGAACTGGGGTACAGACCAGAGGTGCCGGGGTGAGGGGGGAGGTTTGAGAGGATTCACCAGAGACAGTGGGGAACAGAACAGGTAGACTGACTGAAATACACTGCTGAGGGAAGCAGCGGGCAAGTCAAGAGAGGTCTGCTGCACCATGTGGGTAGCTCCCTGGCCAGCCCGGGATTGAACTCATGCTGCAGAGGCTGTGGATAACTTCATAGTGCTGTGCTTAACTCCTTGCACCACCAGGGAGGCCCCAAAATATTAACAGATATAAAACAAATGATACTTCACTAACAAAAATATAAATAAAAAATATTTATGCACAGACCAAAAAAAAAGAAAGAATGCTTATCTGGGAGTCTGAACATATGAAGCCATCCAAGCACTAGAATTATTGTTAAAGTAGTTTATTCACTTACTTAAAGGATTATGCATTTTCTAAATGATTACCATTTTTAAGGGGTATGGCTGGGGTGATGCAGCCTGTCTACATGATATGGACAGATGATATGAATCCTAACATTTGCTTTTGGTGCATTAATTGACCTGTGTGTGTGTGTGTGTGTGTGTATGTGTGTGACAATGTTTCAGAGTTGTTGAATGGCAGTTGTAAATTGTATACATTTCATCATCTAATTCAAGCACTATTATGAACTAAGAGAACCTACCCAGAAAATGGACAATTTACTTTCTTTTTGCAAGTTGAAATATCTGAGCTCTAGGGCCTCCCTGGTGGCTTAGGGGTTAAGGCTTGGCACTACCACCACAATGGCCTGAATTCAATCCCCAGGCAGGGAGCTAACCCACACAGCAGAGCAGACCTCTCCTGTCTAGCCCACTGCTCCCCAAAGCAGTGTTATTTCAGTAGATCTGCCTGTTCTGCTTCCCACTCTGTCTCTGATGAATCAAACCCCCCCATCCCCACACCTCTGGCCCACAGTTCTACGCAAAAATAAATAAAATATTTAGAAGAAAAAGAAAAAAAATACGTATCTAAGGTCTGCAAATATCTGGAACAGCTACCATCCCAGACATTCCTAGGCAATAAAAGTCCAATGAATGATTCAGGTTAGTGCATTTATTGGAGAGAGTGGATAGAGTGGTCTGGGAAGTCTTGCTCTAATGATGACTTGAACTGAGTCTAACCCTTTCCATTTTCATTGTTAGTACTAGTTATACCGCTGTAATTAACCACTTGGAGTCCCTCACTCCCATCTGCCTCCACTCTAAGCCATTTTGCAGACCTACTGATCCTAAAGCTCTGCCTTCCCATATTTTCCCTGCCCAAGTTACAGGTCCCTCCAACCCAAATCTCCTTGTCCAGTTGTGACTCCATCACTAGCCTTGCAAGGTTTACACCATTACTGCCCAATCTACTCTGATATGCTGCTCTTATTGTAATAGGGTGGTCCCCAGGAAAGGGGGAGGTTCCAGGTTTCCTGCCCCACCCAAGGGAGGGTGTTGCTGAACTGGGAGAAGCAGCAGCTGGAGAAGGGACGGAGGAAGGAAAGAAGCAGGATGGAGAGCCAGAAGGAGACCTGGAGGAGGCACATGGAGTAGAGAGACACGTAAAGAAACTCTGCTTGCCTTTTGGTCCTGGACTGATTAAAACATATGTGGGTGAGAGATCCGTGAGGAAGAGACAATGATGGTTTTTGTCTTGATGTTGATTTTGCTCTTTTCCCTCCAGACTTGTCTGGTTGTTTCTGATCCTTTTCTGTGGGTCCCCACTGGAAGATGCCTTAGAATTGTGGCAGGCTTTGGGGCCTTGCTCTGGGCCAATCCCAATTTGGATGGACTTTTACCCACGAGGGGATGGGTAACTTTGGGTGCTTGATTTAGAAACCATATTCTTTGTCTTTTCTGTATTGTTTCCTAATTATATTAAAGTTCCTTCCAATTAAAGTCTCATATGTTTTGTATTGATGTGATGCATAGGATGGCAGAACCCATTTAGAGCAGGCAGGTTTGCAGGGTCCGGAGTGCCCCTCTCCCTGCCCTGTAACATTATTTCCTTGTAGTCATCTCACTCATATCTCTACTCTTTAACTTTGTCCTTTTGTTTTTGGTAATATATGCATATAATGGTGAATTTTAAAAGAACAGATGCAGTAAAAGAAAGTCTGTCTTTATCGCCAACCATCCAGTTCCACCTCCCTGTGGAAAACTGCATTCCAACCTTTTAAAATCTGGGCTACAAAAATAGATGACTGGATCAAGAAGATGTGATATATATATATATACAATAGAATACTATTCAGCAATCAAAAAAGATAAACTCATGCCATTCACAGCAACAAGGCTGGAGCTAGAAAGGGTTATGCTCTGTGAAATAAATCAGAAGGAAAAAGAAAAGTATCGGATATCACTTATAGGTGGAATATAGGGGAACAGAATTAGGCATGGGGGGGGAATAATAACAATACTAAACACAACACAACAAAAACAAACAGACAATTATAAGCCAGAGACATCCTGCAGGGGAGGGGGAGAGGTCAGACAGAGGGAGGAGCACAGAGGACTATGGTGAAGGTGCATGGGTGAATGGGTGGTGGAAATTCTGAGGGGACTAAACCAGAGAAAAGAAAGCAAACATTGTTTAAAAGTGAACAATGATGTAAAATATATAAAAGTTAATTTATTAAAACTTGGGATAGCTAGCCTGGCCTCCCACTCCTACCACCGGCATAAGCTGCAAGGAAGCTCAAATGCTGTTCCTTTTAGTTTTCCTGAAGGAACCCCAGGTCCCCACCACACAAACACACTCACAGGCTTGTGCTTCGTTCACTCTGTTCCTATTGGCCAAGAGAGACTTTAAAGTCCTCTTTGGATCAGCATTCCGGCACATACTAGGTGCTTAGAACAATACTTGGTGGTGATGCAGTTAGATGGAGTATCCTCTTCTCAATTTCCCTAGCAAATTACTTGCAACAAGTCCGACTGCACCTGAAGCGCTTGCTTGCCACACAGTAGAGTTGGCTGTAACCCACAAAAGGACAAACCGACAGCGATCACAGAGAGAGTTCTTTGCACAAAAACAAACGAACAGGTCCCTGACAGAAAGCCCGTCTCCTCCCCTCTGCACCGCTGCCTAATCCAGATGGCCCAGTCCCCTGCTTTTCCGGGGCGAAAGAGTAGCTGCGCTGCAAAGGGAAGAGCGCGCATTCCTATGCGGGGACCGCGCGGCGGGCGGCTGGGAGAATTTTGTCCCGCCCGCTCGCCGTCTCCCCAGCCGCGGGGCCGGCGCTGCGTCGGCGTGCGTGCTCGCGCAGCCGCAGTGCCCGGCGAGTGGGCGGGGCCGGCCGTTGGCGGCGGTTGGCGCGGCCAGGGAGGCGGTGGCACGTGCGGGCGGGGGCGATGCGTCACTGATCGGTGAGGCGCCGCCGAGGGGTCGGCCCCCCGCGGAGCCAGCGGCTGGCCCCCTCCCCAGTTAGTGCCTCCCTCGGGGGGAGCGTCACGGGGGTCACCACGCGCCCTGAGCCGGGCTGGCCCGCGGGCCGCTTGCACGGCGGGGCTGGCCCTGGGGGGCGGGCGCCGCGAGAGGAAGCTGGAGGCGAAGGGGGCGCCGGCCGCCCCAGCCCGGCCTGGGGGAGGGCTCCCGGGCTCCGGAGGGGCAGGGCGGACGCTGGACGGGGTGGGCTTGGCGCTCACGGGGCTGGGGGGCCCTTCCTCCCGCACCCCGTAGGAACAAGCATGAATATGACTCAAGCCCGGGTTCTGGTGGCTGCAGCGGTGGGTCTGGTGGTGGTCTTCCTCTACGCCTCCATCCACAAGATCGAGGAGGGACACCTGGCCGTGTACTACAGGTGAGGCGTGCGCGGCCCCGCGGCGCTCCGGGTCGAGCGAACCGAGGAAGTTGTTGCTTCCAACTGCTGCGTCGGGGCGAGCGCTCCCCTGCCCGAGAAAGTGCTTCTCGTCCCGCCGCTGGGGAGAGTGGCCCGGGGCAGGCTCTTGGCGGAGCGTCCTGCAGGTGTTGAACTGTTTTCGTGCCTTGTACATTTTGGGCAGAATTGGAGGCCCCCTACAGCGATCCCGGGCGCAGCGAGCTCAGTGACTGGTAGGAAGAAAGGACGAAGGAAGGAAGGCAGCGGTGACTCCACCTGTAACTGGGGTTGCATAAGTCGTTCCATTCCATACGAGTGTAGGCTTTTAGTTGGCAACTACAGATGCTGTTTATTTACGGTTGGCCCAATTTAATGGTGGTTCCGTAGACTTTTTTTTTTTTTTTTTTTTTTTACTTTAAAAGCGCCTCGTGTCTGGTTTTGACCTGTAAGTCCGGATGACCATATATCCCTGGACCTGCAGAGCCAAAAACACAGCGTTGACAGGCCACCCTCCTCCCGCCGTGCCCTTTTCAAGTTGAAGAAAGATATGATGTGGCGTGTGTTGCTCTTTATTTGTAAGATCTTGACTAGCTTTTCCTTCAGCATAATTGTCACCAGTTTCTTTTGATAAAAACAGAGGGCAGTTTGGAGAAGTTGTGATAGTGGTGTATTTGAAAGAGCTCCAGTTTTTGTTTTCCTCATTCTGCAAAACTGATGTTTCTACTTTATGTCCATCCTGAGTCTTAGAAAGTCTTCCCTGTGCAGTGCTAGTTTTCAAGGACAGTTTTAATGATAGTTTTACCAGATGGGTATGGTAGATACCATTAAAAATGACAGTATTCCATATTTCTGACTAGTTCAGCATTGTCCAACTGACAGTAAAACTAACAAAAGAATATTTGAAACTATGACTCTCAAAGACTTAGAGATGGACCTCAAATATTTCATCTTTTCTAAATTATTTGTCAGGAATTCTTTGCAACAGTATAGAAAGCTAAGTTCTATAAAATTGCTATTTGCTATGTAAAATAGGACTTAATTTTTATATTTGCCCCCTAAATGCTTCCTTTTTATAATTTCCAAGAGGTGCTTTCATGCTTTTCACCTTCCAGAATTTGATGAGCTAGTCCACATTTACATTCTATCTCCTTAGAGTCTTATCTCATCTTTCATCTTTCCATGCTAATTTTTTGTTGTTTTTAAAGAGACTGAATGCCCCTAGTAATATAATCACCTTGTAAGTAGATTAAAAGAACCTTACAAATTTTCTCCACCCTTGAAAGTTTGTGTTACTTTCTTTTTTTCAACCTGGTAATTAAATATAGTATGTTTTGATTGGGCTCATGTTATATACACTTAAAGTACAGCAACTGAGAGCCATTAGAATTTTTTTTCCACAAGTATTTTCTCAGAAGAAAGACCAAGCAGAATCCTTTGAAACTGAGAGTGCTATTGGAGACCCAGAGGTATGGTTGGCTAAGCTTATGAAACAAGGTGTAACACTGGCAGTTTAATTTGCTCTTTTCACCTTTTTAGATGTGGCAGATGTTTTAGGGAGTGGTTGTTGCTCAGCATGAGTAATTCTTATTAGTGAGGCTTTAGTAGGTCAATAGCATAAGAGTGAATATTATATAGCATTTTAGATTTAGAAAGAGACGTTCTCTCTTTATAATCTTGTCAAATTGAAACATCTTTTTGCAGGGGAGGAGCTTTACTAACTAGCCCCAGTGGACCAGGCTATCATATCATGTTGCCTTTCATTACTACGTTCAGATCTGTGCAGGTGAGTGATTACTAGGGAAGCCCCACACTGGATAGACAGGTGTGACAGGAGCAGTTACCACACTTGTGGGTGGAGCTGGATTTCCTTATTGCTTAAGCAAATTGGTATTTACTTAAATACAGGACTTAAAGTTCAGAGTACAGTTGTCACAGCAGAAGTCATGATCTTGAACCACCTCCCTCTCTTCAAGTATGTTTAAAGTATGAGCTAGGCAGTTTAGACCAACTTCTCCTGCCTAAATAGTGCAAGTGTTCATAAGCAGGACTTTGGAACACAATTAAGTAGAAATACAAATGAGTGATTCCTTGGTTTAGAACAGTGTTTGGTTTCCCTAGAGGCAGTCTCCTTGCCTACTCTTAACATGAAGATCTGAATTTTTATACACAGCTTTTCTGCTTTACATTTTTGATTGGGACATTAAGCACCATTTTACATTGAACCTTAGTGAATGTTTAATTTTCAAAGTATCCCAGGATGTTTGAAATATGTGGTCATTCAGAACACTGTCTTGGCCATGGGAGACTCTTGAAGTAAAATATCTTGACATAACAAGATGACGAAACAATATTAGATTATGACTACTTTTCAAGCTTGCTGTGAAACAGTATTAGATTATGACTACTTTGCAAGCTTGTTGTGATCATAAATCTTTGGATTCAGGATTTATTCTATTATCTGCTGTTATTTTTTCAGGAGTCAGAAAAATTCAGTGTATTTAGTTAATCATGTAGGTTTCCTGATAAGTGAGAGTTCCAGTGAAATTCCTCAGATTTCCTTCCTTTTCCTTTTTTGGATGAGTTAGGACAAGAATTATGTTTGTTGAAGTAAAATATAGTGTTCTTTCCCTAGTCACACTGATTTTTATATCATTTTTATATCCTCTGTTTTGTTCACTCATGATGTGGTTACCTTTCTCTCACATTCTCTTCCTCCATTCCTTCTTCTACACCTAAATCTTACTTCTTTTTAAAGGTCATGGCAGGATCCTCCTTTTCTAATCCATAACTCTTAAAGTCTATTATGTATTTTGGGCCCAGGTCTTTTTTCCTTTAATCATATTATCTGATACTGTTCTCTAAGTTTTTGTATATATTTTTTTTCCAGAATATCAACCTTCTTAAAGGCAAGGGTTGGGACACATATTTATAACCTTTATATTGTGGTAAAAGTTGTTAAATTGAGCTGATTTCTCAGGTAGCACTGTAGTATAGTAAACATGGGTCCAGAAACCTAGAGACTTAGATTCTGGCCCTGACTCTACCATCAATTTGGTTACATGACTTTGCAAAAAGTAACAATTGTAGACTTCAGCTCTTCCTCCATGAAAGGAGTTTTGATTATGTCACCTCACCAACAACCCAAGCAGTCTGTACTGATTATGTAAATAGCATCATCAGACCCTCAGAGATCAGGGACTTTTTTAGATTTTATTCAAAGTCAGAAAAATCTGTTTCTGCTTTCTTGGAGCTTGGTGTGTTGAGTCATACTGATGCAGAGACTTATAAAAGAGGTATAGACTGTAAATATTAGAGAGATTTTGGAGTTTAGTTGTATGTATAGCAAATATATAACATTTGTATGTATGTGAATAAATACATAAAATACCTTATATAATATACATGGCAATAAACTATCAAAAGAAATGAAATCAGTGAAAAGTTTTCTGTGTAAATCAATATATTTTGCATTTACAAAAAATATGTTTATGCTGGGGCCAGTGTGACTAAATAGGAATGCACTTACTTTGTATGTGAAGCAGTAGTATTCTGGGAAATAATTATATTCCTAATTCCATTTTTAAAAATTGTTCTTGGAAGATTGTGATGTAGATTAAATTTCTTTTTGGAGTTTTTCATACATATCAAAAGATAAAGCCTGTAAACAAATGGGTTAACAAACTTGGTAACTGAAAGGAATTTATATGACGCATCTTGGGAAATGTGAAATCCCATATATGATGTAAAGGGGGAAAAAAAATGCTGCTGGAAATGATATGAAAACCTTTGGCCTTTGAAGAATATATAACATAACTAAACACTCATTTTTTAAACATTGTTTGTACCAGAAGAATCACTTGTGAGATAATATTTTAAAAGTATATACAAGAACATGAAGAGAGGGTATTAAACTGAAATGGAACATTTGAGCTCTCCTAGTTCTTTTTTGAAAACTAGCTAGAGAATATCCTTTAAATTTAAAAATGTTTTATTAAAGTTGATGTGGAATATGGAAATTGGATTTGATTAATGCTTTGAAGAAAATAAAATAGAACTCCTATCTTTATCACCTCCCCTCACTTTACCTAGAACTGCCACTATTGTTTACCATCATAACCCTCATCTCTCAACTCTAGATTTGTATTCTTTTCCCTCCTGGGCTTTTTATTTATACATTTCAATGTCCATGGCTTTTATTACTAAGTTAACCTAAATAAATACTTCAGCTTCCCAACCATTGTTTTTTTTTCTTTCTTTGCCTCCAGAAGTGATGAATAATGAGAACTGTATCATGTATGAGCAAAGGAATTAAGTAAAAAACAAATTTTTGAGGGTTCATTTTGTGAATGTATATGAGATGGACTAGGGAGAGCCCAGGCTCTCCAGTGAGCATTCAGGACCCACTACCCACTCTCCCCAGGTTTTCTTCTCAGAATTTCACCTCTCACGCCTATCACTCCTATTCTAGGCAAGCCTGCTTTCTGTTACCTGTATCTGCAGTGTGTCCTCAACCTGTGTGCCTGAAGAGGATATGATGGAACTTAAGATGTTCCTCCACGTCCTCTCTTCTTACTTCTCCCCTGTAGACCTGATTTATAAATACTTAGTTTTTCAGACTATGATTTTACTCTGTCACTTAACACAGAATAGTTTATAGTCTATTATTTTGCTTCTGTTATGAATTGCTCGTAAGGATTTTATCTACTATATTGGAGTGTAAACTCTTAGAAAATAGGGATCATTCTTCCTCTTTCCTTTGTATTCCATAAAGTATGTTGCTATGTGCTTAATAAGAGGCAGTGTGTGCAGAGCACACTTACTCGGTGTTCATCAATTGGAGGCCTTAGAATGTAATAGAAAGTCATTCTGGACCTGGCAAAGGTGTGATGGGGGCATAGTAATTAAATACCAGATTGTTGGTTCATTAGGAGGAAGCAGGACTGGTGGTGGGACTTCTGTTAAAAAGGAACTGAATATACCTTTTGAGAAGTCACTAGGACCTGAACTAAAATACTGATTATAGCTTTAGAGGGAAAAAAGTTGTTGTTAGGTTCAAGGACCTTTGAGTTGTAGGCCACTTGTTTGCATATTATAGTTATTTTCTTACTCTCAGTGTAAATAGCAATATTAGCAGTGGAATCAGAATTCACAGCATAAGTCTTAGCCCTTCTGTCCTTGTGGGTAAGCCATGCAATTTGCAATTCAAGGCCAGTTCCAAGCAAGTAAGGGGCTCTGATTTGGAAATTGAACATTGAAACTTTCCTAGTACATCTTGATTCAAACACTAGCTATAAAATATTTTGTCTTAAGTTTTTTATGTCCAATGGAATGCAGAAAGAAATGATTACTTTGATAGCTAATCTTTGGGGACTGAAATTGTAATAGAACTCTCCTGTACTTATCTCTCAGCCATTCTCTAGAGGTTTTCCTCAGAGACCAGTACTTTGACAGTATATGTCCTGAATATTGATGAGATATTTTTTCCTCCCCAGACAACACTACAAACTGATGAAGTTAAAAATGTGCCTTGTGGAACAAGGTAAGCTTTCTTCTTGCTTACCAAGTTCACTTTCATTTAGTTCTGATGGAGTTTCTTTTCACAAAGCTATGATCACATCTGTTAAATCGACATGATAGTAATCCAGGGAAATTTCTCAGGTCTAAGACCTTTGAGCAAAGACCTGTTGCCAATAAGGAGCTTTCCTTCTTAGGAGCCATTGGGTGCTATTAGGAGAAGGGAATAGTGAATTATAGAGCCAGCAGACTTAACTTCATTTATCAGGACTGCCATAGCATGCTTTATTGACTTTTATTTTCAATAGACTTTATTTTTTAGGTTCATGACTGAATTAAGCAGAAAGCACAGAGAGTTCCCATATGCCCCTTGCCCCTATACTTATTTGCCTTACTGACTTTTCTAAGCTTAGTTTCCTCATTTGTAAAAAGCAGGTAATAAGGCCTGCCTTGAAGAATTCCTATAAGGATTAGAACTAATGTATATAAAGTGCTTAATTCAGCACTTGATCTAGGGTAGGTGCTCAGTAAAAGACAGTTTAAAATGAAAAATCAGCTGACCTGCTTGTCATATGTAGTACTTACTGAATGCTGTTTAGTGTTTGTTCACAAGTCTAAGAAAAAGGCCTGAGAATTTGCATTTCTGGCATATTCTGGCAAGTTCTCAGGAGATGGTAATACTGCTAGTCTGAGGAGAGGACCTCACTGAAATTGCCCTAAAAGAGGTTCATAGAGACAGGCAAGTAAAACCCAAATTATTTCCAGAGTATAATTAGTATATTGAATTGTATCAAAAGAACAGTGTGAAATTCAAACTATTTTTTAAGTATCCCAATTATAAATAACTAGAATATTGTGTCTTTAAAATCAGTGGAAGGAGAGAAATGCATTTGAAAAGGAGAAAACCCCCCTTTGTTTTAAGTTAACATATATGTTTATCAAGTTCTTCATAGGCCTATCTGTGACTCTCTTATGGATTCTCTTTAGAGATGACTCAAAATTAGCAGCTGGTGAGATTCTGGATAAATTTTATTTTCATCTTCATACTGTCTTATATTTCTCATTGTTTTTAGTAAGCCTATATTGCCCTTTTTTAATCAGAAAAAAAGGTCATTGTAAATTGGTAGAAGGCTTAATTGTTCAGTCTCAAAAAGCTCATCTTTAAATTGCAGTTCAATTTGAAGGTCTGTGTTGGTAGGCCATGAAGTGTGGGAAGCTATGGATTACCAAGACACGTCTTTCTGGAGTGTCAATTTTACTTGAAGGTTAAGGGGAAATTTCTTTTGTTCATATTGTTTATATTAGAATAAAGACAGATTAAAACTCTTGATCAATCATTAAGATAAAGCAGGAATCCAAGAGTTTCAGCCTGTCATTGGTCTCCATATCTCTTGGGGAATTTTTTTTACTTTGTTCCTTGATGGAAAAGTTTGAGAAGTATGCCGCTTTAAATGTTGACTTCAGGTAATCAGGACAAAGCGCTAAGTTGCTCTTGGCTATAGGTTTAGTATTCTTGTGAGCTGACTTGATCACAACAGTTACAGAGGTGAGCTTTTAGTTATGAGAAATGCCAGCTAAGTATGTGTAGTGTTACCTGAGTAGTGATTATTGGGGTCATTTTTTTAGCAATATATATTTCTTTAGATTTCACTTCTGAATTTCTATTTGTGGGATATGTTTGGCAATGTGGGATTAATCTGAGATTATAATAGGTTTGTATTTGGCTCACATGTTTTCTATTTCTTTGTTTTCAGTGGTGGGGTCATGATCTATATTGACCGAATAGAAGTTGTTAATATGTTGGCTCCTTTTGCAGGTACAGTTCCTATCTATTCTGTTGTTTTTATAGTTATAATTAGTTTATATGTAACTGAGAGGTTTTCTAAGGAGAGGAATAATGTTAAATTTTTATAACCTCATTCATTTCTGATAAATTAAAAAGAATTATCACTGGAATGTTTTCCATTTCTAGGGAGTGGGGGCAGAAGTAGGTCACAAATTTTAGATAGAGTTGACTTTCTAAAATTTTCTCTGAACTGAATGTTTCTAAGAAGGTAGATAATTGAGTATTTCTAGAAAGGGAAAGTGTATTTTTTTTCAGTCACACTGAGAGGTAATTACCTTATTTGCTGGCAATTCCTGTACCCTATGACTTGTGACCATAGAAAACTTTTCCAATTGAGATGTGCTATAACTTGCAAAGCAGTCAAATTGGAAAACACTTTCTTGGTAAAAGATGAAAACCCACAGTTCAAATCAAAAACTTAATTATAAGTTTTAAAGGAAGATCTGCCCTTTTTTTATCTTTAATTTTTTTCCACACTTTTTTTTTTTTTAAGATTTATTTATTTATTTATACAAGCACTGGGTACAGTCAGAAGCGTGGGAGGGTGAGAGAATTCACGAGAGCCAGAGCGGGGAACAGAACAGGCAGACCGACGAAATACACTGCTGAGGGGAGCAGTGGGCATGACAGGAGAGGTCTGTGCGCCATGTGGGACCCCCTCCGGGGTCCGGGGATCAAACCGGCACTGCAGAGGCTTCAGGCAGCTTCGCAACCCAGCGTTCAACCACTGAGCCGCCAGGGGAGGCCCCTGCACACATTTTTTATGGGGCAAAAAGCATAAAACTATGGAATTTACCTTCTTAACCATTTTTAAGTTTTCAGCTTAGTGGTTTTAAATACATTTACATTGTTGTAAAACCATCACCAATATTCATCTCCATGACTATTTTTTCTTAGAACTCTATACCCATTAAAAATAACTTCTTATTCCCAACCCCCTGCCAATACCTGGCAGCTGCCAATCTGCTTTCAGTCTCTTGTGATTCTGAATACTTCTGTTACCTGATATAAGCATCTTTCTATGATTAGCTTAATTTACTTAGCATATAGTAGTCCTAAGATGTATTTATGGCATATGTTAGAATTTTCTTTCCTTTTTTTTTTTTAAGATTTATTTATTTATTTTATGCAAGAACTGGGGTACAGGCCAGATGCGCGGGAGGGTGAGAGGATTCACCAGAGACAGCGGGGAACAGAACAGGTAGACTGACAAAATACACTGCTGTGAGGGGAGCAGCGGGTGAGGCAGGAGAGGTCTGCTGCGCCATGTGGGACCCTCGCCAGCCGGCTGGGATCGAACCGGCGCAGCAGAGGCTGCGGACAGCTTCACAGCGCAGCGCTCAACCACCTGCACCATCAGGGGAGGCCCTAGAATTTTCTTTTTAAGTCTGAATAATATTCCATTGTGTGTGTTTGTACATATATGTATGTATGTATGATTTATTTATTTGTTTGTTTAGTTTATCCATTCAGATAATACTGGGTTTGCAATACTTATGGGCAAACTTTGAATTCCATACTAAGGGAAGTATCATTATGTTGAAGGGAATAAAGAACTATCAGCATTTTCCATTTTGTTTAGCCAGTCATCCACCACTTGTGCTCCTTCCATGTCTTAGTAATGCTGTTATGAACATGGGTCTTCATGAGATCCTACTTTGAGTGGAAAGAAAGATATGCCATTTTATCTTTATTATTAAAATTGTCATGGTTAGCATGTACAGGATACTTTGTTTGGCAAGAGTAATTTAAAAAAGGTAAAGTTAGGGCCTTTGTCCTTAGGGATTTTTTTTTATTTTACTTGAGAAGACATGATACAATCTAGAAAATAAAGTACATATATGTAAGGGCAGGACTGACCACTGAGCAGGTTTTCTAGGATCCCATGCAAACCGGGTAAAGGAGGAATCTGAGTCCTCAGTGGTTTTGCAGGTTTTTATTGGGGTTCACCAGGCATACGGCAGGCACGGGTACTGGGGGGTTGGGAGGCTGGCAGTCCTCTCAGCCCTCCCAGCCCCCAGCTTATCTTCACTCTATCTGAGCTCTCCGGTCTTCTCTCTGCTTCTATCTCAGCTTCTGCTGTTCCTTTCTTGGCTTCTTCTTTTGGCTTCTGCTGGCGTCCCTGTGGCGCCGCCCTTAAAAGCACAGTCTCAGCCCAGGTGAATCCCATCTACCTATGCCCACACCCTATTGCAGGTGCCCGCCATCAAGCATGCATTCAGGACCGCAAGGATCCATCATCTATCCTGATGGCGGGAGGGCAGAAAAGCCTGACATTTTCTTTACCATACAGTCCACCCCCTCAGGGTTTTCTACCATATAGTCTTCATATATATAATTTTCTTAGCAAACATAAACAATGCAGCCATGGCCCACAAAAGCAAATACATCACAATATAACAACAAAATACAAAGGAACACAAGTAAGTCCAGGCAGGGCCCCAATCTAGTGCAAAAGACAATTATTGGTACCAGCGGATGAGCCACCAAATCTGCTGCCAAAGGCACTGCTTATACGAGGGAGGGGAATCACTGACTGCATCTACTGTAACACGCCAGGAGCCGTCAGGCTTCCTGACCTTCTCTGGCTGTAGTCTCAGCTACAAGCCACACGCCGCATCCACCCCCAGGATGCATTCACTCTGGGATTGGCGATTCTATTCTGTTGGGGATAATCACCAACCCTCAGGGTTTCTGTCTGCAGTCGCTCCAACATTCGGCCTTCATAGCCACCAATGCGACTCGCAGACCCCTGCACTCAGGCCAACCCACTGCACAAGCACATGGATCGGGGATCCAAACTCTACATTCGGCTTGGGCTCCACCCAAGCCACGTTCCCCACCCGTCCCCCAAGGGCGGGTTCCTCAGCTCTTCACCTTCACTCAACAACGAGCAGGGTATCACCCACAGGTGATTTTACGAGACTCACTGGCTTTCAGCATACTCAGGCTGCTTAACAGCCACTCAGGGCTTCTCAACTTAGCATCAGCACCAGCTTTTGCCTTCTCAGTTGGCTTTTCTCCTCCGCCTAGCTGCTGGTCATACACAGACTGCTTTTGGCCATCAAGGCCCACTGGCCACCCCCAGATTCCCAAAAGACAACCTGCCAAGGTCCTCCACCTTCTGGCGGGATTGTCAGTCCAATCCATCAGTCCAAGTCCATTCGGCCAAGTTCGTTGGCCTCTCCCTGAATCAGCACTGGCGAGCTCCGAATTGTGGTCCTCTCTTTGCCGATGATTCTTGCTGCCTCGGGGGTCCTTGGCTGGTCCTCTCGGGCAACTCCTCCACACGAGGTCTCATCCTGCAGTTCCTGGACCTCATCCATCTCCTGTGCTGCCATGACACCTCCAGCATCATCACAGGGAAACAGTTTGTTACTCCTTAGTCCCTCCAGGTCTTCGGAGGGCTCCATACCCATCTGCATGGATCATCCTGCCAACTACGCCAATTGTAAGGGCAGAACTGACCCCTGAGCAGGTTTTCTAGGATCCCATGCAGACCGGGTAAAGGAGGAATCGGAGTCCTCAGTGGTTTTGCAGGTTTTTATTGGGGTTCACCAGGCATATGGCAGGCAGGGGTGCTGGGAGGCTGGCAGTCCTCCCAGCCCCCAGCTTATCTTCACTCTATCTGGGTTCTCCAGTGTTCTCTCTGTTTCTCTCTTGGCTTCTGCTGTTCCTTTCTCAGCTTCTTCTTTTGGCTTCTGGTGGCGTCCCTGTGACGCCGCCCTTAAAAAGCACAGTCTCAGCCCAGGTGAATCCCATCTACCTATGTCCAAACCCTATTCCAGGTGCCCACCATCAGGCATGCATTCAGGACCGCAAGGATCCATCATCTATCCTGATGGTGGGAGGGCAGAAAAGCCTGACATTTTCTTTAACCTACAATATATATGTATATATGTATGAATGTAAGGTCATGCTAAAATTCAGCATGGTATAGGCACAATTAGCCAAAGGATTTCAGAGCACAAAGCAGGAGTTTTATTGTCAAGTAGATTTGAGGTTAAATTTTCAGTGATTGTTTTCCTTGTTTCCCTGGTCACAAATTAGTGGGATGGATTATGCCTAGAAAAATAGAAGAGGAGTGACTGCTTGTTTTCTTACCAGAGAGGAATAGAAAACTATTGGATAACCAGTTTATTTGCAAATCACCAAACAAATGAGTCAGCAAGTATTTAGTGATGGCCTAGCCTTGTTTGTGATCGGCAGTACAGTTGTGTCTTCACGGGAAAATCAGTGGAGCAAATCCTTGGGTCTAAAGGGAGAAAGCAGCACATTTAATATGTAGAGCACAGGTTCTACCTGGTCTAACAGGTGCCTTTTGGCATATTTGTAAAATACTCTTTTTCTTTGTTTCCTTATTTGCAGAATTAGGAGACAGTTTGTAAGAATTAAGTGCTAATGTATGTAAATTGCCTAACATAAAGCCTTTGGCCTTTTTTTTTTGTTAACCACCTTTAAAAACTACCTTTTTGAAAGTGATCTTATGCACCTGCTTCCTTACTTTATTCCCACTCTTCCTCAGTTACCTTTTAGCTAAACTTTTGCTTATAGTGATTGGCTTACCCTTGCCCTGACTTTGTTCCCTATGCCTTGCTTATTCATCTTCACACTACTGCCACAGTGCAAATCTGATTGTATCATGCCATTGCTGGAAAACTTTGTTAGTTTCTTATACTTTCCTAAGAGTGGACTTTGAACCTTGCCCATTAGTATTGCAAATACAGTAGTATCTGGAAAACTGAGAACAAGGAACACATCGAAGTTTGTGAGTTGTGTTTCATGTTTTTACTATTTTGTTGACACTTTCCCTCAGGTATATATCACTGACTTTTACTTGGGCTGAATTAGAAGATGCTGGGCTAGTGTTGTGTAAAACAAACGTGAATTATACTCTAAATAGTTACAGTGCAGTAAACTCTAAACTTTTCTTCAGTGTTTGATATTGTGAGGAACTACACTGCAGATTATGACAAGACCTTAATCTTCAATAAAATCCACCATGAACTGAACCAGTTTTGCAGTGCCCACACACTTCAAGAAGTTTACATTGAATTGTTTGGTAAGTGTTTTGTTTTAAACATTTGACTAACCAATGGAAATCTTGACCAACTTGTTTATGGATGCTGTAGTGATGTTAGTAAACACTGTGTTATTTGAGCATTCTTCTGAATTTACAATAAAGCAGTTGCCTTTGAAATATTCTTTAAGATTTCATATATTTAAATTAAGAAAGTATACAGATAAGCTATTTTAAGGATTATAACCATCTTTTAAAATGTATAACATGATTTGGTAATGATTGCCAAAACTTCCTTACAAATTATAAGTTTTTTTTACTATGATAACTTACTGAAAATTACCTTTATTGCTATTTTAATAGATTATTTGGAAAATTTAGAAGTTTCTGTCGTGAGGCATCCCAAGACTCACCCCTATATTCACTAGGAGGACCAACAGGACTCAGTATAGTCATACTCACAGCTAAGATGTATACACAAGAGGATACAAAGCAAACTCAGCAAAAGGAAAAGGTACATAGGTGAAGTTTGGCAAAAGCCAAGCATAAGCTTCCTAGAATCTTCTCCCAGTGGGAGTCACAATTGTGACAACACCTGTGAAAGTTTTATAGTAGGGAAACTCATTAGAAACTCAGGGACGAGAGTTTTCATTGGGTGCTGATCGTGGAGACACCCTCTGCCTAGTATAAAGCCAGACTCCTAAAGGAAAGCAGCTATTCAGCATAAACCACATTGTATAAACAGTCAAGGCACAGTGAGTCATTCCTAATCAGTTCTGGGGATAGTGGAAACCCTCTTAAAATCCAACCTTCCAGGTAACAGCCTTACCAAGAATAGCAGTTGTGAGCTTTCTTGTACACAAGTTATTTTCATTTGTAATAGCGAAAACTATAACCCTGTATGGGGTTCTTGGTGTTGGTTACTCACTTCTCCCTCCTAGAATTCTTAGTGAACTTCTATAGAGATAGTTAATCCATTTAGAAATCAACCAGATGATTCCTGTTTAATGATTGACAACTACTAGGCTGTTGTATGAGGAAACTTATCTGTCCTGATTTGTCACATTAGCAGTCATTTTAATAATGTGAAAGTGCTATTGAGGTAAATAAAAAATGTATGCATTCCAAAGCCAAGTGAGGAGATTATTGCTATTGTCCATTTTTGTTTGCTTCAAAGACATTCCTGTGAGCTTTTTTCTCCTTTTACATCCAAAATAATAGACTAAGCCCATGGAAATGAAATTTAGTTATTTGGGAGGTTGGGTAAAGATTGATGGTGGGATTTTTTCTTTTAAGAATCAGGGCATATTAGGTAAAAGTGTTGAATTTAGATATTAGAGATCTAGATTCATCACTTACTAGATAAACTTAAACTTGCTACTTGTCATCTTTCTTCCTAAATTTGTTAGATAATTCTTCACTTTCTTGCATACAAAAAGAAAACTAAATACATATAAAATATATATAAATATGTCTCTCTCCTCAGATATATGTGAGGTGGTTTAAACTATGAAAGAATAGAACTGTGAAAACATTTAGGTCTAGTAATGATTAGTTTTGTTCCAGTGTTAATGCACTGTATAAAAATTAAACATTGAGTATCATGAGAGCTGTTGTTCTTGGCTTCAAAAACAGATCAAATAGATGAAAACCTGAAGCAAGCTCTGCAGAAAGATTTAAACGTCATGGCCCCAGGCCTCACTATACAGGTAAGTCCTTTCCTAGGGAGGTTCTTGGGGATTTTGAGAACTTTGAATTCAATAGTCCTTTCATTGAACTGTTTATTCAGCAATTATTTAATGGCGGTGCTGGGGTGATTTATGTGATTCCTTTCTAAGTCTGACTTTAGTTCTCTGCCAAAATAAAGTTCTCTTGCAGTTTACCATGGGTGGCATTTTCTTAAACTCTTGGAAAGAGATGCACATCAGCTGAGGCTTTTACAAGGAATGGAAGTCCATACCGTCTATGTGTGAGGCATTCTTAAGCTACGGTAATGGTTATAAATCAGTGTAAGGGTGATCCTTGCCCTCACTGGGATTTAGAGAAAGGATTTCATGTATTGAATTGAACAATAATTCTAGACAGTATAGATGTTTCAAAGTAGTAATTAACAGATGAAGTGATTGTGGTTAAGAGTTTAGGAGAGTACATCTCCAGAGAGTCTGCCAGGAGACAACTGATTGAGTTGGAATTTTAGGTGGATCTGGAAGAATTTTTAGGATTTTATATGGGGGATAGGAGTAAAGAAAGTATTTCCAGTGGATGAGAGGATGGCTTGAGAAAAGGCAAGATAGCAGATAGCAGATGAACTTGGTGGTAGTGATGATGGTGGTACTGGGAGATAGAATAGTGGGAGACTATGTGCTTTTTTTGGCAGGGGGGCGGTCAGTTTATTTTCAAACTAGATTGAAATCCATTAATGGGTTCTAAAATCAATTTCCATGGGTTGCAACCAGCATTTTACATAAAATGGAGTTAAATAAGAAAGGAAACCAGCTTATGGCATGTAGTAAGTTTTAAGTATTACTTCGTGAAACTTTTTTCTTTGAATTAAGAGTGTGGGGTAGCTGTTTATATGTGTTATCAATATAAAATGCGTTTTTTTACTGTGGTCATGTTCAGTGACATTTGGAAGCCTGACTCTGGCTCTGGATTACCTGAGAAATGGTAGTGTGATTCGCTAGTGTCCTCTCTCAAAGTTAATAGATCAGTTGATTGTGATGAACATTACTATAGCCAAAGATGCAGCTGCTTTGGTGTCATGTGTCTCAGGTTTTGCACTCCTCCTGTGAGTGTGCATTCATTGTGAGTGACCATACATGATCTCATACAAGACTGGAAAGATGGCAAGAGTTTTCCCAGTAGTGATTGATGCTGTACCGTTATCTCTCACTGATAGCCTGGGAGTGAGCCGCCAGAGTTAATGGATCATTTGAAATGTCCATCCTCTTGGACATTTGTAAAATCTGTTTTCCATTTAGTTGTGGTTGGAGTAACTTTAAAGATAGTGAATGTAAATGTCACAGATTCTTATATATTGTTACTTGGAGGCCATCTTAACAGCCGCCTAGAATTCCTTGCTTTATATTACCTAACCATTTCCCTGTTTCCTTTAATTTTAGTGAACAGCAGTGTAGTGAACATTCCTCACACATCTTGTATGTGTGAATTATCTTCCAAGAGGCTGTAAAATTCCACATTTTTACCAACACTATATGTGAAGAGTTGTTTTCCCACAAACTTATCAGTATTTGAAGCAATCAGACATACTGCTATTTGCCCAGTGTATAGGCTGTGTTATATCTCTCTTCGATTATATTTCCTTAGTGAAGGAGATTGTCTTTTAATATTTTTATTGGCCATTTGTACTCTTGTCTGTCAATTACCTATTCATTTTCTTTCTTCATTTTAACTGTTGGATTGTTTTCTTTTTTCTTACTGATTTATAATAGTACTTTATACTGAATATTTTTATAATCACACATTATATTGCAAAAAAATTAGATATTAGGAAGATGAGTAACAGTGAAATTCATGGAAAGATAACAAAGTTTGTTGTGTGTTTCTAGACTCAGTGTAGAGGATCGTATGTTTAGGGGTATAAATAATGAGAAACTAAAGCAGAATCACAACATACATGTTTTTCACAAGCTGAATATATGAGCATCTTTCCAAGTCAAAGATAAAGATTTGCTGTATCATCACATTTAATGGTTTTATTGAACTAACCTCTGTAGTTTCTAAATTTTCACTGTTACATGTAAATTGCAATGACCAAGCTTATGCAGCCTTTAAAATCCTTCCCTTAGGATAAATTCTTAAATGTTGGGTTGATGAGTCACACATATACATATACATACTTTTGGGGGCTTTTTGATGCATGCCAAATTGCTTTTCGGAAAATTTTAGCTTATACTCAGCATCGGCAGTATTGGTGAGCTATAGTTTTGTACACACGTGTGATTGTACTCAAATAGTTAGCAGATGCATGCATGTTCTTTTAATCCTTTTGGAGAAAAGCAATTCAATATTTTATGTTAGTTATTGAGATTGAATGTCCTCCTGTATTTATTGGCCATTTGTATTTTATATGTGAATTGTTTTGGGGTTTTTTGCTGACTTTTTAGTTGTTCATCTGTTTTTATCATTTTTAAAAAGTATGTTATTGCACCTCTTTTTTTTAATGCTTAGGAAACATTTTCTGCTAGTTTTTTCTTTGTCATTTAACTGTTTCTTTCCCCTGACAATTAGTTTGTAAGTTTTCAACTCTTACACAGTAGTTTCAGTATTTTTTTCTTTATAGTATTTAGCTGTACTAGCATGCTTTATGAACCTTTTACCAATATAGGAATGTAAATAAAATTAGAAATTACAAGTTTTTCTATCCTTACACAGTTGTAATTTTAAATTTAAATCTTTAGTTCATCTGAATCTGTTTTAATATCAGTTGTGAGGTAGAGTTTCCATTCCCTCCCCTCCCAATTCAGTAGCAACAGTTATTACTGATTATTTATACTCTGGTCTTTCCCTCCCTCACCCCATATATTACTGAGATGTATGCTTTGTATTGTTTTACCTATATTTTCTTCTATATATTTTACGGTTTGGGGTGTTATAATAATTGTTGAGCCTTTGGTCTTTTCTGTCCAATCTACTTCTCCTGTTTTTTCCTTCCTGTCAATAAATGGTGTCTCTTCCACTCAGGCTAATCTAGAACAATGAGAGGGCATCTTTGACAATCCTTTACCCATAACATCTAATCAGTTCCCATATCCTGATTTTACTACCAGATTCCATTTAAAACTATTTACACCGCTGTCTTCATTACCACCTCTTAAAGCCAAGCTATAATTTCTTGCCTGCCTTTTGCAGTCGTCTCCTGTTTTATTTCCCCACTTTCACTTTCACTCTTGCCCACATCTTTTTCTGAATAACAGCAAGAAGATACATTTGAGTGTATATTTGTATATGCACGTCAATGCCATTTTCCTCCTACTTTTCCAGGAGAAAATAAGTGAAATTTTGATGTTTTTCATTCTTACGCATGCTTTTACACTTTTAGTATAGTATACGTCCATCTTGTTTTGCACATTTGAAAACAACTAAATCATATCACACAGCACATATCACTTGGCTATTTTTTTGATATGTAATAAACATATATACCTTATATTAATTCATTTTAACAGACATATACTACACATACACCACAATTTATCCATTCATCTAATAGACATGCATTCCAGGTTTATAAAATTTAAAATAATACTGCAGTGAACTTTCTGTACTTGTCTCCTTGTATATAATACACCAAGAATTCCTATAGACTATAATACCCAGAGACTGAGTCAGTATGTAAGCATCTTCAGCTAAATAAGATTTATTCAATGTTAGATTATTTCACTGTCACCAGCAAAGATTAGAGCCCATTGCTCCAAACTCAGCAACATGTAAAGAATCAGACTTTTTAGTTTTGTTTTCATTTTCAGATGGCTGTCAACTGGTTATCTCAATTTTATTTTAATGTGCAGTTCTTTGATTACTAGTGAGATTAAGCCATTAAATTGGTTACCATTTTCCAGAGATTGGAAAAAATCTAGAGTTAATTTTAAATATCTATTAGGGATGAGGAAGTCATCCTGTTTTCAAGAGTTTACAGTGTAGCGAAAATCTAAGAATAATAGAAGAAAATATTTTTCTCTTCCCCTTGCTACCTCCTACTTTTTTGCAAACTGATTCTATAAACTATTTCTGGGGAGAAAAGTCAGTTTCCACTTTTAATTTGAAGAACATTCCCCTTCATGCATAAAAGAAAAATGCCGTCATTATCTATTGGATATCCAGGACTTACAGGATCCAAGAGTTCCAGGTTGGGAAATAAGTGAAACTAAGATGTAGTTAATATCCTGAAATTATATCTCTTTATGGTCCTGTTAGTCTTTAGCCATTCTTATTGAGAGTATCCAAATCCAAGCCCACTTGATTTTCAGAGGGGTCTGTAGCAAACTTCTGGGTGGGAACACAAGGACCTGAAGACCCAGACCTGCCTTCCCCAATGGATTCTATCTTTATCCAACCTCCACCAAAGTGGAGAGTGAGCAAGAAGGATCTTTTAAATTTACCCAGATTTGCAATTCCTATCAAGGTTTCAATGGCATTCAGTGGCAAAGAAAAAGAACAAACATTGCTTGAAATTGTGTGAAACCACAAAAGACCCTGAATAACCAAAGCAGTCTTGACAAAAAAGTATGGGGATATCACACTCCTAGACTTTAAACTATATTACAAATCTACAATAATCAAAATAGTATGGTATCAGAATAAAAATAGATATACAGCCCCATGGTATAGAATTGAGAGACCAGAAATAAACCCACAGTTGTGTGAACAGTTATTCTATGACAAAGGAACTAAGTAATCCAATGGAGAAGGGAAAGTCTCTTTAACAAATGGCATTGGGAAAACAGGACAGCCACATGCATTAGAAACTAGGCTGCTGTCTTACACCATATACAAAAATTAACTCAAAATGAATTAAAGGCTTGCATATAAGACTTGAAACCATTTCAAAATTCTTAGAAAACTTTGGCAAAATATTGCATGACGTAGGCTTTAGGAATGTCTTTGGGAACTTCAACACCAAAGGAAACAAAAGCAAAAATAAACAAATAGGATAAATAAAATTAAAAAGCTTCTGGAATAAACTATCATTAAAACAAAAAGATACTCTACGGAAAGAGAGAAAATAATTTGCCTGTCATACATTTGGCAAGGGACTAATCCTAAATCTACAAAGAACTCATACAGCTCAACAGAGAGAAAACAAAAAATTTAATCAAAAAATGGGTAGAGGGCCTCCCCTGATGGCGCAGCGGTTAGTGCTGAGTTGCAAGGCTGCCTGCAGCCTCTGCAGCGCCGGTTCGATCCCCGGCCACCGGTGAGGGTCCCACAAAAAAAAAAAAAAAGGGGCAGAAAAGCTAAACAGACATTTCTCCAAAGAAGACATACATGTCCATCAGGCTCATGAAGGAATGCTCATCATCGCTTATCAGGGAAACGCAAATCAAAACCATGAAATACCATATCACACCTATGAAAATGGCTCATATCAAAAGACCAGAAACAGCAAATCTTGACAAGCATATGAAGAAAAAGGAGCCCTCTTACACAGTTGGTGGGAATGTAGACGGATCTAGCCCCTATGGCAAAGTATGAAGGTTTCTCAAACTTAATTAAAAACAGAGCTACTGTATGACCCAGCAATTTCACTCCTAAGTTTCTATTCACAGAATGTAAAGATACTAATTTGAAGGGATATATACACTCCTTATGTTCATTACAATACCATTTATTGTTTTTTTTTCCATAGCCAAGTTACAGAAACAATCTAAGTGCCCAATGATAGATGAGTAGATTAGGAAGATGTGGCATATATATATACAATGAAATACTACGCAGACATTAAAAAAAAAGATGAAATCTTGTCAGTTATGAAAAATGGATGGAACTGAATGGGACTATGCTTGGCAAATAGAAGGAGAAAGACAAATATTGGATGTGAAATACAGAGAAGCGAAACAACAAATCCTAGAAATCTGACAGTAGTATTGAGACTGATCTTTTAAAAAAGATCCTTTACCCTGAAGGAGTTTACTGAATTTAGTGCCTCAGTGGGTAATTTTTCCCATAGCCAGCCTCTTTTTTTTTTTTTTTTTTTTTTTTAAGAAAACAAGAAGCAGCTTGTCTTTGATTTTTGCTGTGGTGACACAAATAGTAGATTTTCTAGTGGGATCCCCATATGTTCGATAGACAGCTATGTCATAGTTGTCTTAATAGTTTCTTTTGAGGTCTTCTATAGAATTAGTTTCAAATTTTCTTTTTCAAATGTACTTTGGCTTTTTTACTTTTATTTTTTAGGCTGTGCGTGTAACAAAACCCAAAATCCCAGAAGCCATAAGAAGAAATTTTGAGTTAATGTGAGTAATCTGCATGGGATCTCAATATTTTTATTTAGGGTTGTGTACATATTAATATACCAGGTTAGAGGAAATTTATGTGTGAGATACCACACTCTGAGGTGGGGTATATGGCTAGTCTCTTTATTTCTATTCTAGTGATATTGCCTATTCTTGTGTCTTAATTCCCACTAGACTCTTAGCAGTTTTCTCTTTACCTGTGAACATCTCAGGAGCAGTTGCAGTGGCTAAGGATACAGTTGCTGTGGGACTGTTGCTGGTAGCCATATGGGCTAGCATTTAGATGTGAATAGTACCTTAAATTAAATATTAATAGAGGTGAGAGAGAGTCCTAGCTGTTAAGGTTGAAGAGAGTACCTGTATTTTATTACTGTTTTATAATAGCAAGAGTTAGATACCCATCATTGGTAAAAAGTTGGGATTTCTATTGTATGTGATTGTGTTTCTAAAATTACTAGATCTAGATCTTCTAATTTGCCTGTGGGAAAGCCTTGCCTGAGTTGACTCCTGGTAGTCTTCTCTTAGGTGTGCAGGGCTGACTGGGAAGAACTTGCTTGCATAACATTAGTTTCTAAGTTTTAGAGTATCCCTTCAGGAGAATATGTATTGTGATTTATTTTTATTTTTGGTATTTTCACATGTTATTAGCTACAGCATAGACCCTAGTGCTTCCTCATTCCCTCCCCTCCAGCCCCTCCCCTGCACCATGCCCCTGTCATCATTGCCTGGGCCCTCTGGAACTCCTGCTGGATCTGAGCATGGGTCTTCATCTGTTCTGACTGTTGCTTACGGTCTCAAAACTGGGATTTGTATCTTAATTTCAGCTGTGAAAAGTACAGCGCCTCCGTGGCCCAAGCCCCCTCCCCCCCCCCCCAGCTCCTGTTTGACCAGCATGGGACCCAGAAGTTTAAAAATCATGTCAGAGCCATCCAGCAGGAATGGTTCCTTTTTCATGATATTTTCTATTAGCTGTGCCTTGAGCTTCTATCACCCTGACTCAAATCCTTTCATAGCTGTTGATATTTCTCCACTTCTCCTTATAACAGCTTCTGGATTAGTTCAGCCATGGTGGGGATGAAAGTCTGTGGGGAGCAGGAGAGGGGAGTGCTGGATTTCACATTTTGAAAGGGGCTGGAGCTTACCTTCTTGACCTGGTGTTCTTCCCTCAGTATTCTGTATTGCGATTTAAATGGCAGTATTACCCTCTTATTACAGTACTAAAAAAGATGAAACAAAATTCTTTAGGAAATTTGATATGTTAAGGGGGACAATATAAAATCATTCTGAAAAAATAACTTTGCAAAAGTCAAGGATGCAATAAATGTATAAATACTGGAGGTTCAAGAAGGAATAATAATACTTCCTTATGGAGTGATATACTCTGGAGTCCTTTTTGTTCCTTGTCTGTATCTTTTGTTACGCAGAGTTTTATATTTTTTCATTGCAGGAAAGGAACTCTCTTTTTAAACTTCTAAAACATACCATGTCTTTAACATCAATGGAATAAGAGAAATGCATTTAAGAATCTAAAACATGAAGTGCCGGGCTTTAAATATGATAGTCTCTGGTGATGGAAAGATGAATACTGTGGGCCTCCCTGGTGGCACAGGAGTTAAGCACTGCACCATGCAGCAGTCCACAACCTCTGCAGCACGAGTTCTATCCCCGGCCGGCCAGGGAGAAACCCACATGGCGAGGCAGACCTCTCCTGTCTCGTCCGCTGTTCCCCTCAGCAGTGTATTTCAGTCAGTCTGCCTGTTCTGTTCCCCACTCTGTCTTTGGTGGATCCTCTCAACCCACACATCTCTGCCCCCAGCTCTTGTATGCATAAGTAAATAAATCTTAAAAAAAAAAAAAAAGATAAATACTGTGTATCCTCTGCCCTCATATAACCCATAGTATCCAGACAGAAGTGTCATTTTATATCTTTATCACTGGAGAATATGTTAACATGAGAAAAGGGGGAAGCTTTTTCCCTGTGGGGACAGAGCATTGTTTTGGAGAAACTATTGGAGTCACTTCTCAGATTCTGTATCTTTCCTAATTTGTGTAGACTATTGGAATTCCAAAATTAAAAGCCACATTGGGATTATCTAACCTCCCACCTAATAGTCCTTTTTTTATAGTATTTCTGCCATATGGTCACCCAGGCACTACTTGTACATACTCAGTGATAGGACAGTCATTTCCATTATTAGAAAGCTCAAATCCTTAGAAAGTTCTTCCTTACATTGAGTCAAGTTTACAACCTAATGACTGCCACCTAGTTACATCTTTTGTCCAACAAATAGCACCACTGCACAAGGGTGACCCTCTCAGGAGAGTCTGAAATCCAGTTCCATCCTTGCCAAACCATGTACCTGAGAAATAGCAACTGCCCAGAGATAGATGCCCTTCGCTTACTGGCACAGTGCTGCTATGTGGGCTCGCATAGGAAACCTGCCAGCAAAGGAATCATGTATATATTCCAGGTGCTTCCCAGGTCAGGCCTTTGCATGATGAAATTAGAAGAAATAGTCTAAAGTTCAAATGTGCAAAATTTGATTCCTATTTCCGGGTGACTTTGAGCAAATAATTTAACCTTTCACTTCTGATTCATTACAGTCAAAATAGGGTAAGTCATCTGTTTCTCACTGTAATGGATCAGAAAGTCTTGTTGAAAATGATTCTCTGAACCATTATAGAGCGATGATTGTGATTATACATTAGAGAATCATTTCTAATTTTTATAATATTTTATTCCGTAGGGAGGCTGAGAAGACAAAACTTCTTATAGCTGCACAAAAACAAAAGGTTGTGGAGAAAGAAGCTGAGACAGAGAGGAAAAAAGCTGTTATAGGTACTTGGATTTCTTTTCTGAAATGGATGTCTTTTAAGTACATGCATTATGAGTTTGTTCTGTACTCTCATTCTCATGTTGGATGTTAAATGGGACTCAAATATGATTGCAACATAGAGTGGAAGAATTCTGGAAACTTCTTGGTACAATCAGATGTCATAAAAGCCTTGTAAAAGTAAGTGAGGTCTCTACCATGTTATTGGCTGGCACCATTGTCTTTTTGAAGACAGGAAGAGTGGATAAGGTTTTTGGGCAGCGTTCAAGTAGGGTGTTTGTTTATATACAGTAAGAATAGGAAAGTGTTTTGGCTAAAGCTCAGAATCATTATATACATCCTTGCTGTTAACATGCATCTAGTTTTATCTGGATAGATACTGCCTTCTGAAAAAAAATACAGCAGTATTACAGCTCATTTTGAAATACAGTGACTTCTCTAACACCCTCGGATACTATGATATTAAATTGCCATCTTAGACTCTCTAACGAAGCCTTAACATTTTGCTATAGTTCCTTCATATCATACTTTCTTTTAAGAAAAAATTTATATATCTGTTTGAAACTTCCGTTGTGCCCTTATTGGTCTTACTACTTTCACCTTTCTTCTCAGATAGCTTCTATTCTGAAGTTAATGTATCTTTTCTGTGGCTACTACATTAGTATGGAACAATAACACATCATAAAGTTGTTTTAAACTACAAAAATAGTATCAAGCCCTACCTTTAATTTCACCACCTGCCCTTTTTTCTTACGTAATAACATTAGTTTGAGCCTTACTAATATTGATAAATACAGAACTAGTTCATTTTTAACTGTTGTGTATTTCATTCTGAGTGAACCCCAATTCATTCTGATGTGAAGATTTTGTTATTCTCTAGTTTTTCCTTATTACAAGCAGTGACCCTGAGCTACCCTTTTCCCTGCTTCCTTTTATGCAAGAGTTTTCCGGAGTAGTGCTGCCCAACCTGTGGTGTGGGTTGATGTCCCATCAACAACATTTTTGTTCTGATCTACAATGAGATGAGTACAGAAATTGAGAATGAGTATTTAGAAGTCCTTATAGCATTTTAATGCAGTAATTTTATGTTTTTTGAATCTAATAAAAAGCCAGTTTATATTTGTATGTTTTTAAATTTGTATCCTAGTAATTCATTTTTTGTTATGTTTCATAAAATATTGGTTCCTACTAGATTAAAATACAAAAAAAAAGGAAAGAAGAGTATTTTTTCACAGGTGGTTTGAAAAGTACTACTCTAGAATACATATCTTCAAGTAGATTGATTGGTATACTCATCTTCAAGTTTACAACATTGCCAAATTGCTTTCCACAGTGATTTTTCTATTTGTTTGAATTCCAGTTTCTGTGCTGCCATATTGAATTCCCATTTCTGCATATTGTCCTCAACCTTGAAATTATCAGACTTTTAAAAATTTATTGATTACTAGTAAAATTGAGTATTAATTATTTCCCTTTCTTTGTGTAATTGTTAATATCCTTAGCCCATTAATTGGTGACTTTTTGAATTGGTTTACAGGAGTTCTTCATATCTTCTGGACATTAATCCTTTCCCGGTTTTATACATTGCAAATATTGTCTCTCTGTGGTTAACTGTGAACTTCCTGATGTATAGTTTTATGTAATCAGATTCATCAGCCTTTTCCTTTCTGGTTTGTGTTTTTCCTATCTTCCTATCTCTTTTCCAGCTTAAAGTAATAATTTTATTCTAAAAGTTATAAAGTTTTGCTTTTCATATTTAGGTTTGAATCCCTTTGGAATTTAGTGTTCAGTGTGACAAGGAATTCAGGTTTTTTTTTCCAAATGGCAAGTCAATTCTCTTAGATTATTCAGTAAGTTCTCTTAGATTATTTAGTAAGTAGTTCATTATTTCCTCTACTTATTTGTAATGTCTCATCTGTTATATAACAAGATCCTATATATGAATTGTTCTGTTATTAGGGTCTGTATTTTATTTCAATTTCATCATCTGTCTTTCTCCAGTATGACCTTGTTTTAGCTGTTGTAACTTTTACAGTTAGTCTTGCTATCTGGGAGAGCAAGTTTCTCCTTAACTATTTTTCTTAACTTTTCCTAACTATTCCTAAAATTATCTTGGACAGGGCCTCCCCAGTGGCGCAGCGGTTGAGCGCTGGGCTGCAAAGCTGCCCACAGCTTATGCAATGCTGGTTCGATCCCCGGCTGCTGGCCGAGGGTCCCACATGGCGCCCAGACCTCTCCTGCTGCGCCCGCTGCTCCCTTCAGCAGTATATTTCATTGGTCTGCCTGTTCTGTTCCCCACTCTGGCTCTGATGAATTCTCTCACCCTCCCTCACTTCTGACTGTACCCAGTGCTTATATAAATAAATAAATAAATCTTAAAAAGAGGATTTTTTTTTTTTTAATTACCTTGGACAATTCTAGTCCTTTTATTCCTCCATATAAATTTTAGAACCGACTCCTTGATTTCTGGAAAATACTGTGTTGGAGTTTATACTGTAATTGCATTTCCTGTATACATCAATTTAGAGAGAATTACAATATTTATGAAATTGAGTCTTGTAATTCTATTTCTTCACTTATGAAAAATGTCTTTCAAAAAGTGTCATCACTTTCTTCTTGATGTTCTTGCACATTCTTTATCAGAGATTTATTCCTATGTAGCTCTTAGGATTTTTTTGCTATTACAAATAGGATCTTTATTTGCTGTTGTAAATAGTCACATTTTCTAACTGGTTATTGCTTTTTATAGGTATGTTGTTGAATTTTTAATTTAGTTATTTTGGTGAAAATGCTGTTATTTCTATCAGTCTCTCAGATTTCCCATTTGATCAGTCATGTATCTTCAGATCAGGACAGTTACGGTTTTTTCTTTACAGACCCATACCTATTAGTTCTTACCTTTTTGCTGTAAGTGTTAAAAAGATATAAGTGATAGGCATTCTTGTCTTATAATTAACTTTAAATAGTCTCAGTAATTCTTGCTGTACTTTTATCAAGTTAAAACATTTCCTTCTGTTTCTTGCTTGCCAAGAATTTTTGTCATGACTCAGTGTTAAAACTTATAGAATTCTTTTTCTATATCTGTTGAGATAACCTTATGACTTTTCTTTAGAAAACTGTTAATGTGGTGAATTATATTAATAGATTTTCTTTACTCAATTATTTTGTGTTCCTGGGGTAAATCCACTTGGTCTTGATATTTGAAGTTTATCTCAGTATCTTTTTCTATTTGGCTTTCTAACAGTTTCTTTATAATTTTTACTTTCAGAAATGAGATCAGCTTATAAATTTCTTATATTCTTATTGTCTGTTTTTTGTTTATGCCAGCCTCAAAATTAGTTGGAGGGCATTTCTTCTTTTTCTGTGTTCTGGAACATTTTGTATCAATGTGTATTCTTTGCTCTATAAATTTGGTGGACTTCACTTGTGAAAACCGTCTTGGTCTAGTGGGGTTTGTGCTTTTTTTTTGTATGTACATTTGTATTGTGTGTGTGAGCATTTTACTTACTGATTTAATTTGTATATTGGTTTTAGATCTTTTCAGATATTTCTTTCTTTGTAAGCCTAGTGCTTACATTTTTCTCAAAAATTGTGTTTCCCTGCTATTTCAAATTTGGGAGCATAAAAATAACAGAATTCTCTTATGATTTTTAAAACCCTGTATCAAATATATCTTAATTATCCTAAATTTTGTATCTAATATTGTTTGTGCCTTCTCTTTTACTAGATCAGTTTTGCCAGAGGTCTGTGTTATATTAACCATATTCAGAAAAATGCATTTTGATTTGAATGATTTTGTTATTACTTTCTTTACAATTATAATATTTTCACATACTTTTATTATTTCCTTCTACCATTTTTGAGTTTATTCATTGGTTCTTTTCTAACTTAAGTTACTTAATTTTTCACTTTCAGTCTTTTCTAATGGAAACGTAAGAATATATGTTCTTTTATGTTCGGCTTTAGGCACATCTTTACAAGTTTTACAAGTTTTGAAGTATAGTTTATTGGTGTTCAGTTTAATTTATTTTTAACGTTTTCATTGTGATTTCTTCCTTGACTAATAATTTATTAAAAGTATATTTTTAAATTTCTGATTGAATGGGTTTTCAGGGTGCTATCTTTTTATTGTTCATTTCCATTGTTCCTGCATTATAGTCAGATAATATGATCTGCTATAGATTCTTAAGTATTTGTTGAAATCTGTTTTGTGGCTTATTATACATGGTTGCCTTTTGGTAAATATTTTGTGTGAACTTGAAAAGATAGAATATATATTCTCTATTTGTTGGATATAGGTTTCTCTGTTATCAGATCAGACTTGTTGATTGTGTTGTTCACATCTCTGTATTCTTCTAAAATTTGCCTTCTTGAACTTGAGAGGAGCTATCAATTATCTGAGCCATCAGTTACTGAGAGGAATCTCCTACTATGACCATGGGTTTGCTGACTTCTAATTTTTTTTCTTTGTGTATTTTGGGGCTCTATTATTAAGGGCATTCAGGTTCAGGAATGTTAAATCTACCTGGAGAATTACTTCTGTTATGTAATAACCCTCTTTACCCGCTAAACTTGCTTTTTCGAATAAGGTCTATTTTGTCTGATGATACTATAGCTGTGCCAGATGTCTCCTGGTTAGCTATTTTCTTGGTGTATCTTTTCCCATTCTTTTACTTTCAACTTTTCTGTGTCATTATGTTTTAGGTGTGTCTCTTGTAAACAGCATATAGCTGGATTTTGTTATCTTATCCAATGTGAAAATCTGTCTTTTAACTGGTGAGTTTTAGTCTTTTTATATTTCTTGTGGTTATGACTACATTTGAATTTGTTATAATTTAATGTTGTGCTATTTTCCATGCATTTTATTCTGTGCCGCTTCCCCCCCCCCTTTTTTGGTTGTTATTTAATTGATTGAATCTTCTTTTTTCTTTTACTTGATTGGAAGTTTTACATTCTATAACTAGTATGCATAACTGGTCACTCCTATAAAATGTTAATAAGCATACCTGACTTGACAGAGGCTAAAGTTAATCATTCTTTCCATCCTTTCTTGAACAGTACTTTTGAATGCTTTAACTTTTATCACATTCCTCCACGTTGAAAAGATTGTTTACTAGTTTTTTTTTTTTTACATATTATTTTTTAGATCCTGTCTTTTTATTCCCCCATTGATTACTACTATCATTATTAACTCTTACTAATAAATCCTTATTTTGATTGACATTTGTTAAGTAACTTTTTCCTTTCTATTGCTTCTGGCAAGTCATTCTTTTTTTCTTGCTAGTTGTTTTTCAGTGATGGGTAAGGAATGGAAAACATCTTTAGTCTTCCTTGGTCTGAAATGCTTTTATTTCATTCTTGAATGGTAGTTTGGCCTCTTCTCTTTGAAGATTTTTCTCCCTGTCTTTAGATGTTCTCTAGTTTCACTATGATGTGTATAAATAGAGAAAAGCGTACTTTTCCACTGGGCTGGTTCTCCCTGGATTGCAGCCTTTAAAGGTCTTGATTTTATGCAGAAATCTCAGCTTGAATGTCTTAAAGTCTCATCTCCTTGCCCTGTATGGTCAGTAAGCCAAGTCCCTCTCCCTTGCTTATCTATAATTCACCCACAGGGCTGCCACCCTTACCTCTCCATCTCCCTCGCTTATATCTCCTGTGATTCTTTCTTAAGATCTCAGCCATGTGTTAAAAAACAAATTTTCTAAATTTTTTCTAGCACATTCAGGTGGTGTGAGCTGAAGGCTTTTACCATCATTTCCCTGTTATTTTTCTAGTACTAGGATATCTAGTCATGCTCTTTATTGGTTTATCCGCAAACATAGAATAGTGTCAAATGGAGTTACTGCATTGGTTAGTCCTCTGTTGAGACAACATTCTCTGGATTCTATCAGTAGGCTCTAGATCCCTCACCTTTTATTCAGGTTTTACCATTAGTTTCATCTTATAGCTGAATTTTTAGCTCAGTTGAACAGTATAGTCTTTAGAATAGAATGACACAGAATGATTTTTTTGCTGCTCAGGAAATAGGAAAGTATGTCCTAGAGTAATTGGTAAAGGAGATTGTCATCTGGAAAGAAGAAACCACTTGGAAATTTTCTTCCCATTCTCTACTTGCTTCAAGAGCCAGAGATAAGATATGTTAAATCTTTGGCTGAAGAAGAGAATTGAGAAAGTTCTGTAAGAACTGCAGTGATTAAAGTGTTAAAAAGTCTTCTGTCATCAGGTCCATTGGTTAGACCACATGGTGTTTCATTTCCTTGCCTCCGACTGCCTGCTACAGCTAACTTGTTCTCTCCCAACACTTGTTTTCACATTCTCAAACAAACCATCCTACTTTCTCTTTTATCTTCCAGAGCAGTCAGAATATTCCTTCCTTTATATTGGCTTGATCACATGTTTTCCTGATGGTAACTTCAGAGCTGATCCTGCTGTAGAAAGCTGTATTCCTTAGCCTGTCACTTAAGACAAGGATCTTCTAGTTCTCTTTCTGTTGTTATTTTTTGTTTTTTTCTCTGTCAAGCTCTGCATCACCTTTTCATTGTGATTTGCTCATTTTGTACCTTCTGTCTTTATACTCTGCATGTCCTAGATCATGTGCGCTAATTCCTTTAAGATTTCTATACAAGCCTCACTTGGTCTACCTTGACTTCCTTTTTCTTTCTTTCTCTTGACACATAATTGTCCTATGTTGCCATGCATTTATGTTGCTGCTTTTGTTCTGTGCACTTTCATGAAGTGTCTTTTTCCCTATTAGCTTGTGGACCATTGCTGTTTAATCCCATGAAGGACTGGAGCTGTTCCATTTTGTATTCCCTTTTCCCACAAAACTAGCATTGTGAAGTAGGAAATAAGTTCCCTTTTATTTGTTGCTTATTTATAGTCTAGATAATGAAAGTTAATGAAATAATTAACCTATGAAACCTATATAAGCAAATGTTAGACTTTGTGCTGCTGTTTCTAAATGTCTCCTGGACTAGGAGAATGTCTTTGAATGTGTCTTTTGTCACATAATTACAGAAGCAGAGAAGGTTGCACAAGTGGCAAAAATTCGGTTTCAGCAAAAGGTGATGGAGAAAGAAACTGAAAAGCGCATTTCTGAAATTGAAGGTACATCAGAGAGAAAGAAGTTGTGACTGTCCTGAGCTGCCTTTCTGACTCTTTTGGTAGCGTTGTGAGGGGTGTGCCAGGAGAGGAGGGGTGGGGGAAGCATAGAATAATCCACTCTGGAGGAAGTGACTGCCCTGATATTTTAGATGCAATTTTAAAAATTGTTATGGTTTGTGATTATGGGTAACTAAACCTTTCATTTTCTTTCTTTAAATTGGGGCTTATTAGCAATCACTTTGTTTTCAGTAAGTATGGGAATGCCCTATAATCAGCTGTAAAGGCTATACAAGATAAAAGCACTGCCACCTGTTAGTTCCTTCTGTGAACCAAAAAAAAATTAGCTGCAAAAAACAGAAGGTCCAGTTTTCACAGAGGCTCTCAAACTCCTTAATTTTACCTAGAGATATGGTGATGGTCTTAGCTCACAAGTCTTAAAGACCAAACATTTAACCTCTATTTACTTATAGACTGCTACTTTCTGTCAATCTGCATGAAGTAGATTCTGAATCAAATTTAAAGGCAGTGGGGACAGTGCAGTGGGGATAGAGCAGAACTTTCTTGTCTGGACTTAGTTACTTTACTTGAAGCCTAGAGGGGTGGGGTGTAAGGCTTTGGAATATGTGGGCGTAGAGGAAAGAAGGAACAACTTTAGGTAAAAAATGAAATGGGTTCAGATGAATTGAGAATTATTTGACATTGGCAAAAGTAGTTCCCTTTAGAAGACACTGGGGACTGGGATTTAAAAACTGCTAGTGCCATTATAGCCTTTAAAGTAAAGTAAGGTGTGGAAACATCAGGGAGTGGAGAGAGGGACTCCTACTGAAAGTAGAGTCTGACCTCTTACCCAGCTGAGAAGTGTATTGGCATCTTCCCTTTGTTTTAAGCACCCTTACTCTGCTTTGCTTGCTAGATGCTGCGTTCCTGGCCCGAGAGAAAGCAAAAGCAGATGCTGAGTACTACGCTGCACACAAATATGCCACCTCAAACAAGGTGCCCTGCTCTCCATGTCACTTTCCCGGTGATACAGTTTGGGGTTTGCTTTTCCTTATGGGCCACTCTGATGTGATACAAGTGATTTTATCCAGTATCAAGGAAGGGTAGTTACCATCATGCCCTTTTGCTCAGCCAATCATTTAACAAGACATATTGCACACTCACTGGGTAGGGGACCTTGTATAGTTCCTTATAAAATGGGGGAACTAGAGCAAAGGGAAGCAGATAAAATCAGGCCAAATGCCATAAATCAGGAAAGTTAAAAGTCTTCTCTTGACCTGATGGGAGTGACAGGAAAAGAGTAGAGTTCATTTAAAATTCATTTCCAGATAAAGCCTAATTTTGGGTTAGATGCAGTATTTCTACTCAGACATTCAAAATACACTGTGGTATTGTGGGGTAAGATGTGTTTTCATTGTTGGAAGACAATCTCATGCATTGTGGGTTATTTTGTATCCCTGGCCCTTACCTACTAAATGTCAGAGTACTCAAAAATTTTAACAATCCAACACACACACACACACACACACACACACACACACACGTTTCCAAAATACCCCAAGCTGAATATTGCTTGCTAGTTCTATTTTTTAAATGTTCTGGTCATGAGGAAATTCATGTGTGGTAACTTGAGAGAGGAGATTACATAGTGTATGGGTGAACAGTTTTTGTGTAGGGACTGGGGTAAATTGACTACAAAGTAGAGGCTTTGTTAGTGAGAGTTATTTAATTAAGAGGCAGCTAGATTCCTGTGGTATTCTGAAAAGGGGTGAATATGACCAAGGTTCATAAGATATTTTAGAGTAGACTAGAATAGAGGAGGAGTTGAGGTAGAGGTTGCTAAGGTATGTGATACATCTTGAAGGATTATAGAGTTTAAGCTATAAACAGGGCTTAAGTAGAAAGTTGAAGGAATTCAGCTGAAAATTGAAAGTTAGAAAGGAACAACATAATCTGTATTCAGAAGAAATAAGACATGATAGGTCCACAGAATGAGAACTGTCACTATTTTGAAATGCAGTATAAATTTAGAAATGAACTTGACATAACTGCAATATACAGCTCTATAGAAACAAACAGAATTTGATGAAGATGAAGGCAAGAGGAGAAACTGTAATATTTTACAAAACTAGCCATCAAAATCTGTCATGGGAGAAGCTGGCCAGGCACAAATATCCAAGACCTTGCCATTGAGGTTAGCCTTCTGCCAGAAAGGGGAATTCCCCATTTTGGAAAATGTTACTTCAGTATTAACTCATATTAACAAAGCTTCTGTGGCCAGATTTGATGGCAGTATTTGACAGGATATGAAAATGGGATTGGGAATACATCCAGGGAGTGACAGCTGTAGGAGGACAGTGAAGGACAAGATGGGCTTTTGTCTGGAGGGCAGACAGGAACTCGAGATGAGGCTCAACCAATAATAGTAAAGGTTCTGAGTCTTTGGGGAACACTGGAAATTAGTTTTAATCAAAACTGTTCCAAAGAACATTGGATTTTAGTCAAACCCAGAGAGATTTTGGTTGGATGTATCTTGGCAGTATGACTTAAACAAAACACTATGGCAAGTAGAGAGATCTGGTGTGATTTACACCTTTTATTTTCCTACAGTCAGGTCGGTGGCCTGCTGGGAAATGCCCCTTGTCACCTAACCAGAGAGTCCACGTAGAACTCGCAAATCACTAGTTTACTACATTAGTAGGCTCAGAGAGAACTTGGTTGAAGTTTCGGGTGAGAGGAAACCTTTACTTTGAACCAAAACTCTGGGACCCTGCATTCCCCCTTCACAAATCACCTGTCCTTCACAAACAGTTTAAATATCCAACATCTGGGGAGGCAAGAGGCCAGACCAGGGAATTTCTTGGGATTTTTTTTTTTTTTTTAAAGATTATTTATACAAGAACCAGGGTACAGGCCAGATGCTCAGGAGAATGAGAGGATTTACCAGAGACAGAGTGGGGAACAGAACAAGCAGATTGACTGAAACACTGCTGAGAGGAACAGCGGGCGAGACAGGAGAGGTCTGCTGCACCATGTGGGTTTCTCCCCAGCCGGCCGGGATCGAAGCGGCACTGCAGAGGCTGCGGACAGCTTCACGGTGCGGCGCTCAACTGCCTGCACCACCAGGGAGGCCCATAGGATCTTTTCCAATTCTAGAATGTGGTCAAGAGAACAGAATCACAGAGAACTGACTATAAAGTTATGCACCCAAGTCCTTCCTTTGATGCTCTGTCACTCTCATCTCTTCACCTGTTCATTTCTCTCAAGAGCCAACAGAAGTTCCCGATTGATTACAGGTAGAATTTAGCCATATGAAATGAGAAAATATATAGGAAAGGACACTAAAGGTTCCAAGTCACCATGAGAATGTTACTAAAATTAGTTATTACTTGTTCCCCAAACTCTTCCCTCCACCCCCATCCTCTTTTTATTAAAAATGAACAACTTCTCCTGCATTAGGACAGGAACTTGTGAAGGAACTTCAAGTGTGCAACATAGCTATTAATGGGATAGCTGCAAATTAGAGCACAAGAGGGTCATTGGCAACAAATCAGAGTTGAGTAATGATACCCTTTGGAGAGCAGTTGGGAAAATGCATGTGGGAGAGATGATTGTTGCACCAGAGTGTCCTCATGCCTTACTCTTGTTTGCCCCACAGCACAAATTGACCCCGGAATATCTGGAGCTCAAAAGGTACCAGGCCATTGCTTCTAACAGTAAGATCTACTTTGGCAGCAACATCCCTAGCATGTTCGTGGACTCCTCTTGTGCTTTGAAATATTCAGACCTCAGGACTGGAAGAAAAAGCTCTCTCCCCTCTAAGGAGGCTGTTGAGCCCTCTGGGGAGAGCCCCATCCAAAACAAAGAAAGCACAGGTTGATGCAAGAGGTAGAAATGTTCTACCATATCAGTATGTGACCCAAGGGTTTAAATGGGAACAATGGTTATACAACTCTTCAGATTTACCGAGAACTTGCGCGCCGTCTGTTCTGCCTCTCCTGTGGTAGTCCTGGTTTATCAACTGATTGCAGGATAGAGCCAGCTGTCTGGCACCCAAATGGTCTTGTCAGCCACAGTTTTATCAATTATCCTGTATGTGTTCTTTTCTAAACTGGTATTTGTGAATGAGGGAAAGTCTGATGCTAAGATACTGCCTGCACTGGAATGTTAAACACTAAATACATAACAAGCTGTGTTTTTCTAAGCTGACGTATATTGAATAATGTTTACATTGGCCCCCGGGGGAATGTGTACTCAGCCATTCAAGAGACACCAGAAAGAAGGTGCCAGATATGGTAAATGTGAAGAAGACTGGCCACAGCTGGACCCAGGAGCTCTTTGGGATCTAGTACCAGCCTTCACTCATGTGATTAACATCTAGTCTGCTGAAGTTCCCCAGGAATTGATCTTCCACTTGAGCAACCATTTACTTGATATGATTTGCACCTTTTGTTTTCCTATGGTCAGGTCGGTGGCCTGCTGGGAAATGCCCCCTGCCACCTAACCAGAGATTCCTCATAGAACTCGCGAATCACTAGTTTACTACATTAGTAGGCTCAGAGAGAACTTGGTTGAAGTTTTGGGTGAGAGGAAACCTTTACTTTGAACCAAACCTCTGGGACCCTGCATTCCCCTTCGCTGGGTGATGACTGACTGTGTTACCGCCCCAGGCCAAGTGTGACTAAGGGGCCTGGTTTTTAGTCCACGGACAACTTCTTATATGTCACCTCTTAGCTCTGGCTGGCCAAGAGCAGGACAGAGCTTTATCCAGAAAGAGGAGCCGCATGCAGTTCCTAGCTGTTCACTGCACAGTATTGTGTCATAGTTGCAGGAAGTTTTTATTTTTAAAACTGGATTTGGGGTACATTCATTTGCCCCACCACCTCTGCCTAAAGGTGAAATCCTAGGGCTGTCATGGTTACTAGCACACAGATTTCTCCTTAATATTGTTCATCAGGCACCCACGTAGTATAGAACAAAGAATAACTTGGAAAGCATCCCTGGTCATTTTTTTGTTTGCTTTCTTGGCACTGAGATACTGAAATCAAAATTGGTTTTTTTTTTTTTCAACTTTCACCTTCCCTAGGAAATCAGAAATCCACTAGCTCCTGGCAGCCAGTGGATCGAATCTTCCATGTGAGGATGACAGAGATAGTCTGTGGCTGTGGGAGACCTCTTTTATCTGGACCCTTTTCCATTAAGATAAACTTCCCGAAATAGTGTGTGCCATAGTTAGACCTGAGTTTGTGCAGCTGGGTAAGACACCTTATGTATGCACTATGTGGAGGGGAGACAGAAGACATGGGACCACGTCCAGGAGCCTTCAGCTGACTGTCAGTCAGTGCTGTCAGTCTCAAAACAGCGTATGGGTTGTGCCAAACACTATTTGGGGAAAGCCCTGACTTGAATGGGTCTTTTCCCTGGGCCTTATACTATAGAAGCATTTGTAATACAGAGAGAATCATTTTTTGTTTTGGCTCATTTAATTGTACACATTTTCTTTATGAATGCATTTTGTGTTCTCTAGCCCTCCTTAAAAGAACTTTTTGAACTATCAAAACTCTTCACCTGTCATTTTGTTGCTGCAGATAAAAAATTATTATTGTGGGATGTCTGGATCATTGCCCTTTGTGCTTTTATTCCTAAAGATGTTTCCTGTTCATGCGAGCTAAAAGTGTTTGCCCCAATGTGCTGGGTGTGGGGTTTCTAACAAACCACAAGCCCTGGTGGCAGAGTTGAGGAGCAGGGGGATAAAGTACTTCCGCGTGGACTCCCCACGGAGAGTGCTGCCCTGTGCTCGCTCAGTGAGCTCCAAGCCTATCCCTCCTTCAGGGATGTCCCTTTTGGCAAATATACACTGTAATCTTGAGGTCTAAATTTATATGTGAAATGCTACCTTTTTTAAAAAGAAACTAAATAAAATTATTTTACTATCAGTGATGTGTTATTTTGTTTTTGTTTCTGTTCTGACCTCTTGTCTTAAGCTGCTCCTATGGCTGTCTTGCCCATTTCAATTAGGTGACTTCACTGGACATGCTTTTCTTACATGCTTTCTGGAATGTTGCTTTCCTGGCATAAGAATTTTAAAAGCAGGGTATCCACTCTGAGCATTCTGCCCCTCAGAAACTCCCTGAGAACCGAAATACACTGGGGAAGAGAGGAATTAAATATTCCTACGTGCCTACCTGCACAGATTACAACTGGCAGTGGTGTAGCATAGCTGACTTCACCAATTCAGGTGTTGACCCAAGAACCAAGCTTGGACCTGCCCTTCCCAGATTTCAGTGTTTACTGGGAACAGTTTCGCAGTGATGTTAGGACAGCAGGGAATTTTGTAATTGGGAGTTTGGGAGAAAGCAGCCCTTTTCTCAGGTTCCTATAGGATCCTTCCCTCTAGTATCCTACATCTGCTACTGCAAACCAGGGAAATTTAACAAGAGTGAGCTCCCACTTAATGTCTTTGTCAATAAATTCTTGAAAAATAGAATTTTAAGCTAAACAATGTATTGATACATAGGGAAAGCAGGCACTGAAAAATGGACTAGGATTTTTTTTTCTCAGCAACATTAGAATGTTATCCTATAGGCTGTTAATAGGTATTAAAATAAAGTGATTTAGAATTCTACCTCTTGCTGTCAGGAAGGAAGTTCATGAATTAGAAGCTATGACTTCTCATTGCTTTAGGACCCAGCCTCAGATGTGTGCACGTAGTTCTGTGTGCTCTGGCCCTCACCACTCTCTCCCACTCGGGTCGCTGTACCTTTTCTCTGTCCCTTTGCATATGTTGTTTCATCTGCCTGGCTCACTTTTCCTCCAACTTGCCTTTGCTAATTCTCAGTGTGTCTTCGGAGTGGTCACCTTGAACTGCTTGCTAAGGTCAGTTCCCCCCTTAGTAGTGACACCGTACTTATGTCACATCTGCTTAATGTCTGGTCTCACAAATGTTCAGCTCTCCAGGGGACAGGGCCTGTGACCATACTCTTCCCTGGGGTGGTCTGTCACTCATGCTAGCACATTACCTGGCCCGTAGGAGTTTGTCACGTGGAAGATGAATGTGAAGTGCAGGTTAGTAGTGGGAAGAAAGAGCATAGAAGTTAGGCAAGAGTGTCCACATCAGGACTTAATATGTAACAGTGGGAAGTTTCTTAATGTCTCTGAACCTGCTTTTCCTTTAGGACTGGGTTCAGCAAGATATGTTCATGCAGCTAGCATAGTGGTTTACATGTGGTAATTGCTCGGGTGCATTAATTCACCCTGTTGATAGGAATTGCTATGTTTCTGTCCCTGAGTAGACTAAGTTCCTATAATAAAGAGTCAGCACAATGTCCAACACATACAAGTGCTTCATAAGCACACTGAGTTACATCTTCGGCGCTAAGCTAAGCTAGCAGGATTTTATATCTCAACACAGCCATCCAGGAACATATTAAGCTGAGCCAGCTTCTCAGCTTGCTTCTGGTCTCCTTGTATAGTCATTCAAAATTAATTTTCTGTTAATTCATTGCTTATTTCAAGTGTCCGTTATCACATAGACTGTGGCTTAGCATGCATTTTTTCCCCTACTATTTTCCTTTGGAATTAGTGCATTTCCAAATTTTCCTATCCATTTTTCTACTTCCCATCTTTTGCAGATAAAGTCATGTTGAAGCCCTAATGCCCAAAGTATTTGGAGGTGGGACCTTTGGGAGGAATTAAGTTTGAGGGAAGAACACTCAAATGGAATTAGTGCCCTTACAGAAGAGATACAAAACAGAAGTTTCTCAGCCACATGAAGACACAGCAAGAAGGTAACCAACTGCGAACTAGAAAGAAGTTTCTCACTAGATACCCAATCTGCCAGCAACTGGCTCTTGGGCCTCCAGAACTGTGACAGGTTTGTGGTTTAAGCCACCCAGTTTATGGAATTTTGTTAGCAGCCTGAGCAGACGAGCACATCATCTATTACTGTTATTTATCTTCTAAAATCACTTTTCCTTTCTTACTATAAATATTTTTTTTGGTATCTCATATATGCCAGTTGCTGAGACAAAAAAGGGCATATAGCCTTGTCTGGGGGGTGGGACAGTACAGCAAATAAAGAGGCAAGTATAATAAATAGGGTGAACCAGATGCAAAGGGACACAAATAAGGGTCAGCCCAATCTGGCGGTTTCTAAGAGGCAGCGATAGATCTGAGCCAAGTTTTTAAGGATGGCCAGCTGGCAGCCAGCTGAAAAGCATGGTGGTGATGTTGGAAGGTGTTCCAGGCAGTGGGGGCACCAGATACTACTGTATTTTAAAATGCTGTTGTAAGGAAAATGTATCAGGCTTTTCTGCCCTCCCGCCATCAGGATAGATGATGGATCCTTGCGGTCCTGAATGCATGCCTTGATGGCCGGCACCTGGAGTAGGGTATGGCATATGTAGATGGGATTCACCTGGGCTAAGACAGGGCTTTTAAAGACGGCATCACAGGGACGCCAGCAGAAGCCAAGAACGAACAGAAGCCGAGAGAGAGAACGCCGGAGAGCCCAGATAGGGTGAAGACTTGCTGGGGGCTGGGAGGCCTGCCAGCCTCCTGGCTCCCCAGTACTGCTGCCTGCTGTGTACCTGATAAACTCCAATAAGAGCCTGCAAAAAAGCCACTGAGTTCTCCTACTCCTCCTTTACCTGGTATGCTGGATCAGAAAACCTGCACTGTGGTCCATTCCTGTCCTTACAGCTGTTCACTGGTCTTCTTGCCCCAACAGTGCTACATATGCAACTCCCATGTGACTGCACTACAGGAATACTCTTGCATGATGGAAGCTGTAGTTATTTTGAGCATGTAGGTACAGGAATTGATATCCTTAGAGCAACTCCCAAACAGTAGGAGCCAGCAGGGCAAATGATGAGAGAGGAGATGACCCCCCAAAACCTTTTCAGTGAAAACAAGTTAAGTAGAACTCAAGTATTTGTTGAATGCCTAATTTGTGCCAGGAAACCTAAAATGTGTAAAATAATGGGCCAACAGTGAACAAAACAATAGTGACTAAGACTTAACAGCCCTTGCCCTCTTAGAATCAACAGGCTCATGGGAAGTAGACCTTAAAGCAATTTCAAATGTGATAAGACTCCCTTCCTGGTCTTCTTGTTGAGCCCACAAGGCCTTTTTGTGCTAATCTGCCCTTTGGGCTCTTGTTATTGAGCCCACCTGCTCCACACGTGCCAACCTGCCCTTCTTGTTTCACTTAAATTTTTTTTTTTAATGTCTTTTTTTTTTTTTAAATATTTATTTATTTATTTATACAAGCACTGGGTACAGTCAGAAGCGTGGGAGGGTGAGAGAATTGACCAGAGCCAGAGAGGAGAGCAGAACAGGCAGACTGACGAAGTACACTGCTGAGGGGAGCAGCGGGCGGCAGGAGAGGTCTGCACGCCATGTGGGACCCTCGTCTGGTGGCCGGGGATTGAACCCGCGCTGCAGGGCTTCACAGCCCAGCGCTCAACCACTGCGCCACTGGGGAGGCCCGTTGTTTCACTTAAATTTTTGACATCACTTCCTAATGATGCTCTTCTGGCCTCTAGTTATTTCTCATTTCAATTTATCATGCACAATTGAATTAATCTTCCTAAAAGATGCCAGTATCAGCCGGCAAAGAGGTTAGACCAATAACAACCATCTCTAAAAGAGATCTCACACCTTACCTGAGCAACTCAGTTTTACTTTAATGGAATTATAATTCACCATTTTAGTGATCCAGTTAAAGTAACTTCCACATTTTCTGATTTCTTTGGAGAAGAAAACTGGTGATCGTAAAACAAGGTACAGTTTAGCAAAGTATAAAATAATCAAGAAAGCCACTGTCCTCTGGAGGCAAATATAATTATTATTTTCACTTTCTTTAAATTTAGAAAAGCCCTGAATTTTTCCCATTTTTTAGTTCTCATATTTCAAATAAATGTGTTAACATTTCTAATCACAGCTGAGAGTACATGTTTCCTCAGTAACATAAAGTAATACAATTAGTTGTTCAGATTGTCATTTTAATAAGTTGAAGTTTCTCTCAATAAGTAACCATGCACAAATAATTAAATTATATCTGAATTCAAATATATATATGTTTGCAAAAAAGGAGTGAGCAAAAAAGGAAGGAGAGATAAAGATGAAAAAATGTTAAAGATGAGGAGATAGCAATGAAAAGATAGCCCAATTTTAAAATGGGATATCAACAGACATTTCTTCAGAGAAGATATACAAGTGGCAAAACAATATGAAAGATATTCAGCATCATCAGTCATTAGAGAAATGCCAATCAAAACCACACAAGATTCCGCTTCATACTCACTTGATGACCATAGTAAAAGAGACAATAGCAAATGTTGGCAAGGGTGTGGAGAAAATGGAATCATCTTCTATTGCTAGTAGGAATATAAAGTGGTGTAGGAACCGTTACCATATGACAGAAATTCCACACAAACGAAGCTGTATATTTAAAATAGGTGAGTTATGTGGCGTGTTGATTATATCTCAATGAGACTGCTTTAAAAAATAAAGGCTAATAATAATGTGAAGCACCTTAGTTCAAGAGCCTTCCAGGAACAGAATAAAGATTAATATAGGCACAACATTATTAGTAAGAATGGGAGCACCAAAAGATGAGAATGGAGGTAGGTGTTAAAAGAGGGAAAGGTCTAGGCAGATCACAGCGGATGTTTGCAGTCTTGTTATATTATCATTGACTTTTTCCAGTGGTTAGAAATAAACCATTCAAATAGAACGCTCAGAATTTAAAATTGAAAACTATCACAATAGCACCCAAAAAATCTGAAATACTTAAGTATAAATCTAACAAAATATGTACAATATCTACAAGAGGAAAACAAAACTGGTCCATGTTCATGAATAGGAAGACTCAATATTCCTCACAACTTGTTACGTCTCCCCAATTTGATCTTTAGAGTCAATGCAATCCCAATCATAATCTCAAGTTACCATGTGGATTTTAATGAACTGACTCTAAGTTACTTGGAGAGGCAAGAGACCCAGAAAAGACAACAAAATAGTGAAAGAGAAGAACAAAGTTGGAGGACTGACATGACCTGACTTTAAAACTCACTACTCAGGGCCTCCCCGGGGGCGCAGCGGTTGAGCTCTGGGTTGCGAAGCTGCCCGCAGCCTCTGCAGCGCCGGTTCGATCCCTGGCTGCCAGCAAGGGTTCCACATGGCGCACAGACCTCTCCTGCCACCCGCTGCTCCCCTCAGCAGTGTACTTCGGTCCTTCTGCCTGCTCTGCTTTGGCTCTGTTGAGTTCGCTCACCCTCCCGCGCTTCTGACTGTACCCAGTGCTTGTATAAATAAATAAATAAATCTTTAAAAAAAAAAATTCACTACATAGCTATAACATCAAAACAAAGTGATACTGGCAAAAGTATAGACAAATAGATCAATGGGACATAATGGAGTTCCCAAAAATAAACCTACATAAACATAAGTTATCTTTGACAAAGGAGTAATGACAGTACAATGAAAAAACTAGTCCTTGCAACAAATGGTGGCGAAACAACTGGACATCCATGTGCAAGAAAAAAAAATCTAGCTGCAGACTTTACACTCTTCACAAATATTAACTCAAAATGGATCACAGAATTAAATGTTCAACACCAAAGGCATGACATATAGAAGAAGGAATTGAAAATTGCACTATATTAAATATAAAATACTTCAGTTCTACAAAAGACAATGGAAAAGAATGAGAAGACAGCCTCAGACTGGGAGAAAAATCTTTGCAAATGACAAGTCTCCTATAGGATTATTGCTAAAATATACAAAGAATTCTTAAAATTCAAGAATAAGAAACAACCCAAATACAAAATAGACCAAAGACTTTGACACCTTAACAAAGAAGATGGCAACAGATGGCAAATAAGCATATGAAAGATGGTAAATAACAGATGGCAAATAAGCATATGAAAGATGTTTCATATATGTCATCAAGGCAATGCATTTTAAAACAGCAATGAAATACCTCTATTCACCTGTTATCGAATGGTCAAAATCCAGAACAATGACAACATGAAATGCTGGCAAGGTTGTGGCGCCACAGGAACTCTCCTTCACTGCTGATGTATATGCAAAATGGTACAACCACTTTGGAAGATAGTTTTACTTATAAAACTTAGTGTACTCTTACATGATCCAGCAGTTACACTTCTTGATATTCATTCAAATGAGTTAAAAACTTAACATCTACCAAAAACTTACATGTTTATGGCAGCTTCATTCATCGTTGGCAAAGCTTGGAAGCAATCAAGGTGTCCTTCAATATATGAATGGAAAAATAAACTGATATATCCAGACAACAAAATATTACTGCTAAAAAGAAAAATCAACTATCAAGTCATGAAGAGACATGGAAGAACCTTAAGTGCACATTACTAAGTGAAAGAAACCAATCCAAAAAGACTACACATTGGATGATTCTAATCCTATGACATTCTAGAAAAGGCAAAACTGTGGCAGCAGTGAAAAGATCAGTGGTTTTCAGGACTGGGGAGAGAGAGGGATGACTAGGCAGAGCACAGGGGATTTTTAGGAAGTGAAAAAGCTCTGCTTGCAACTATACAGACACGTGTGTCATTATACTTTTGTCAAACCCGTAAACAATACACCACCACATGTGAATCCTCATGTAAACTATGGACTTTGGATGATTATGGTTTGTCAATGTAGTTTCATCATTTGTATCAAATGTACCACTCCAATGGGGGATGGTGGTTATAAGGGAGACTGTGCTTGTGTGAGGCAGGGTGTATGTGGGAAAACTGCCTTTTGATTTTCCTGTGAACCTAAAACTGTTCTCAAAGCGTGACATCATCATCATAAAAAAAAGTCTATTAAAAAAACAAAACCAAGAAAACCTTTCCATATTTTTTAGCAGGAGAATATGATTAAGTATAAAAATCACTGTTCATTGCCAACATGTTTTCCAGTCCACTCTCGAAACATGATGTACCAACCTTTCAAATAGTACTAGTTAATAATTTACCTCTCTGTGAAATTCTGGCAAATGAATATTTATTTGCACAGAACTCAACAAAAGCACCACAGAAGGCGCTGGAAGGAATAAAGAAAGGTATATGCGGTCCTTAAGCTGATTCCTTCTACCTTCACGCACAAATCCATCGTGGGCTCTGGCTGCATCCAGGCCCGCTAGCCCGGAGGCTGATGGACACAGGAATGTAGGTTAATGAACAGTTTTGTTTAGTGGAAGTAAACAGCAGTGGAGAATACAGAGGGATGGTTCTGAAATGAGTGAAAAACAATAAAACCATTTAATGAAGAATTTTAGTGCTTAATAGAATTTTAATGTTTGTTGTAGGAGGTAATAGTAAACCACAGTAGACTTTCTGAAGATTTTTTTTTGAAGATTTATTTAAATCTGGGGTACAGGTCAGAGGTGGGGAGTGGGGTGAGAAGATTCACCAGGGAGCAGAACAGGCAGATTGACTAAAACACACTGCTGAGGGGAACAGTGGGCGAGACAGGAGAGTTCTGCTGCACCATGTGGGTTGCTCCCTGGCCAACTGGGGATCGAACTCGTGTTGCAGAGGCTGCGGATAGCTTCACAGTGCTGTGCTTAACCCCTTGCACCACCAGGGAGGCCCCTTTTTGAAGATTTTTTAAAAGATTTATTATATTAACAAATTCTCCATAAAATAATGAATAGACTGAGATATTATTGAAGATACTAAGCTTTATCTCAAAAATAATGAAAACATCAATTATTTTAAATGCAAATACAAATGAGTTAACGTTTTTCAAATGCCAGTTTAGTAAATGTTTTTAAAGTTGCAAATATACATACAATATATCATTTTAACCATTTTACAATGTACATTCAGTTCAGCGGCATTAGGGGCGGTCACAATTTTGTGTATTTAGCACCATTATTGATTTCAGAATGTTTTCCACTCTATACTCATTAAACATTAGCTCCCTGTTCCCCCATCCCCTGTAGCCTCTAATCTACTTTCCATTTTGTTATCCTGACTCTGGGCACCTCATTTATGTGGAATGAACATTTGTACCTTTGTACAACATTTGGAGATTATTTCACTTTGCGTTATGTCTCGTTCGTGTTGCAGCAAAAGTTAGGATTTCCGCTGTCAAGGAGGCATCACCTACTGCATGCATAGATTACATTTCATTTATTCCTTCATAGGCCGATGGATTGTATCAGATAAATGTAGACATTTATCTGATGAGAGACATGATACAAATGCGTTCTAGGAGGGCTACTGCTTTTCCGAATGAGGCCTCAGGGTACACGATATTGTTTTCAAATATATGCATTTAATTATTTGAACAATTTTGGAAAGTTATAAAGAATAAAAACACAGCTGTATAAAGAACGAATTATCCTTACTAAAAGGGAAAAGTCCACGAATGGGAAATGCTTAGTAAATCAAAGTTTGCTGGTTTTGTGGTCAGTGTTAGGGAAGACACAAATCTTATTAATCTCAAGTTTCAGCAAAGTAAATAAAGCCGAAACCAATCCCAGTTTTTTTTTTCCAAGTAGAGGAACTCAGACCAGTCTTTGGCTGCCAGGTCACACCCCCTGCAAAAGATTTTGCTAGAAAATAAGCAGCCTGGACAGTTTGCGGACATCCAGGAGCTGAGAGGGAGCTGCCGGAAGTCACCAGTCCTGCTGTTATCATTTGTGTCACTTGCTTGTTTTACCTTTTTATATAGAAGAAAAATCACAGTGGGGGTATTTGTTGCAACTAAACCTCAAGGATGTCTCTACATCTTTCTCCAAGGTAAGGGGTCTCACTCTGGGGTGGTCCCCCCAGAGAAGGGGGTCATTTTCAGGCTCTGCATCTTGGGCCCTTGCATGTTGGTGTCTTACCCAGATTCCTCACCCAACTCTGAGGCACTTTTGGGCATTCAGTTCTGTGTTAGACAGAGCCTCTTTTTTTCTGGACCAGTTTCCATCAGAGCAGAGAATAAGACACATTGACCTGACTGGAGATATAGGTTGAATTCTATGTATGAGAAAATTCTGGGGTCAGAACATATTTTAATTGAAAGACTTCCAGTCCCCTCAGCCTGTAACCAAAAGGTTTGTACCAAAAGGCAAGCCGAGAAAATGTAATGAATACTCTTTTTTATTATTATTATTACTGGTTCATACTAAATGCTCTACAGGGAACTATGTGACCCTTCTTCTAAAGAGATTCCTGCTCTTCCCTCCCCAACATCTTGCTCTGACACAGCCAGCTCTGCTACCTTGACTTTCACACTCTGGGAAAAGAAGCTTTCACCATGAGTTTATCATGTCTTTGAATAGATGAATAAGGAAAATGTGGTGTGAAACACATACACACACACATACACTCACTCACACACAGAGAGGAATATTATTTGCCCTTAAAAAAAGGAAGGAAATCCTGTCACTTACAAAAGCATGGATGAAATTGAAGGGCATTATGCTAAGCGATTCAAGCCAGACCCAGCAAGAAAATGCATGATCTCACCTGCCAGTGGCCTCTGAGATAATCTGACACAGAAGTAGAGAGCAGAATGGTGGTTGCCAGGGGCTGGGAGGAGGAGGAATTGGGGTGATGTGGTCAGTTCTGCTGTGAAGAGGAATGTCATTTTGCAGGAGCAGGAAGGGAATAGAATCTAGCAGAGAGGTTGGGGAATAGGACATTTTGTAGGAGCATGGAGAGTCATTTACATTTAAGAAGCCTACAGCCATGAGTACAGCTGCAGGTAAGTGAGCAGGTACTACAGCTGACGCTTATGGAAAGTCTCCTCCTATTATCTCTGTGAAATGAGGAGCAGCATCATTAGCTGAGGTGAAGCTGGGACAGGAGGACCTGGCAGTTTGTACCCCAAAATACAGACACACTCATTCAGAGGAGCAAAAGAAGTACAGATCATCTTCTGGGACAGAGAAAGGAGGTAATAATGGCAAAATTCTCTACCATCTAAGTGGAAATTGAGAAAAAAGGAAAGGCAGAAAAACTAGGTAGCAAGTTTTGCTTGTTGAAAGATGGAAGATCATTATAAACTGGACTTTTTAAAAATGTATTTTTAAATGTAATTTTGTTTTCAGTAATTTGCTTAGCACTTGAACATGTTTCCATACTATTATATATCCTCCTATAATTAATTTTAAATGACTGCTTTGAATTCAATTGCTTGGATGTAAAATAAGTTTGCAAACCAATTCCCCATTATTGGCTGTTTTTACACTATTATTCCTCTTGAAACAATGCTATCTTTTTTTTTATAACTGCTTAGTGAGCTGTCCTCCAAGCCCTCACACTCACTGCTTCCTTCTAATCTTTAATTTTACCTCCTTAGAGACCCCTGATGTCTCTATTTTATTAACTTCTCCTGTTATCATCCAACATAGTACACTCTATCAATGTCATAGAATTGTGCTCTATTTGGGTTGCAAACGTTGTTTGCTTGTTTACTGTCTGTGACTTTCACTAGACTGAGCTCCCTGAGGCCTCCAGGATTGTGCAGGGCCAGTACAATTTAGGTGCTTGGTAAATATTTGCTCAAAGGTTGCATGTTATCTATCAATGAAGGGAAAAAGCAATCCATGACAATAATTCATGACTCCATTTAAGTTCCTAAATGGAATTGATGGAGCAAAGGCTAAACCACATGTAAATTATTACTTAATTTCTACCCAAGCCTTCAGCGGAGAGATTTCACAAGCACACTCACAGCAACTTGCATCTCTCTCCAGTTGGCCAACAGCATGGTCCTGTCTATACTCTATCTTGGATCCAAACCCACTGTGGTCTTATATGGATATGATGCAGTGAAGGAAGCTCTGATAGATCGGGGTGAAGAATTCCTTGACAGATCTTATGTTCCCATTGCTGAGGAGACCCTAAAAGGAAATGGTAAGTTCAGAAAAAAAATACATTTAATTTTCTTTGGCAACTAATTAGGTGCTATGACACCACAGCGCCATTCTGTGCTAACTATGCACAATTAGCACAACTCCGGGGCTTAAAGACATTGTTCAATGACAACCACAAGTTCAGGGGGCACCAGATCATCCACATTTCTGAGTAAATGATGAAAAATTTAGGGGTTCCTGTCACCCCCCCCACCCCTTGAGTTCAATAATTTGCTAGAATTACAGAACTCAGAAAGGTGCTATACTTACAATTACAGTTTTATTCTATTAAGAATGCAAATGAAGAGACTTGTAGGATGATGTCTCAAAGGGTCCCAGCTTTAGAGCTTCTGCAGCCTCTCCCTAGGAATCAGAATGTGCCATTTCCTCTTGATCGATTGAAGTATTTGCCAACCAGAAAGCTCACCTGGGCTTTTTGTTGCCTTGAGTTGTTCGAGGAGTTTCTAGGTGAGCATAAATGAGTCATTGGCCACATGGTGGAAACTCAGTCTCTTGCCCCCTCCCCTCTCTGGAAATCAGTAGATTGGGGCAATATCACTTGACTGAAAGCTCCAAACTTCTAAATATACAATTGGTTTTTCTGGCAAGGCCACCTTGAGACCATCTAGGGAGCCATCATGAGTCACCACCTTATCCTAAACTTAGGAGTGACCCCAGAAGTCCACCATGAATAGCAAAGAGACTTTCAACACTTGGGAAATTTCAATGGCTTAGAAGCGCCCTCTGGCATGCAAGGACAAAGACCGGACAAACCCTTCTGTGATGTAACATGCTCTGGTACCTCCATGGAGATGAACATCAAGAACTGACCAGTTCCTTGTAAATCTGCAAACATGAGCGGCATAGAGAACAGTCTGGGAACCTTGTGAAATAAAAATTACTGCCCAGGGGCCTTGAGGTTTAGATGACTGGAGAAGCCATGCCTGGGGTGTCATTTCACACGCTGCAAAGGCTGCAGTAGCACAGTGACAGCAAGAGAAGGGTGGTGAGGTATAGACATTACTTCTAGGGGTGCTGGGGGAGGTGTGTGGGTTCAAAGTGCACTGCAGTGGTCCTCCTCACGTTCTTGGTCCTCAGTTGTCAAGAGGCTCACAAATCACTCAAAACAAACATGTGCTGCCTCTTTCTTTATAGTATCAAGTACTACACAGTAAAAAGACCCAGGAGAACCTGAAAGATCCCACAAACTTAAAGTTATCAAATTGCAAGTCCCAATGAAACAGAAACTTAATTCTTCTCAAAGCTTATTTATTAATCATTAATACAATGCAATGGATAAATGACAAGAGAGAAGTGATTTTTGGTCTCTCTCACACAAGATCAGGACGCATCTGTTCACCTGAAGAAACCACAAAACTTTTCCTCTACTGCTTCCCTTTTTCCTAAATAAGTTGATCATTACTGGTTTTGTGTGAATTTAAAAATTAAACTTCTTTGTAATGCGTTTCCCATCCTGGGTGATCTGTTTCTCTTTGCTTGTCCCAAGAACCATTCCCTTAGCTCCCCTGCTTGCCCCTGGTTCCTGGTGTCATTCATGCCACTGGTTTAATATCCCCTACTCCTGTGACAGCTGGATCTGGCTGGGATCAGCCAAAGCAGGGCAGGGCAGGGCAGGGCATGAGGTCAGTGTGTGAAAGGAGAGAAGCCACAGGTCCATCCTTTCTGCCTCAATGGCTTCCCTCCTATGAGTTGAGGTGTCCTGTGGCTCTAGCTCCTTCAGGACTGCATGGGGTGTCTGGCTCTGCCTTGTAGGTGGCCCCTGAGTTCCAGAGCCAGCAGCTCCTCCCTGTGCCTCCTCCTTGTTGTCAGCAGCCGCTGAGGCAGGGGATGGCTGCGGGCGGTCTAGTAGTCCCTGGTCTGCCTCTCAGCATTTCCATCACCTAAAACCCAATTCCCTGGGTTAAATTTCCTCTGTTTTAAATATTTAGAGAGGTTTCTGTTTTCCTGGTTGGACTCTAACTGATAAACCCACTGTCCACAGGATCATCCCCAGTGCCCGCCCCCCGCATACGCCTTTCAGTTACTGTCCTGGATCCCCCACCTTGTAACAGCCACGCTTGTCTAAAGAGACATTCACAGTGACTAATTTTTCCTTAGAAAACTATCTTGAGAAATAATCCATGATATGGGGACAATTTTAAGTCAGAATGATCCCAGAAGTAATAGTTTTAGAATCTGGCATATAAAGATCAGTGAAAATTTATTCAATATGTGAAAGAATAAATGAACAGCAAAAACAACAACAACAACAACAACATAGTAACAATCAAATGTCCAATGTAAGGATTAAAAAAATTACCAAATTTATGAATATTCCTTTTGATTTAAAGTTGATATTAAAACATCATTCAAAATTTGAAAAGATGAAAATATTCCAAGGATCCACTAATAATTACTAATAAGTATTAGCTGTTCTAATAATTGGATTATAGTTGAATTGAGTGGTTATTATAACAGTTAATGTTTGTTATTTCTTATGAGCCATGAACTGTACTAAGAGTTTCACATATTTTTACAATATTTAACTGACACAACAGTTTCAAGAGGAAGATATATAGGAAGATATATTTTATTTCCATTCTTTAAAAATTTTTTTAAAGATTTATTTATGCATACAAGAGTTGGGGTACAGGCCAGAGGTGTAGGGGGTGAGAGGATTCACCAGAGACAGAGCCGGGAACAGAACAGGCAGACTGATGAAGTGCACTGCTGAGGGGAGCAGCGGGCGTGGCAGGAGAGGTCTGCTGCGCCATGTGGATAGCTCCCTGGCCAGGGATTGAACACATGTCGAAGTGACTGGTGATAGCTTGATAAGAGATTTTGAGATGACTCTTAGAGGGTAGCTAGAAACCCAGCAAAGAAAATAGGGTGGGGGCAGACTTGTGAGCAAAAGGGAGAGAATGAGCAAAATGAGGGCGCAAAACAATGTCGGGGGATTTAATGAACAGCTGTGATTGGCCCTTAAGCTCCAAAGTTGGAGTGGGGGAGAGGATGGTGAGGAGGCTGAGAGTTTAAAAGGCATCAGGATGAGACCTTGGGAATGCCCTGAATGCTTTTTAGCGTTAGCATGACTGTCCCTGTATTTGATTTTGAGTAGTCTGGAAATGCTGGATTTAGAGGAGGGAGAGGGGAAAGTGGTTTGAAGATAACTGTGACTTAGAGTTCCTTTGCTCCTCCGCATTCAGTTCAGGTTGACACTGGCTGTAGTAAATTTGGAGGAAAATAGAGACATAAACCTCATATTGATCTGCTTTGAAATTGCTTATCCTCTAATAGAGAAAATCACATAAAGAAGTAAATCACAAGTTAGAGAGAGATGAAGTGTGAAAACGGTCAGGAAAAGGGTTTGTGACATTGCACACCATTTTTGACCAATTTTACCAAAAGCAGGGGGTCCTTCCCCTATGGTGGTTGGTTTTGTTTTTTTTTTTTTCCCCTCCACTACACAATAGTACACGATAAAATATGGAGCTTATTAAGGAGTGAGGGGGTGTGGTCATAGACTCTGATAAGCCACTGCCTTCTTCTTAACTCGTAACTATTAACTCTCTCATTGGTTTTTCTGGCAGGAGAAACACAACCCAAAGTTCATGAAGAAATTGACCATGTGATTGGACATCACCAAATCTCCTGAATGAAGGACAAGATGAGGCTGCCTTATACAGAGGCCGTGTGTTGAATGAGATACAAAGGTATGTCAACGTTCTTGTTTTTTGTTTTTTGTTTTTTTTACCCCATGCTGTGACCAGGAACATGAAATTCAGACAATATGTCATCCCCAAAGTGAGCTGGTTCTGGCAAAGCTGGTGGGGATAAGTGGGGTGCATGGTAATTTGCTGGGGCCTGTGGGAGCCTTCTCAGTTTTATGGCAAGAACAGAGACAGTTGAGAGTCAGGAGAAGAACACAAGTTCGGAGTCCCATGGCCTGGGTTTGAACTCTGTCACTGCCTGCAGTGCACCTCCTGGCCATTCTTTCACCTCTGTGGCCCCTCTCTGCCTTTCTGGAATAGGGGAGGCTGACTGGGGTTTCCAAGGCCCTTTTCCACTCTCACGTAAAATGCATTAAGGGAACAGTGATTTCTGTTAATGAGAATTTCATGGGAACCAAAATCTGAGTTTTCATGATGGATTAAAAAAGAAATGGAAAATTTGTCTGCAGCACTGAGGTACTTGAGCCAGTGTCATCCTCTTTATCTTGGGTTATTCTCTCCTCCCAGGACTCACATTTGGGACATTGCTGCCCCTGACAGTTACAACTGTAGAGCAGTTAGCATTGACCAAGAGTGTTTACATGCACACTGGGGTTGAAGCCAGTCTTCTCTGGTGATTAAGGGATTAGTTTTTACATTTAAACAGTCCCAGAGCACAGAAGAGGGACAAAAGGTGCCAAGCATGGCCAATAAAGAAACTACAAAACAGAAGCAGCCCCCACCCTCACTTACAGATGTCAGTGCAAAAGTCTACTAACACATAGGTCCAGCCTCACATTCCAAATACTACACCACCAACATGGAAGAAAATCAGGATCCCAGGGCTGGTCTAATACCAGCAAATGTAGTTTAATAAAGTTTGCCACATAAATAGAAATTAGGGGGAAAATCATACAATCATTTCATCCATATATAAAATGCTTTTGATACTATTCCATGTGAATACTTAATTTTAAAACCCTTAATAGAACAGGAATAGATGAGACCTCTTTAGCCAGAAGAAGCCTACTTCCCCAATCATGTCTACTGATGAAAGATCTAGAGTATTCAACTTATTTTCAGATAAAATTGCAAACATTAACTGCCTGGAAAATGTTTTTAATTAAATTTATTGACTTCTTTATTTTATTTTTTTAATTTTATTTTTTATATTCCCCATACAATTGCAACCCCCTTATTTTGAGTTCTTTAGCTCCTCCATTAATTCTTGACATTCTCATGAATGTCAAGACCAAGCAAAGACTACCCACAATTATCAGCTAGAATTAGAAAAAGGTAACAAGAGAGGGAATGCTAACAAGGAGTCCAATTTATATGTCATCATTGTACCTGGAAAACACAAGAAAATTAACTGAAACACCATTGCAAAAATAGAATTATGCAGTGATAGGAAATAATTTTTCATTTAAAAAAAATTGCCTCCTTATGTAATAAAACTAAAGCTATATGTAATAAAACTAAAACTGTATAAAAATTAAACTATTTTTAATGTAATAAAGCAAAGTTTTCATTAATAAAACAGAGGTAAAATATTTAGGAATAAACTTAACAAGAAATTGCAAGATCTATGGAAAGAAAACTTTATTTATTTATTTATTTTATACCACCATAACTGTGAAGGTGGCTTTGCTTCTAATACTGGAACAGAGAGAAAAGTTATTATAAGGTACCAATAATAATTAACAGATGCCCTATCTCACATTTATCATTTGTGATGCCATAGAGACATTGTAATAGAATTTATGAAATTTCAAGCCTCCTGTGATTTATCATTTTCATTTTATGAAAACTGTATTCAACTTATTTTCAGATAAAATTGCAAACATTAACTGCCTAGAAAATGTTTTTACTTAAATTTATTGACTTCTTTATTTTATTTTTTAATTTTATTTTTATATTCCCCATACAATTGCAACCCCCTTATTTTGAGTTCTTTAGCTCCTCCATTAATTCTTTGATCTCCTGCATTTCTTTTACTTCCCTCTTTAGGGACTCAATTTCATTCTTATGATCGTTGATTATTTTTCCCTTATCATTGTTTTCCTTTATGACTTCTGTCAGTTTTTTAATCACAGCAATTTTAAATTCTCTTTCTGAAAGGCTCAGAAGTTCTTCCAAGTTACTGTTGTTGCAATCTGGTTGGTGGTTTTCTTTTTGTGGTGTGCCTTTTTCCTGAGGAGTTGCTCGGTTGCATGTAGTTTTTCTACTCCCTACTGCCTGTTTTCTAATTTGCCATATGCCTTGGGACACTGTGTTGCTGGTACTGGCCGGCATCTTTTTGGTGTGCTCTTTGTGGGGTTTGGGAACTGGCGGTCTAAATGAGTCAAATACTGTTATGCCAGAAGTCTAGTGAGGCAGTGGTACTTTGAGTATGTTAATTGTCGCTGTCACAGAATATTTCCTCCTTCTGTGTTTAATTAGAAAGGTGTGTCTTGAAGTCCCACAAACTTCCCTGGAGGTGGGGCAGATGGATTACACTCTGGGTTCCAAATCACTAGATTCCTCTCTGGTTTCTAACTTCCTGCCAGGCGGGACCAGGCTTGTGGGGGCCTTCAGCTCACCTCTGACTGCACAGGGAACCTTTTCCTTCTGGTTCCACAGGGAGGCTTCTGCCAGTTTCAAGCAGTCTTTATTGAAGAAAGGTCACTATTCTAAAGTGGCGATGTGGGATGCACTCCCCTGCACGCCCGGTCTGCCCCGGCGGTGGGTGCCCACTCCCCTCTGGGCTCGGACTGCTGGCCAGAAGTGGCCTGGCGTGGGCGAACTTCCCAGCTCACCTCTGGCTCCTCCGGGGGCCTTCTGCTGGTTTCAAGCAGTCTTTACTGAAGAAAGGTCCCTGTTCTAAAATGGCAATGTGGGACGCACTTCCCTGCACCCCACCCGGTCTCCAACCCTCTTATTTTGAACCCTATCCCTCCTTTCCCTGCCCCCCACCCCCCATAGAGTGTCTCTGGTTCATAGTTGTTTGTTGATTTTGATATTTTCTTTCTTATAGTTATTCTTTTTCCTGGTCCCTTATTTAAGTTTTCTAGATTCCTGCTATGAGTGAGACCATCTGGTATTTTGGAAAGAAAATTTTTAAATGTTGATAAGAGACATAAAATTTTTGAATAAATAAAACATTTATTTTGTGTTTAAATCAGAAGATGGCAGTTATCCCAAAATTAATCCATACATTTATAGGATCTCAATAAAAATATCAACTATAATTTTGGGGAAATAAATAGATTTTTTAATTTTGAAATGGAAAATTAAAGATAAAAAATAGTCAGGGACAGATCCTACCAAATATTGCAAGATAATATAAAGTCATAATCATTAGAGTATAATTCAGATTCTTGAGTAGATATATCTACTGGAAAAAAGTCTAGAAATAAACTTAATTATATATATAAACCTAGTACATGATAGATAAAGGTGCCTTTATCATTTTGACCTAGAGGAAAAATAGAAATTATTCAATAGAGGGTGAAAAACTCTGAGAAATGTTAGGGGGAAAAAAAGAATAGTAAAAGAACTACATAAAAATAAAAAATGAATTAAAAGGTAGGCTTTATGACCAGATAGAACTTGGCTCAAATTAATTTTTAAATTTTTTTCTAACTCTTACACCTTACACCTATTATAAAAATTTACTAGGGATTAAAGCAATGATTTTTTTAAAAGGATTTAAGAATGACAAAAGGCTTTCTAACATTGACCAGAGAAGAGTAAGTTGGTCATACATTTGAAAATGAATGAATTTAGTTACATGCAAAAAAGAAAAATCTGCCTTGGAAAAGAAAGAGTAAAAAAATAAATGGCAAACTGAAAGTTTTGTGTAGTTCATAAGGTGAAATGACTAATTACTGAAAAGTAAAATGAGCTATAGTTATTATGAACAAATTCCCAAACAATAGATTCAGCACAAAGAAAACAACATAAAATGAGTCAAAGTAATTACAGATGGCGTTTAATGTGTAAAATATACTGACGCAATAAAGTATATTAAAAAAATTATAAAGAAACATGTTTTTACTTGTCATACCTGGTAGCATATTTATGGCTAGTGGTATAATGTGGCCTGACCTCTAGAGAAGACAGTGTAGCAGTATCTATCAAAATTTTAAAATATGCCATTTGAAGCACTATTCCACTACTGTGAATTTATGCTTTCTGTATATTTTCCCCAAAATAAGAATATTCATTGCAGCAATATGTGTGATGTTTGTGATATGTTGAAGACTGGAAAATCCCTGAATGTTCCTTTAAAAAGAAACATGTTTTTTCACATCCTACCAGGTGTGACAAATAAAAACATGTTTCTTTAAATTTTCTTTATTTCTATAAAGTGAAATACTTAGCAAGGTTATTTGAAAATAGCAAGAGGGCCGGTATGTATGTGTGTAGCTTTCCCCCTGCAAGTCTATAAGCGATTGCCCAGAAGAGTATCATAAGCTGGGGGTGGAGGCCACATCCAGGAACCCAGGTGCTTGAGTTCTGGAAAAGGAGAAAAACTTCTTTTTAAAAACTTATTTTCGGGCCTTGGCGCAGCGGTTGAGCGCTGGGTTGCGAAGCTTCTTTCGATCCCCGGCTGCTCCCCGGCCACCGGAGGAGGGTCCCACATGGCGCGCAGACCTCTCCTGCCGCCCGCTGCTCCCCTCAGCAGTGTACTTCGGTCCTTCTGCCTGCTCTGCTCCCCGCTCTGGCTCTGGTGATTCTCTCGCCCTCCCGCGCTTCTGACTGTACCCAGTGCATGTATAAACAAAAAACAAACAAAGAAACCAGCAAACAAATAAATAAAGCATGCCTCTATAAAAAAAAAAAAAAAAAAATAAAAAATAAAATAAAAACTTATTTTCATTTTATACTTTTGTACTTTTTTTGGTATTTTACATTTGCCATGTGCACCTATCGTCTACCTCACTAATTTTTAGATAGTGTTTAAGGAAATACAAGATTAAGGAAAAATGAAAAAAGGGAAGATTTCATGTAAAAAGGTGGGCTTTCTGACCAGATAGAAAGTGGCTCAAATTCTAATTATGCCACTCGCTAAAACTATACCCCCAAGTAACCTCGATTTCTTCATTTATACAATATGAACCAAAAGAGAGCCTACTGGATGTGCTTAAAGAGAGAATTAAATAATATTTTGACCAATTAAGTAGTGTCAGGTAAATACAAATCATCCCATATATTGATAAAGGGTAGTGATCTTTATCCTGTCATTTAAGCCCCATGAAAATCTTTTTATGAGAAAGGAAGGAAACTTGTTTTTGTTACCATGCCCCATTTTACAAGTGAGAGAAGTTGGGTTTGATTCAACAGATTCAAGGCTTAATATCTCATTTTCTTCCATTGTAGCTGAATTCAGAAATAAAAATAATTGTGAAAAAGTAAGCTCTTCCAATTTGAGGCAATTCCAGTAAATTTCATGTCTAGACGATATGGGCCTCAAAACCCAGTTTACCAGCAATTAACCATAGCACTCTGTTTCCCCAAAGAATCATCCTATTACTTGATGAAAGACACTGTACATTGGTATCTATAAAATGGCCACAACTTAAAACAATAACGCATCAGGCAAATTTAAGAGTGCTCAGGTCTTCTCAACCCATTATTAAGAGTGGTGGACTCGTCTATGTATCAGGGACAAGCATGATGGAATTTCACTCCACTCTCCATTTCTTGATTCCAGGGCACTACTGTATTTCCAGTACTGTCTTCGGTCTTGTTCAATTACAAGAAATTTCCTAACCCAGAGAAATTTAACCCAGGCCGCTTTTTGGATAAAAATGACAGCATCAGGAAATTGGACTACTTCTTGCCTTTTTCCCTTGGTAAATACAAATAATCCACCCAAATCATGCATATATACATTTTGGACAGTTTTTAGCTTCACTGAACTGTGGCATAACTGATCCACTGATGCACAAACTGTTGTTTGTACCTCCAGATCTGGATGGAGCCATTTAAGTCTGCACACCACTAGAATGAGGTAAGTCTCCCAGGGAAACTTTTGCTGTTTGGTGATTGGGAATAATGCCATTTTTTAAAAGATTTATTTATGTATGCATACAAGAACTGGGGTACAGGCCAGAGGTGCTGGGTGAGAGGATTCACCAGAGACAGAGTGGGGCACAGAACAGGCAGATTGACTGAAATACACTGCTGAGGGCGAGGCAGGAGAGGTCTGCTGCACCATGTGGGCAGCTCAAACTCATGCTGCAGGGGCTGCGGATAGCTCCACAGTGCTGTGCCCAACCCCCTGTGCCACTAGGGAGGCCAGAATAATGCCAATGTTTAAAGTAAACAAAGTAAGTAAATGCAATCTGAATGTCACACATTGCCAGGTGATAAAGGGACCTGTTTTGGTACACACTTGTCTTTTTATCTCCCCTTTGTAATATGTATTAACTTTTCCAAAACAAAATGTACGTATTTTTTCTTCTTTTGAAATGATTAACTATTATTTTATTTTTTTTTGTTTTTTTATTTTTATTATTATTTTTTAACTTTATTTTTATATTCCCCATACAATAGCAACCCCCTTATTTTGACCCCAATTCCTCCTTTCCCCCCCCCCCCAATAGTGTGTCTCTGGTTCATAGTTGTTTGTTGATTTTGATATTTTCTTTCTTACAGTTATTCTTTTTCCTGGTCCCTTTTTTAGGTTTTCTAGATTCCTGCTATGAGTGAGACCATCCGGTATTTTTCTTTTTCTTTCTGGCTTATTTCGCTGAGCATGATCCCTTCCAGCACCATCCATGTTGCTGCAAATTGCATGTGTTTATCTTTTTTGAATGCTGAGTAATATTCCATGGTATATATGTACCACATCTTCTTGATCCAGTCATCTATTTTTGGGCATTTGGGTTGTTTCCAAAGCTTAGCTATTGTAAATAGTGCTGCTATAAACATAGGGGTGCAGGTGCTCTTTGGAATTAATGTTTCTGTGTGCTTTGGGTAAATACCTAGGAGTGGAATTGCTGGATCATATGGAAGCTCTATGTTTCATAGGTCAAGAAATCTCCACACAGCTCTCCATAGTGGTTGGACCAGTTTGCACTCCCACCAGCAGTGCAGAAGAGTTCCTTTTTCTCCAAATCCTCGCCAACATTTGTTGTTGCTAGTTTTTTAAATATGTGCCATTCTCACTGGTGTGAGATGGTATCTCATTGTAGTTTTGATTTGCATTTCCCTGATTGCGAGTGATGTTGAACATTTTTTCAATTTGCCTGTTGGCCATTTGTATTTACTCTTTGGAGAAGTTTCTTTTTAGCTTTTCTGCCCATTTTTTGACTGGATTATTTACCAGTTTGTTGAGTCTCATCAGCTCTTTGTAGATTTTTGTGATCAGTCCTTTATCATTACTGTTGTGTGCAAAAATGTTCTCCCAGTCTGTGGGATTTCTCTTTGTTTTTGTTATTGTCTCTTTTGCTGTGCAGAAGCTCTTTAATTTGATGTAGTCCCAGCTGTTTATTTTGCCTTCATTATCACTGCGTTGGGTGATGTGTCTGTAAAGATGTCTTTGAGGTGTATGTCATGTAGTGTTTCGCCTATATTTCCTTCTATATATTTTATGGTTTCAGGTCTTATGTCTAGTTCTTTAATCCATTTTGAGTTGTTTTTTATGCATGGTGTGAGGTAGTAGTCAAGTTTCATTCTTTTGCATGTAGCGACCCAGTTTTCCCAGCACCATTTATTGAACAAACTTTCTTTGCTCCAGTGCATATTCTTTGCTCCTTTGTCAAAGATTAGTTGACCATAAATCTGTGGGTTTATTTCTGAGTTTTCAATTAACTATTATTAATGTCCTGATTCTTACTTTCAGAAGCCGTTAAAGAGACTTTGGCCTCTTCATCTTCTTTCTTCCCCTCTGAAATCCAGAGCCCTACATACCCCTGCATCGCAGTTACCATTTCCCATAAGGTCTTAGTGACAACTCGGGGCTGCCAGGGCACTGTCCGTTTTTCCTTCAATCTGGAAGGACATTGGTGGTTAGAATAACCATGTGGTTCCTGTGCTTTCATGAAACCACAGAAGTATTGCCTTGTAGCCAAGGGTCTGTGAGTTCATCCTGTTGGGGCATTCACTGTAGGCTCCATGTTGTTGGAGCAGAATAGGGAGCTCTACATTGCGCTAAGTTTCCATGTTTGCTGTGTCTGAACCAAGAAAAAGAGTGACACAAATTTCTATAGAAATTATGATTCCATGAAAGATTTTGAGGAGATGAGGAAAGCTGGTATTTTTCAGAGTGCAAAGAGACTTTGGAATATGAAAAATATCTTTGGGTCAACTTCCATAGAAGTTTGTCATTGACCTGTGTGAGCATTTGGGCTAAGGAAGAGTTTCTCTTGATAAATAAATGATTGACACATTTTATAAGAAAAGACAACCTAGATTTGGTTGTACCCATTCTTTTCCTTGTTATCTTATGCACTCATTTAATTAGCATTTTCCAAAATTATTTCAAACTACAATAATAATACATGCTAAGCATTAAAAAATAAGTGGAAAATGTAGAATAGCAAAAAAAGAAAAAAAATTTCTGCAATTTCATCCTATGGAGAGAATCTGTTAATATTTTATTGTATATACTTCTCACAAGTTTCGAGATATACATGATACATGTACATTTTAAAATAAAATTTGGTGCTTTCTGTACAATCTGTTTAATAACCTGCTTTCACACATGTGATACAATAAAAGACAGTCTACCGATCTTCCATATAGAAATTTTTAGGGTGCATTGTTTGATAGAAACACAAGGATTTATTTTATCAATCTTTTATAGATGGATACTTGGTGTCCACCTAATTCATTACTGTCATAAATAATGCTGCAAGTGACATCATCATAGGTGAATCTGATTTCTATAGATAAATCCATGGAGAATTACTGAGTTAAAGAGTGAAAATTACTTTAGAGGGTTTTGACAGTTATTAACAAATGTTCCTCTAGAAAAACTATACCCATGTATTGTGTCTCACAGTTTAGAACTTTCTCTTTTCAGTTATGGGATATAATTGTATTAGTATTTGAGCATTAAGGACCAGATAATGGCAGATGTTTCTTCCTCCCAGGGGAACAGTCCTGTGCAGGAGAGGGCCTGGCTCGCGTGGAGCTGTTCTTGTTCTTCACCGCCATTCTGCACGGCCATTCTGCACTATGAAACTCTAGGCAGGTACTATGGCACGAGTTCGATCCCTGGCCAGGGAGGTGACCCACATGGCGCAGTAGACCTCTCCTGTCTCGCCCACTGCTCCCCTCAGCAGTTTATTTCAGTAGATCTGCCTGTTCTGCTCCCCACTCTGTCTCTGGTGAATCCTCTCACCCCCCACATTTCTGGCCTGTACCCCAGTTCTTCTAAGCATAAATAATTAAATCTTAAAAAAATAGTTTCTCTTCTGTTTTAAATACCACCTATGACAGAAACCCTATTTCCTGAGACCTGATGGATGAGGAAACATCACCACATCCCTTGACATGAAGGAGCTGCATCCTGAGAACTGCCAAGGTCACAGACACTGTTTTCCTACCCTTTGTAAGCCAGGTGTTGGCAGAACCAAACCAGGCCTTCAGGAGGCCTTAATTGAGCAAAGAGTGCAGCCTTCCCTCTTTCTCTGACTTTGAAGATACATTGATTTTTCTGTAGCTTCTCAAAATAGAGAAATTAATATAATGGCATATGTATATGTATATTTTTTCCTATTTAAGTTGAAAGCACATATAATTTCTATCACATTCAGAAAATAAATCCTTATTTCCACAATAGATTTTCCTTGTGTGTTTATCTTTAAGTCTCTAAAATTTCTTGCCTCAAGCCATGGGAGACCCCCATGGTAACCTCTTATCACAAACCTCACCCTGCGCACACCGCCTCTGGTTTACACTGGCCCAGGGACCTCCTTGGGTAGGAAGTCACACCATGTTCACAGTGAGGATTCAGACGGGATAGCTGTGTCTTGTTCAGAAGATGGCCAGGGTGGGATATGGGTTGGAGAAATAGGACAAATTGCAAGGAATGATCGAGCATCAGCAAGAGGACAGTGGCCTGGAGAAGAGCAGTCGGGATGCTGGGAGCAGTGGTTGTCGGGAAAGGATGGTTCAGATCCAGAACTTGGTGTCTGCTTGTCTTGCTGAGATGAAATTGAAGAAATATCATCATGAGCAAGACCCTCAATTTGAACAAGTCAGACTCAATTTCCTCATCTATAAAACAGAGGTCGCAGCGTCCTTTTTCAGACAGGTCATGAAAATTAACTAAGTGAATGTTGAGTTAGTACAAAATCATTCTCCAAAAATAGCTTCTGTCATCCTGAGCTTCTCCTCCTATGAAAGTACTCAGAAGGCTGAAGCTGAGAGTGAGTTCCCTTCTCTCATCAAGATGATGGAAAAAGGATGTTTCCCTCTTATGGAAACCAAGCAAGAGGGTCTTCATGACAAATGCTTAGAGATCCTGACAAGTGTCCTAGGACTGGAGAGGCCCAACAGACTAAGACCTGAGATGTACCCAGAGGTGTTGAACTGTGCAAACAATGCTTAGAGCCATTTTGGAGTGGTCTGACTTGCAGAAGCCGTGAGGCCAATGGATGAGTGGGTGTTTCCCACAGAGGAGCCCTGAGCCCTATGAGAGAGATAAAGACATCTTAGAAGGAAAGAGCCAGAATTACCTTTCTGATTTTTGAGCCAGAGACCTTGGCCTTGTCATCTTCTTTCATCCCCTCTGAAATCTAGAGGCTCCCATTCCCACACTTCTGCACAGGAAATGGTAGGTGCCCAATTCCTGTTTCTACCATTGTTAACACAAATTTAAGTTTAAACATTCTTTGTAGGCTGTTCACTGCTTTTTCCCTATTTCTGTTTCATGGTTTAAGGTGTGAAATTCCAGGCTTAGTCACTAGTCAATCAGTTAATATTTGTTAGAAATATTTCTCTGGTATAATCGTGATATGTTGGATTTCTCTAATATGTCTTATTATAGTGTTTTGTTGCTCTGAATCTAAGATGCCATCTGTTTCAAGACGCATTATAGTTTCATGACATTAAAATGTGAAATAAAGGGTTCCTTAGCATCAGTGAAATATAGTTGCTCCCTACATCCTACTTAGTCCATTACTGGTCCAGTTAACTGGCTGCGCAAGTCTGATGGCCATCAGTCCCATGGTCCCAGATGACCAGAGCACTGGGGTAAGGCTTCTCTTTTGCAGTTAACCTTCTGCCTGATAACCTGATACCTGATATGATGGCATATCAGTAAACACGTTACATTCGTTTTTTTCAAACTCAGAACCATTTTACTCCCAACTAGGAAGATTACACAGTACAGGTTATTGACAAATTAAGCAACAGCAGTACACAGAATGGACTCAGAGTCCACGCCACGCATATTTTCCATTGGCTAGTGGGAAATCTGGGTCAACATGTCACTGAACCAATGATCACCCTGTTGGAAGTTGGACTATTGGGGGCATGTGGAAGAGCCTGGTTTTCTGGAATTCCACTTAGTCATTTCCTGCCTGTTCTAAAGTCAACAAATGTAAATGCAGAGGAGATAGTTTATTATTTGTGATTACTTTTCAGCATTTGTTTAATATTTTTTTATACCAACTATAAGCTAGGGAATGGGAATCAAGAAACAAAAAAAGACAGTGTCCCTGCTCTTAAGTACCTTATATTTTAACCAGGGAATGCAAGCAAGTAACCCAACAATTATAACTGAATGCTGTATTTGTAGAGAAGCATGCACACAGTCCCCAGGAAACACAATAGCAGGAACTGAGGTCAGACCAGGGGTAAGTGGTAGAAAGGTCTAGAGAAAATGAAACCTGAACTTACGAACACAAATATCAGTCAGTTAACTTCCAGTTAGAAGGAGAGAAGATGTTCAAAAACTCTTTCATATTGGTGTATTTTACCATAATTTTTTAATTGGGGAGGAAAAAACACGAAGAGGTTGTGGGGTGTTTTGTTTTTTTTTTTTAAAGATTGCAAGTTGTTTAGCGTGGCGAGGAGCAAAGAGGGATGTTTGGCTTCGAAGAGAAGTGACCCAATGCTGGAGGGGCAGTAAACTTCAGAGAAGTTTGCACTTAAGCTGGGGAGAGAGTAGAACCAAACAGAGGATCTGAGTGGTGGAAGGAAGGGGTACCTGGAGCCAGGTGTGCCCTGCAGGAAAATCACCTTGGCTGCCCTGTGACTGGTGGGGGGAGAGGGCTGTTGCATGCAGGAGGGCGGTAGGAAGCTGTTGCATGGCCGGGGTCAAAGGCGAGTAGAGCAGAAGGGAAATAGTGTGGGTGGAGGCGGAAGGCAGGAGCAGTGTGAGGGTCGTCCAGAAAGAAAACCGAGAGGGTTTGCTGAGTGAGTAGCTGTGGGAAATGAGTGAAAGGGAAAGATTTAGAGTGGCGCCCATGTTTTTGTGTTGGGCAACAGGGGGTGCCATATCCCTAGAGGAGCAGCACTGGGGGAGGCTTGGTGCACAGAGGTTCAAGAGGGTGGCTTTGCAATCCTGGAGGCTGAGGCAGAAGGAGAAGCACCTCAGTCAAGGTGGTAAGAAAATAATAAATACAACTCACATATGCATAGCACTCTACAGTTTATACAAAACTTTACTGGAAAGTGAGACATGACCGGAGCATGTGGGGTCTGAGGGGAATTTATCTTGTTGGGTGGGATGGGGGAACCTCCCCTTCTAAAGAGCACTAAAAAGCAGCACTGATTTTCAGTAGAGAAAACTTCAGATGGATTTTGTCCGAGTGTTCAGTGTATTTTTGTTGAATGAATAAATGAACAAACAAAAAGCTTTATCATGGCATGGGTTGACTAGTTACCATAAAGATGGAATATGTGATTGAATAGACAATCATCTTCTTTTAATGATTGCTGTGCTTTTTATTTAAAAAAAATTTTAAGACTTATTTATTTATGCATACAAGAACTGGGGTGTAGATCAGATGTGTGTGTGGGGGGTCAGAGGAGTCATCAGAGACAGAGTGGGGGGCAGAACAGTGGATCTACTGAAATACACTGCTGAGGAGAGCAGTGCTGAGGGCAAGACAGGAGAGATCTGCTGTCCCATGTGGGTCAGCTCCCTGGCGGACCAGGGATGGAACATGGCTGGCAATAGCTTGAGAGTACTGTCTTTAACCCTTGCGCCACCAGGGAGGCCCCCTTAACAAGCATTTATTGGAAGCAGGCTCTTATCCCAGGGCTGGAGATGCATCAGAAAATAAGAGATCAATTCTCTTAATTCTCTTCTGTGAGGTGTTTATACCTTCCTAGGGAGAGAAGACAATAAATAATCAGCTATATAATATGGGATGGTAATAAGTGGCTTTGGAGAAATATTAAGCAGGGCAAGGTATAAAGGATTGGTTTCTCTTCATCCATCCAGATGACCCATTGTCATTTGGTGACATTTTTGGACATGGTTTATGTCTGTAAGGCTCTGCTCTGGCTCCTGGAACTGGGGTGCGGTGGGGTGACATTAGGCAGGGGTGCTCATTAGAAATCCTGGCAGAAGTGTGAGGTGGGCAGTTAGAAACAGCTGCCCCATTCAGAGAAGTGGAAACAAGAGCTATGAAGCTGAGAGTCATCTCATATGGGACTTGCATATGAGATCATCTGGAAATAAGTGCAGATAAAGAGAAGAAATTCAAGAACAGAGCCCTGTTGACTCCAGATGAGACAGGGTGATAAGTAGGGAATATAAGCTTTTTTCTCACCCCTGGCTTCCCCACAGCTTGTGTTTGGTTACTGCTGGGTCATTCAGATTTCAGATTGCACCTCCCAAATTACTTCCTTCATTTGTTTTTTTTAATTTATCCAGCACATTGTAGTAGGATTAAGCCATGAACAATAAGATAATCTCCTTCACCAACTTTGTCTTTGCTGGGAGAGGCAGCTAGCAAACATAAATAAGAAAAGAAATGAACTAGATAATTATGGACTGATAAGTCAAGTACTCTGAAGTAAGCAGGAGATAAGGCCTGGCACATCAAGAGGAGGCCTCTTCAGAAGACATCATCAGGGAAGGTCTCCCTGTGCAGTTGCCAGTTGTGCTTAGATCAGAAGTGTAAAATGAGCTGGAAGAAGGACATTCCAGGCAAAGAGAACTGGAAACGACTCGTCTTTGCTGAGGGCTAACTCTTCTCACTCTCCATGTTTGGCCAGGTTCCCTCTGACAGTCACTCTTACAACCCTCAAAGCCCAAACGTCTCTCAAAGAACGACTGGCGATTTGAATTGAATCGGACTCTTCATTCATTTATAGGCTCAGTTAGTTAATATTTATTAAGCAGAGTTAAATTACACTGACACTACCCAGCAGAAGTCCTCAGGTGACAGGATCACATCACAGAATTAAGGGATTTTAGCAGTAGGTGTAGGGCAGCATCCCTGTGCTACTGCCAATTTGGTTCTTATCTTGGGCCAACCCTCTGGACCATCTGTGGTCCAGACTGGACCAGTATATAGTTTTCACCCAGTATTTCCAGGAGGGAATAGCCATGTTTACTGACAGGTTATAACAGCATACTATTTCCTTGAAAGGCCTGTTAAAAGCACAGCAGGATGCAAAAGGAAAAATCAATAATGGGTTCACTTGTTCATTCATTCATTCATTCATTCATTCATTCAACAAATGTCTTCTGTGCCAGGCTCTGTGCTGGACGCTGGCTATTATCCCCAGAAGCAGGAATTGTGTATTAAGAGGCTGCACTAGGTCATAATACCCAACACAGTAGGTAGGGTGGAAGCAGGCTAAGCAATGTGATTTGGAGTCACTAAAGCTGATTTTAGCAGCAATTGCAAGGGTTGGTGAGGAAGACCCAGAATCTGCAGCGGGGGTAAGCTACCTGGGCAAGCAGCATAAAGAAAAGTGGAAAAGTAGGTGAGGAGGGCTTGCTCAGAAAACAGTAGGTGGTGAGAGGTGCCCGGGACAGGATGGCAAGGTCCAAGTGGATCTGCTAGGAGGGTCTTCAAGACCAGCTTGAGGCATTTGTGTACAAAGAGTCTCTGAAATTTTTTAAACAGGTATAATTTACATCTCACAAAATTCACCCATGTCAAGCATACCATTCAATGATTTCAGGTGCATCACCAGTTTGTGCCAGCATCGCCTTCAATACCCTCATCCCACCAACAAGATCCCTCATGCCTATTACCTGTTGTCCTCGTTCCCATTCCCAGCTCCAGCCCCCCGCTATTTTACTTTCAGTCTCTCTGTGGATTTACTTTTGCAGGACATTTCAGGCAAATAGAATGATACAACACACGGCTCTCTTACGTTGTTTTTTCCTTATAACATAGGGTTTTCAAAGGTCACCTGTGTTGTAGCACATATTAGGATTTCATTTCTTTCTATTGCTGAGTAGTGTTCAATTCTATGGCTAGCCCACATTTTATTTATTTATTTATCCACCAGTTGGTGGACATTTGGGTGGTTTCCCCCTTTGGACTGCTATGAATAATGCTTTACACAAATTATAGGAATTTACAGGAACAATGCTTTACAGGAATTATTGTAATACAATAATTGTAATAATTATTAATTATAATTATGATTGTAATAATTATTATAATACAATTATTGTAATAATTACAGGAATAGTGCTTTACACAAATTATAGGAAAGTCTTTTTTTTTTAGGTAGTACCCACGAATGGAATTCTTGGGTTGCATGATAAATTTACAGTTAACATTTGGGGCACTGTACTTAATTATTTTCTGTCTTTTTACATCTTTATGAACATTGATATATATTTATATCTTATGTTTTAGCATATTTATATATTAAGATATTTGTGTACCCAGTGGAATACTATTCAGCAATAAAAAAGATAAACTCATGCCATTCACAGCAACATGGATGGAGCTGAAAGGGATTATGCTCAGTGAAACAAGCCAGAAGGAAAAAGAAAAATATCAGATGGTTTCACTTATAGGAGGAATATAGGGGAAACAAATAAGGGATCAGGAAAAAATAACAATAAATAAAAAAATTAGCAGGCAACTATAAATCAGAGACATTCTGGGGGGGGGGATATCAAAACAGGGGAGAGAAGAGCACAGAGACTATGGTGATGATTCCGGGTGAATTGGTGGTGGGAATTTTACAGGGACTGCACCTGAGAGGAGAAATATACAAGCATACATTGTCCAAAAATGAACAACGACATAAAATATAAATAAATGGTATTTGTGTACCATAAAATTCACTTGTTTTAAGCACACAATTAAATTTTAGTATATTCACAGAGTTGGACAGCCATCATGCCAGTCTTATTTTAGAACATCTCTTCCACCCTAAGAAGAAATCCTGTGCCTATTTATAATCCTCTCTCAGCCCCAGGCAACATCTAATTTACTTTCTGCTTCTATATATCTGGCTTTTCTGAACATTTCTTGTGAATTGGAACATACAATATGTGGTCTTTTGTGTCTGATTTTTCAGTGAATATAATATTTTTAAAGTTCATCAGTGTTGTACAGTGTATCAGTATTTCACTCCTTTTTATTGTCAAATGATATGCCATTGTGTGGATGAGCTATATTTTTTAAGCCATACATCAATTAATGAACAACTGAATTGTTTCTACTTTTTGTCTGATGTCAGTAAGTTTTTGTGTGGATGTATGTTTTTATTTCTTGGGTAGATATGTAGGAGTTAAACTGCTGAATAATATAGTGAGTATATATAGTGAGTATATATTTAACCTCTTAAGAAACTGCAAAATTGTTTTCTATTTCACGTTCTCTTCAGCAATAGATGATGGTTTCAGTTTTCCCCTATTTTTGACAGTACTGATTGTGTGATTATGTCTTTTTGATTATAGCCATTCTAGTGGAGATGAGATGACATCTCATTGCGGTTTTAAGGCGCGTTTCCCAAATGACCAATGATGTTGAGCATCTTTACGTGTGCTTACTTTGGTGAAATGTCTATTCCAATGTTTTGGCCAATTTCTGTTTGGCTTGTCTGATACTTGTTGTGAGAGTCCTTGATGTATTCTGGATAGTAGGTAGACGGTTCTTGTTTATTTTTCCATTTTCTCAGTGTTACCTATACAGGAGAAAAGGGACAAGACCGCTCTGTGCTTCAGAAATATCATCTGACGGGGTTATGTGGGATGGCTGGAAAGGGAGAAAGAGCTCAATTTTATTAAATCTCCTTATATTGTAATAGCGGGAACATGCACTGGCCAAGTTTCTCAGACTTGTCTGGGAATCAAAGGGTTATCAGCAGCTCTTCATTGGAGCCTATTTACAGATCAGTTAATCAGTAAACGAGAATCAGTGAAACTATCCAATCTGTGGAAGTGCAAAAACCTTTCAAAAGGTTTTCCTGGATTAGGAGAAGCCAGGACATGGGGGAGGTGAGACCAGCAGCTATTTCGGGGCGGCGGGAGTGATTTCCAGCGTTGGAAGAGACGGTCTGCGTGCCCTTCCCAGCGGCTGTCACTCTGGTGTGTACTGGCGGGAAACTGGGACGAGCTGGTTCGCGGCTCTTGGATTTTGACTGGTGAAGAGGCGAGGCCAGGTGTTGGGGAGAGGTGGGACCCATTTCAGTGAGTCTCTCTGAAAAAACTCAGCAAGATGCCAGACCCGCTCTCAACCTTCCTCCACCTCCTCCTTCTCTTCAAGTTGGTTGCCCCCGTGACCTTTCGCCACCACCGCTATGATGACCTCGTGCGGACGCTGTACAAGGTGCACAACGAATGCCCCTCGGTCACGCGGATTTACACCATTGGCCACAGTGTGAAGGGGAGACTCCTCTATGTCCTGGAATTCAGCGACAACCCTGGAACCCACGAGTCCTGTAAGCCCGGGTAGTTCTTGGAGTTTATGGGGCAGGACACTTCCCTTGCAAATCCAGTTAATGGGATGGTTTCTGGAAGGCCCAAGAACCACTCCACCTGTGCAGTGTCAAGTCTTCCTTGGTCTGTGCTACATATTTCCCTTCTTAGCCCTCAACCTGCTCCTGCCTCTGGGGACCTGTAGCCACAATTCAGGTCCCAGTTCCTTCCTTCTTTTGGGGTTCTGTTTGCTCAAGACCTACTGACAAAAGGTGACTCTTTTTTGCTCTGGTCCCATTCCCTTCCTTCCCTCCCATAACCTTTGTTTCTCTCTTGCTGTTACCCAGTCTTTCCAAGCTGCTCCCCCAGGAGACCTAAGCAGAAACATTAGTTCTGCCAAGAAACTTAGAAGGGTTTAGGAATATCTCTTTGGGGAATGACAGTGTGATACGATGGTATCTTGGAGAGAGCTTAAAGTCCGGGGCACTTGTTTTATTTATTGGGTTATTTTTTATTCATTTGTTTCTATTAAAAATCAATTCATGTTTGGATTAAAGTTAAAAATTCAATAAAGATTAAAAAAACTCATCACAATTCCACTATACCAGTGGTCCCAGATGACCACTGCTAACCTATTTTTTTTTAAGATTAATTATGCATACAAGAACTAGGGTGTAGACCAGAGGTGCTGAGGGGGTGAGAGGATTCACCAGAGACAGAGTAGGGAGCAGAACAGGCAGATCTACTGAAATACACTGCTGAGGGGAGCAGCGGGTCAGATAGAAGAGGTCTGCTGTGCCATGTGGGTCAGCTCCCTGACATGCCGCAGTGGCTGGTGATAGCTTGATAGCACTGAGACTAAGCCCTATGCTACCAGGGAGGCCCCCTACTGATGTATATTCTACTAAACCCTTTTCTAAGCAGATTTAATCCCCTTTACCTAGACAACATTTTTAAAATAAAAATGGGATCATACTTTAACTGCTTTTCTCATTCCATAGTCTTTCATGTATAACATCCATATCTGTAAATGTCAATCTACAGCATCATCTTTTTGTTGCATAATTTTCCAATGCATAGTTGTCTTGAACTGTTCATGTATTGATGGACATTTACATTGTCTCTAATTTCTCACTGCTTTACTTCAATGATTGTGACACTCAAGTTATGTAAGTTTCTCCTTCAAACTGTCAGCTTCAAGTCCCTCTTTTCCCATCTACTTCCACACCCTCCACCCTAGCCCAAAATTCCACTACAACCTTTCTAAATTATTGCACAAGATTCCCAACTGTTCTCCTAACTCCTAAATGCCAACACTCTCTGAAACTTCCATTTAGCACACAGAAGCCAGAGTAATTTTCCTGAATATTGATATCACCTTCTCACTCCACTGCTTAAAAACCTTCACTGACAACCACACACCAAGGAGTTCTGTCCATGGCAGCTTCAGAATATTAAATAACCAATGGGGATGGCAGGGCGGTGACTCAGGGAAGACCATGTCATTAAATGAGGAACATGGCCTTGCTCTGAAGCTGCACTTACACAACAAGCACCCTGTATTTGCCCAGGTTGTGTATTCATTGTAGAAGCCAAGTCTATTTTGGTGGGTGTGGATGGACATTAGAGTTAGCACCTCACTCCATGCCCCCATCTTTCTGTGCCCCCTGCTTTCTAGCATTCAAGACCTTCCTTGAAGTTTTTTCATCCTATTTTAGCCTCCACCTATCCCTCTTTTCTCTGATGCCCTAAAACTTTGCAGTCCATTCCTTACACTTGTTTGTCATTCATTCAACAAACATAACTGATTATCTACTATATGTAAGCACTTTGGTGAATATACAAGAGAGAATAAAGCAAAAACCCAGCCCCCAGGATCTTCATTCTAGTGGGGTAAGAATGGCAATGAATGTGTAACTAAGTGAAAATATATTATTTCACATAAAAATAAACCAGGAAAGAGAGACAAGCAATACTGTGGATGATTGTGGATTGAGCGGGGATGAGTGGTTGCTACTTAGGAAAGGCTAAGGCACACCACCCTGGTGATGGGGAGAAAATACTGCAAGCAGTGGAAAGAGCAGGGACCTGCTTTGCATGGGGCATAGCCAGGAGGCTCCTGAGACTCCAGCAGTGTGAACAATGACAGATAAGACCACACAGGAGCTTATGAAGGCTCTCATTCTTTGCAAAGATTATGGCTTTTACTCTGAGTGAAGTGAGAAGACAGTGGAGGGTTTGGGGCAGAAGAGTGACAGGATCTGCTTTAATTTTTAAAAGATCACTCAGAACAAGGCTCAGCAACCATAGCCTGTTTTAGTAAATAAAGTTTCACTGCAACAGTCATGCCCGCTTGTTTTTAAATTGCCTATGTCTATTTTTGCTGGAAGAGTTGAATAACTATGATAGAGACAATAGTCCACAAAACCAAAAGTCTTTATTATTTACGACTTAACAGAAAAAATTTGACAACCCCTGATTCAAGAGAATATCTTGCATCTGGGCAGATGCAAGGAGTTCAAGTGGGACATTTATTTTAATAATCCGTGCATGTTAGTATGGGGACTTGAGCCAAAAGGATAGCTGTGGTGTTATTCTTGATATATTGAAAATAGAGACAAAAGAAATTTATATTGAGCACCCGCTAAGTGCAAGTCATCATGCTAAGTTCCATAGGGCAGTGGTTTCCAGACTTTTGGATTCCACAGAAAAGGTTTTTTTTTTTTTTATTTAATTTGAGAACTTTGTAGGGACTAAAATAGATTTCCCAAATTTTATTTTGCTAAACATGATGTTGAAGAATAATGCCTGCCATTTACAATCTCTATCTTTTCCTAAAAGAAGTGTTATTTTAACACCAATAAAAGTAAAAAAAAAGACATGATCTGAGATTAAAGAAATACACTAAGGACTGAGGAGTACACATTATAGAAAACCCACTATATGATCTTTGTGGCTCATAGATATTCCTTTGGGGAAGCCTGCTATAGTTGTCCTAAGATAAATAACAATGGATTGTGCCCTAAAGAAAATTAAAAATTATATAGGACATAAAATACAAAGGACAGGTCCAGTAAAAGAAACAATGTACAAAAATTAGGTAAAACTCAGAGCAGAGAGTGGTAATTAGAAGTTCAATAGAGTTTACTTCTAGCAGGGAGAATCCAATATGGCGTCACAGAATAACCTGAACTGGGACAAGGAGGATGTTGAGGAGAATTTGGAAATTTGGAGATGAGAGGTATAGAATGAGAACAGTCATAGAGGCAGGAGAGTATGGAATGGAGGGAAATCTTCTGGCAGGCGTTTTCTTGTTCCTTTTAAGAGAGCAAGAGGGCCTCCCTGGTGGCGCAAGGGGTTTAGACACAACCTATGAAGCTATCCGCAGCCATTGAAGCACAAGTTCTATCCCCAGCCAGGGAGGTGACCTACATGGCACAGCAGACCTCTCCTTTCTTGCCCGCTGCTCCCCTCAGCAGTGTATTTCAGTCAGTCTGCCTGTTCTGCTCCCCACTCTGTCTCTGGTGAATCCTCTCACTCCCCACAGCTCTGGCCTGTACTCCAGTTCTTGTATGCATAAATAAATAAATCTTAAAAAATATAAATAAAAAAGAGAGCCAGAATGATTTCTTCTAGTTGTAGAGGCTCTTTCATCCTTCAATGTTTACTTCAATCGAACAGTTAACAGAAACAAAGAGAAGACTTTCTCACACTCCTTCCTACTCTGTGCCTCAAGACATGATGATCTCAGATATAAAAAAGATATTTTACTTTCCTGAATCCCAAGAAAATGTAGCTTTCCACTGCTATGCTTAAGAGCTGTTCTGCTAGTACCCGAAGCGCTGGATGAGAGCAGGTTTGGGGAAACACCAGTCTTACCTGTAGAAATTGGTCTCTGAGAGGCAGTCAGCCACAGAAGCTGCTGCCTGGTCTTTGGCTCCCGTCATATTAATTAATGGATGACCTCCAAGAAGTTACTTAACCTCTTTTGCCTCTAGAACCCTCTTCCTGAGGCTAACCAAGCCTCCCTTATAGGTATTCTGTGAAGATTAATAAAAGTGAGCATAAATACCTGGTACACAGTAGGGCTTCTGTAAGAGATAGGATTATTATCCCTGACATGAATTTTTGCAGTATTTGCACTTGTGGATTGTTCGAAAGGGATTTGGGGGTTATTGGAAAAGACCCAAGAGAAGCATGCGATTTTCTTTCAGTCGTTACTAGAAAAAAAGGGACATGTCCCCTTGCAAGTGAGGAACCAGTGGCACTTGCAGGCTTCCCGCATCTTTTACCTTCCGGCGTGTATGTGTCTCCCACTTGCAGTGGAACCGGAATTCAAGTACGTGGGGAACATGCACGGCAACGAGGTGCTGGGCCGCGAGCTGCTGCTGCAGCTGTCGGAGTTCCTGTGCGAGGAGTTCCGAAGCCACAACCCGCGCATCGTGCGGCTGGTGCACAGCACGCGCATTCACATCCTGCCGTCCATGAACCCCGACGGCTACGAGGTGGCCGCCGCCCAGGTACTGAGCCCGGGGTGGCCCCGCAGGGAATGAAGCCGAAATGGGTAATAAAGTCAAAGCCGCGGGTGATGCATCCTCTACCCCAGCAGAAATGTAACAGAGCAAGACGACGGGGGGCTCGGCCCCCAGCACCCTAGGAGATGGATGTGGGCTCGCTCTGAGCTTCGGCTCCCTCAACACCTTTTCTGCCACATCCTGGTTTTCTTGTGGAGATCCCCAGGGCAGTATCTGTGATAGCACGTGTAAGCTCTGCAGTGAGAAGGGATATTGCAACATAGACCTCTTTCCCTGGACGTTCCAACTCTACATGCAGTTCTTCCGCCCACTTACACTTCTGTTTGCATTTGGAAGAGAAGTATCAGGGAGAACAGGCTTTTCCCAGAATTAGGGGCAAGGTTAATTCTGGATTCTTTATTATCTCTCTACTAGTGTGGTCCTCAGCTTTTTAAATCTTTAAGAGTTTCAGTTGCAGGAGATAATGTTTCAAAAATGTGTATGGACATTTACTTTATTCCTAACATAAATTGAAAATGCCAGTATGCCTGACTTTACACAAGTAATTCTTTTACTGGCTGCTTCAGAATAATCACAGGTGAAGATTCTTGAAATACAGATGCTCAGATTTCCCATGACTTCGCCCCACTCCAGAATCTACTGAATTAGAATTTTTAATTTAAAACTAGTCTTTAAACATGGTCTGTTTGTGTTTGGGGGAATGGGTGTAAATTGAAGGGTTTTTTTTTTTTTTTCAATCTTAAAGTTTATTTGGGGTAGTCTTGAAAATTCTATTCATTTTAAAAACTAGAGTTCACTAATTTTACATTAATTTTTAAAAAAATGTGTTGTGGTAAGAATACTTACGATGAGATCTACCCTTTAAACAAAATTTTGAGTATACAATACAGTATTGTTGACCATAGCTGCAGGTGATCTCCAGACTTACCCATTCTGCTCAATTGAAACTTTATCTCCCTTTTTAAAAAAGATTTATTTATTTGTGTATATAAGAACTGGGGTGCAGGCCAGAGGTGTGGGGAGTGAGAGGATTCACCAGAGACAGTGGGGAGCAGAACAGGCAGATCTAAGGGGAGCAGCGGGCGAGTCAGGAGAGGTCTGCTGCGCCATGTGGGCTGCTCCCTGGCTGGCGGGGGATTGAACTCATGCTGCAGAGGCTGGTGATAGCTTGGTAGCCATGTCTTTAACCCCTGCGCCACCAGGGAGGCCTGAAACTTTATCTCCATTAATTAGTAACATCCCTTTAGACAGTCCCAGTCCCTGGCAACCACCTCCCAGCCCCTGGCAACCATCCTCCACGAATCTGACCACTCTGTCCCATAAGAATAAAACCATAAACTATCTGTCCTTCCATGAACTTCCCAACCCAAGCATATTTTAAACCTATTGAGATTAGGGCCGGGGTGTGGACAGGAGCAGCCGGGGGAATGCAGTCAACATGTTGAATCAAACATAAATCTGACCCTTGCCATCTCTCAGCTTTCTGCTGACATGATTCAGCAAATGAACCTTCTCTGGGGAACCAGTCACCTCTGCTCACCTGCTGAGTACTTGCTCAGAAGGAGCAGATCTTGAACCTGAGCCCAAGAAAGGACCCATCAGGGTCTCAAACTCAGAGTTACCTGCCACACCCAAAGGAAAACTGTCTGCAAGGTTGTGGTGCAGGGAAGACCTCCCTGGCCACCAAACTTTAAAGCCAACTGTAGGTAAGGCAGAATAACAATTCCACCCCCCCCCCACAAAAAAAGAGGTTCACATCCTAATCCCTAATCTCTAGAACCTGTGAATAGCTTGTGTTCTATGGCAAAGGGGAATTAGGATACAAATGGGATTATTTGCCAATTAGGTTTGCTAATCAACTGCTCTTAAAATACCATGAATTATAAAGGTGGGTGCAGTAAATTAGTCACGAGGGAGGAATACCAGGAACATTATGCCTACTGAAAAAAGCCAAACATGTAATTTTATAATCCCATGTATGTGAAATGTCAAAAAAAAAAATTGGTACATCTATAGTGACAGAAAGTGATCACCTAGGCTGGAGTAAAAATGAGGAGTGAGTATAAATGGGCTTGAAATTTCTTTTTTAAGGTGATAGAAACATCTTAAGTCAGATTGTGGAGATGGCTGTACAACTCTGTCATCATACTAAAATGAATTGAAACTGGCAAATTTTATGTTGTCATATCTCAAAAAAACTTTTTTTAAATAGGGGACTTGCATTATCCTAAAGTACCCTACTTTTACTAGAGATTCTCCTGGAATCCAGACCTCCAGCCCATAGCCTAAGGGAAATTTGAACTGTACCACTGGGACTTTGGATAAGAGAGATAAAGCTAACACCTAAAAGGAACAATAGAGTGCTCTTTATTTTTTTAAAAGATTTATTTATTTATGAACTGGGGTACAGGCGAGAAGTGCAGGGCGTGAGAAGATTCACCACAGACAGAGTGGGGAGCAGAACAGACTGACTGACTGAAATACACTGCTGAGGGGAGCAGCGGGCGAGTCAGGAAAGGTTTGCTGCGCCATATCAGTAGCTCCCTGGCAGGCTGGGGATCAAACTCATGCTGCAGAGGCTGTGGACAGCTTCATAGTGCTATGCTTAACCCCTTGTGCCATCAGGGAGGCTCTTTAAATATAGGTGTGAAACCTTCATTTTTCCTCTTTTTGTTTTCCCTGAGGGCCCAGACATTTCTGCGTATCTGATTGGTAGGAACAATGCAAATGGAGTGGACTTGAACCGAAACTTCCCCGACCTCAATACCTACATCTACTACAATGCAGAGCATGGAGGCCGCAATCACCACTTGCCCCTGCCGGACAACTGGAAGAGTCAGGTATGAGAAAAACTTGCATATACAGGAATCAGCATCTGGAATTTCTCCTAGCAATGTTCATATCAACCAAGTAAGCAGGAATTAAGCATCAAGGCAATTCTGTGTTAATTTGTTCAGATCAATAATAACTAGCTCTTACTCCATGTGTCACCCAGGTAGAGCTCCCCACAGAGCACAAATTCATGACATGTTTGCTGTTAGTAGTGATGGTAGTGAAGGTCAAAGTGATGTTGGACAGTCGCAGGAAATTGACAGTTTTACAGAATTCTCTTTGCCACATTTTCATTGATCAAAACACTGTGTGGTGAATGCCTCAGGCAATGTTAGCCATTCTTACTTCAGCAGTATTACACTTATAGACTAAAAAATTATTTAAATTCTCACAGCTGATGATTGATGGAATCAGGATTAAAACCCAATTCTTCTGACCCCTCACCCAGCGTTCTTTCCACTGCTCTACACTTTTTTGGCACAGAACTCTGGCATTCTATAGCAAAACCTCTCCTGTTGATGAAGTGTGTGCTCACCAACAATTAGTTGTAGAAAGAGATTCAGAGAGACTCATGATTATAGTTTTTCCTCTTTCCTTTCTATACGCCCCCTGACTGCTTTACCATACACACGTCTCCCCTATTTTTTCAACTAGAGGGTCCCATTTCATGTTCCCAGCTCATACCCCAGGAGGCCTTGCTAATCTGAATGGTTTTACCTGCTGCTGGGAGTGATACTATATTCACTAGCAGTATAATATCCTCAGGGCATTTCCACAACTTATTTCTTTACTGTATGAGATAGTTCTAGTCATTCTATTTGTGAATATCTAATATAGAGACTGAGGGCAGGAAAATAAAGTAGGTGTGAAGCTTTGTCCTGGGTTTTTTTTTTAAAGATTTATTTATTTTTATACAAAAATTGGGGTACAGGCAAGAGATGTGGGGGATGAGAGGATTCACCAGAGACAGAGCGGGGAACAGAACAGGCAGACGGACCGAAGTACACTGCTGAGGGGAGCAGGGGGTGAGACGGGAGAGGTCTGTTCCGTCATGTGGGTTTCTCCCTGGCTGGCCGGGAATAGAACTCATGCTACAGTGGCAGATTGCTTCATAGGTTGTGTCTTAACCTCTGCACCAAGAGGGAGGCCCTGTCCTGGGGGTTTTTTAGATGGAGCACTTTTCCCCTTAGAAATGAAGCAAAGATCTTGCTGGCTTGTGTAGATTCGAGGCAGCAACTTTCGGCTCAAGCAACTAGCAAATCTAAAAAATGACTGTGCTAGTTAGCATATCCAGCTAGAAGGATGTTCTTATTTATTTAACATTCTCTAAATAAGGTCACTGAGCCAGTAGTAATTAGACTCCCCTTGGCAAATCTGTCTGAATCTTAGAAGAAAAAAAGACAATGAAACATCTGTCTCTGGTGAATCCTCTCACTCCCCCACACCTCTGGCCTGTACCCCAGTTCTTGTATGCATAAATAAATAAATCTTTAAACAAAAAAAAGGAAACATCTCTACTAATGGGGCAGCCTGAAGAGAAAAAAGTCATGGAAACTGGCCTCATTCTCATGAACACAGGTTTACGGCACGGAGAGAGAACAGCTTCAAAAGATCTGAGCCTGTCACAGAGCAGGACTTGTACCGTTGGTGTTAGATCCACTCTCATTAGGTGAGAATCTACCTTATTCTTTCAGCCCCTTCACGAAGGAAAAACCAGGGGCCTTCACAGCTGACCCAGGGCCCAGTTAATTAACACACTTGCACCATATAACCGCTAAGCATATCCATCCCGAGAGGAGGGAAATCACCGAGGATTGTAAATTATTTACTTGCAGTGCAAGTCCAGGGGATTCAAGCCTTTCTTTAGAATGCTGTCACTCACCAGCAGGACAGTATGCAATGAAAGTGTGAGATTTCGCTACTTAGCCAGCTCTGATCTGTGTTACATGCTTCCGAATCCATGAGATGTGGGTATGCCCATGGGAGTGGGTTCCACTGTCACAGAAGATGACTGGGGGAAGAAGGAGGTTGGAAACCATTACTGTAAGCCAGTGTTGTCCGTGTGTACTTCCTAGAACCCTAAATTTCTGCAAAAATGCTTCAGAAGTCACTAGAGAAGTGGGTGAATTGGAGAACCCTCTCCTTGTTGCCAGAAAGAGGCCAAGTTTCCTCTTATCAACATCTCCTTAGCATGGTGTTTTGGCTGCAGTCGATGTACCTGCACTGGCTCATCATTATCACCCAAGGCCTTAGTTTATATTTGTGTTTGCTCCTCCTGTTACTCATTCTGTGGGTTTTGACAAACTATTCACAACAGATCTCAACCTTCTTAGTATCACACACAAATGTTTTCAGCTATTTTGTATATTGGGATTCTACATGAGATTTCATTTTGAAAAAAGTTTCTACCCATTTAATTCTTAAAAGCAACATGCCAAAAGTCAAAATTCCCCTGTCTAGTTCTCTCGTATCTGGTAGGACTCTCTGATTTACTCAGACACGATGTCTCTTCAGGCCGCTTCCTGGCAGACTTACCCAAATGGCCATTTGGCACATCCAGTTGCAGCTTCATGCTGTCCTCTCTTCGCAGGTGGAACCCGAGACCCAGGCTGTGATCCAGTGGATCCGCTCCTTCAACTTTGTTCTATCAGCCAACCTCCACGGGGGGGCAGTGGTGGCCAATTACCCCTATGACAAGTCCATGGGGCATGGAGTCCGAGGTTTCCACCGTTCAGCCAACACCCCCACGCCTGACGACAAGCTTTTCCAGAAGGTGTGCGGGATGAGTGTGTCCAGCCAGAGGAAGACGGGGATCAGAGAAAGAACACAAGTCCAACATAGGACCCTAATAGAATGAGTCTACAAAAATATAACTAGAACATGGCCGGTGCATTAGAAGCGTGCAAGCTTGTCTTGTTTTGATTTTAAGCCACAAATTCATGAAAAAGTAAATCAATAGAAAATGTTATAATACAGTTAATGCAGTGTAAAAAATATTTATGCTAATGATAAGCAAGAAATGTGCCAAAAGAGTAATAGTGCTATAGGGGTAAGCCAGAGCATTCAGTGCGAATTTTGGAGATTTTATGGTACTATGACTATATTAATGAAAAGTAGACCACACAGAAAAGGTTTACATTGTAATTCAAAACAGCAACAGAATAAAACTAACAGGAAATTATGTTAATTTTTAATTAATTACTTTATAGTCAATATATTATTAGTAACTTAATTATGAAACAATAATTAATGGCATTACTTAATAATTCATCAGTTAATTACAGAGAGAATAATATCAGTCGTTGCTTTGCAAAGCAAGTATATTATTGTATTTTCTTCTCTAGTAATATCATTTTGTACATTGTTATAAAACAGTGAAGAGAAAGAGTTATAGAGATTCTGAATCTATTTCTCTCCCTTCAATACAGTTCTTTCCTGGCAAAGACTTATCTTACCTACTCCTTGATTTCTTTTACAAAGCTCAGCTAGAAAATAACACACCTAGAAGGCGGCTGACACATCATCTAGTGCCACCCCTCACTTGGCGCTTGAAGAAATATATCCCCCACATACTGGAAACATTAGAAGATAGGTTCCCTAGCTCCAGCCCACTACACACACCCCCACCACCATCACCATCTCTCTATCCCTGCTGGTATTTCCTTTCACTAACGCAAATAATCAGTTGTTTCTACTCGGGGTTTTCTTGGCTTCGCCCTACTTCTGAGTGTGAGCATTGCTATCCAAGTTGCAAGCACTCACCCTCATATTCTACCTGTTTTCCTTTAGCTGGCCAGAGTCTACTCCTATGCACATGGATGGATGCACCAGGGCTGGAACTGTGGGGATTACTTCCCGGACGGCATCACCAATGGGGCTTCCTGGTATTCTCTCAGCAGGGGTAAGGGCAGTTCCACTGTAGAAGGGCTGTGTGCTAAAGTAGGAGAGGGCTTGTGCCTCCTTCTAAATGATCATTTTTCTTTTTCTTTTTTTTTAAGATTTGTTTTTATTTATGCATACAAGAACTGGGTGTAGGTCAGAGGTGCAGGGGGTGAGAGGATTCACCAGAGACAGAGTGGGAAGCAGAATAGGTGGATCTACCGAAATACACTGCTGAGGGGAGCAGCAGGGGAGACAGGAGAGGTCTGCTGCACCATGTGGGTCAGCTCCCTGGCCGGGGATCGAACTCATGTTGCAGAGACTGCTGATAGCTTGAGAGTGCTGAGACTTTAACCCCTTGTGCCACCAGGGAAGCCCATAAATGATCATTTTTCTCAGAGAAACAACAGGACTGTTATGCAATTTGCATTCAAATAGCAATCTGAAAAATAGAGGTGTTAAGTTGGTATTTAATGTCATCCTGTAATTCTTTTAAATGAAGGGAAGGACACCTTTGGTTCTTTAAAACTGATGTTTTATTAAAAGATTGGTTAAAAAAAGGAAAAAAATACACCCTAAAAAAATCACCCAAACTAAATAAATAAAACTGGAGTATGTGTGTGTGGGTGTGTATATGTATGTATGTGTGTGTGTATGTATATGTACGTGTGTATGTTTTACACAACAGATTAGGGCACAGATTAGTGACGTTTTGGTCAAGGACAGTCCACATGGATGGCAATGGCCCCACGAGGCCAGCCAGCCAGCCTGGGCGTACAGTGGGCTGTACCATTCGTTTTTGTGTAAGTATATCCTGTGACTCTCTAATAACGCATTGCTCATTAAGTGATGTGTGGCTGTAATGTAGTTAGTGGCTAAAAATGTGGGCTCTGTCGCCCTGAAAGTAGTATCTGTGAACAGTCTAATATGAAGGTGCTACTAATAAGCCGACTTTGGAAATGCTAAGAGGGACAAGAAGAATTTAATTCACAAAATGGAAAAAAAGTGGAGGATGGAAATAATAGCATGAACATGTATAAAAACAGAAAACTAGAAAGAAAGGCATGTGGAGTGTGGAATGAGGAAATGTTTTATGGAGCAGACTATAAATGGAGATCAAAAGTAGAACAGAAGGTGGGGCCTCTCTGGTGGTGCAAGGGGATAAGTCACAGCACTATGACGCTATCTGAAGCCACTGCAGCACGAGTTCAATCCCCAGCCAGGGAGTTAACCCACGTGGCGCAACAGACCTCTCCTGTCTTGCCTGCTGCTCCCCTCAGCAGTGTATTTCAGTCAGTCTACCTGTTCTGCTCCCCACTCTGTCTCTGGTGAATCCTTTATGTATGCATAAATAAATAAATCTTTTAAAAAAAGTAGAACAGACGGTGTTTGGAAGGTTTGGAGAAATGGTGATTAAACGGAGTTAAGATGAGGCCTTGGCTGGAAATTGGCTGATACAAATCTCTCACTGCCATCTTTCCCCTAGGAATGCAAGACTTTAATTATCTCCACACCAACTGCTTTGAGATCACACTGGAACTGAGCTGTGACAAGTTTCCCCGCCAAGAGGAATTACAGCGCGAGTGGCTGGGTAATCGGGAAGCCCTGATCCAGTTCTTGGAACAGGTAAAACCCTGTTCCTTAATAGGAACAGGTTACAGAAGGAGAAGTGTTTTCTGATGGTGGGTTAGGTTTTGTGTGTGGTTCCGGTCTGAGTCTCGTATAATCAGATCTGACTCAGTACAGTCACGCATCACATGTTCTGAGAAATGCATCTTTAGGCAATTTTGTTGTTGTGCAAATGTCATTGAGTGTAATTACACAAACCCAGATGGTATAACTTATCTGCTGCACACCTAGGCTAGCCGGTGTAGCCTATGGACACCACTCTCGTACATGTTGTTCAAGACATCCTCAGGTGAGGCTGGACCATACAATAGATCTGGATTCTTCTATCAGTGATTCAACATGATTGAGCTATACTGCCTGTCGGAAACTGTGCTATATCCTGGGGATTGTAAATGAACAAGTGTCCCTGCCCATGAGGAATTTATATTCCAGAGAATATCATCTGCATGGTCTAAAGGTAGACAGTAACCAAGATAACAAAATAAACTGTACAGCATATAAAATGCAAAATGCTATGAAAAAGGCCTTAAAGAGATGATATTTAAACAACGTAAAGGAAGTGAGGGAGAGAACTATGCAGATGTGAAAGGGGGAACTCTCCTGATGAGGAACAGCAAGTCTCAAGCTGCACACAGCACGGAAAGGCAGCTCAGCCTCGCTAGTCACCAGGGAAATGCAAGCCAAGACCATGAGGACATACCTCCTCCTACTTTCTAAGATGGCTGCTATAAAAAAAATTTTTTAAACAATGACAGAAAATATCAAATGTTAGCAAGGATTTGGAAAAGTTAGAACTTTTGTGCATTGCTAGTGGGAATGTATGGTGCAGCTACTCTGAAAAACAGTGTGGAAATTCCTCAAAAAAATGAAAACTTCCCTAAGATTCTACAGTACCACTTCTGGGCATAGATCCAAAAGAACTGAAAGTAGGATCTCAAAAAGATACTCAGACATTTATGTTCATAGCAGCATCATTCACAGTAGCCAAAAGTGCCCATTGATAGCTGATTGAATAAAATGTGATCTGTGCCCATAATGGAATATTACTCAGCTTTTCAAAAGAAGGCAATTCTGACACAGGCTACAACATGAGTACACCCTGAGGGCTTATGATAAGTAAAACGAGGTAGTCACAAAAAGACAAACACTATTATTTCAGGCAGAAATGGGGAATCACTTAATGGGTACCATGTTTCAGTTTTGCAAGATGGAAAAGTTCTGGAGATTGGCCATGCAAAATGCAAATATACTTAACACAGTTGTACCGAGCACTTAGGAATGGTTAAGATGGAAAATTTTATGTTAATTGTATGTTTTCACTATTAAAACCTTTTTATTCCATTAAAAAAAAAAGACCAACAAGGCCAGAACACGAGTGTGTCTGGAACAATCATGAGAATAAGGATGAGGGCAATGGGAGATGAGATCAGAGAACTCCCTGAGGCTGGAGCTTTATAAACTGTCCCTCATACTTTAGCTTTTGCTATGAGTGAGTGGGATTTTGGGCAGATAAATGATAAGATTTCACTTAGATACTGTAACAGAATCATTTTGCTTTATTGAGAAAAGATTATTGGGGATAGAGAGGTGCAGAAAGACTAGTTAAGGGTCTGTTACCATGGTCTTTGTGAAAATCAAAAGCAAAAGCATATGAGAAAAAGCTTTGAGGACTCTTAAACACTGTGCAAATACTTTAGGGTCAGAGCTATGCACAATAACATTTTTTTTCTACAGGTACACCAAGGCATCAAGGGAAGGGTGGCAGATGAGAATAATAATAACCTCCGAGACACTGTCATTTCTGTCGATGGGATTAACCACGATGTCACTTCAGGTAGGTAGCCACTACTTGGTGGGGTGAGAAGGAAGCTTCACCTCCTCGTCTACTTCAGCATAATCAGGAGGCTAGTTTGTGAGTGAGTGAGATGAGCAGAGATGGCGAGTGGGGGTGCAGGATTGGAGGAAGGAAGCATAATAGAAATGGGAATGATGGATTAAGAGGCAAGGACCAGTAGGATGTAAATGTAATGTCTTCAGCATTCAGGAGTCACTGCCTCCTATAGCTTTTTTGGGGTGTTTTCTGGCTTGAGCTTATCAATGGCTGAAAGGCTGGAATGAAATGGGTTAGAAAAAGGAGAAGAATATAAAACTGTTGTTTAGTCTTATCTCTATCACAGCATTTTGCTAAACCGCCATCCAGAGAAAAGTAGCAAGATTCATTCTGTGGGCTTACTGCACAGCAAGATTGATGGTGGAGGCAGATCTTGTTGGAGCCATCTTGGAGCCTTCTAAATATTTCATGGTACAGCAGTATAGCAAACTGACCCAGACTGGTTTGATCATGGACAACTCCTAGGTGTTTTTTGTTGTTGCTGCTGTTTGTCTTTTTTTTTTTTTTAAGATTTATTTATTTATGCATACGAGAACTGGGGTATAGGCCAGAGGTGTGGGGGTTGAGAGGATTCACCAGAGACAGAATGGGGAACAGAACAGGCAGACTGACTGAAACACACTGCTGAGGGGAGCAGTGGGCGAGACAGGTGGGGTCTGCTGCACCATGTGTGTTGCTTTGCACCCTGGCCAGCCAGGTATCGAACTGTGCTGCAGAGGATGCGGATTGCTTCATAGTGCTGTGCTTAACCCTTTGCGCCACCAGGGAGGCCCCTGTTTGTCTTGTTTTTAATGTTTTGTACCACAACCTCAATACCAGCAAGGCTCAGAAACATTTTACTACACAAACCCTCATTAGCACATAAGCATTTTATAGTCTGTTTAAACCAGATGAAATATCAACTTTAAAAAACACATCAATTTTAAGGTGATTCCAACCTATCTTACATGAAAGGTTAATTCACAGCAAAGGGAAAAATATTCTAGAGACAGCCTTTTGTAATTCACAGGCTACACACACCAAGAATCCTCCAACACAATGGCTGGACTCAGATCTGTTTAGAGTCCAAACCTAGGGCATCCCTGAGGGTTTCCAGGCTTGCTAAATTATTATACATTGTGCGTGCAACAGTTGGGAATATCTGAAACATTCTAACCAAACATTCTAAACTCATTTCATCAGTGAAAGAACTCATTGCTAATTTTCATTACGCTGTTGAGCAAAACATCAATGTTGATGAGGCAGAGATATAGCTGATGGCCTCATCATAGAGCATCTGGTGAGCTGGCCACTCCTGCATGTCAACTCCCAATTAAAAAAAATGGCAGCCCCCAGGGTATAACCTAACGTATCCAACATGTGCATAATAGCACACTGCCTTTAAGGTGTTTCAAGTAAATTATACACATTTACTAGGGGACAGACAAGAGGCTTCCTTATTATTTATTATCTGTCCTATTTTTAATCTCATTTATTATTTCTATTATTCATTGCTGTCTACGTAAAAGAAAATTTAAAGGTATAGTCACAATTGATTCTAAAGACATATAAAGTCATTAGCCAAATGCTGTATCCGTGCCATAGAGAAATTGGCTTTCTGTTGAATTTTAGCTTTCCTTTAGCACACTTTTGAAAATGGAAGAAATATTAAAAATAGGATTGTCAAAATTAGACCTAGAGTAGTCATTCAGTCTAGCCCTCCTACTCAATATAAGACAATACTGATGGCTGGTTGTCCCGTCTAGGGCCACCATGTGCATCAGTACAGGTTGTACACTGCACAATGTATAGCTTTGCCAGAGCTCCTCATTCAGTCTTTGCTTAAGTGTCCATAATTTCATTAAGCAGTCCGTTTCTTTTTCTGGTAGCTGTTTGTCATAATAGTTTGACTTTTATCTAGAGAAATCTTTCTCTCTGCAACTTAAACCCATAATTTGCATTCGCCTTTCTCTAGGTAGATACCACTTCTTCAGTGACTTTTCCAGGTGAAACCTTCAACCTTTCTCTAAGTGACCCATTACTGGACATGAGTTTACTTTAAAATACAAGATCTAAAATTAAATACAGTATTCTCGGTGCAGGGTACAGAAACTTCTGCTTCCCAGAAGCTGAGGCCCATTCTCTGTTCGGTTCCACAGCCTACAGTTCTTTCAGATCCTGACCAGCTTCATCAGATTATTAAGGGAAGTCAAGCCTGTGGTCAGCTAAACAATCAGGTTGCTTTTCATGTCAAAGCCCCACAGGGGCAGATTTCTAATCAGCAGACTGAGTTTTATTTTTGTTAACTCTTAGGAGATGATGGTGACTACTTCCGGCTGCTGCTTCCAGGCACTTACACTGTCACTGCCACAGCACCCGGGTATGTCCCAGAGACTGTGACTGTGACCGTGGGGCCTGGGGAGCCCCAAGAGGTGAGTTAGCCTGGCCTTTGCAGAGCACACTGTAAAGATCAGTTACAGAGTCACACAAACAGAGGATTTCATAGTTCTGATCCGAGCCCAAGATTTCCTCTTTCACTATTAAAAACAAAATCATTGCTCTCAGTGGCTAAGTTTTTCCCTGTCACTCTCCTGTTCCCTCCTCTCGTGCTTCCTTTTGGCTTTTCCTTCCATGTGACACAGCACAATGATGAACAGCACTGTCTGATTCTAAATCCGATTCGTTTGTCCACAGACCCTGGGCAAATGCCTAGTGTCTGTCCCCTCAGCTTCTTCCTCTATAAATTGGTGATAACAGTACCTCCTCCGTCAGAGGCTGGGATGAGAAAGTGCACACAATGCACCTAGTACAGTGCCTGACACGTGCAGAGGGCTCCCCGAATGCTAGACATGTGCAGAATGCTCCTGAAATGCCAGCTTGTGAATGTCAGGAACCTTCCAAGTTACAGGCTCCGGCGTCCTGTGGGTTCCTTCTTCCATGCCATTAGCCAGGACCACCCCCAGGTGGCGCTGTCCCCTTCTGGTGGCTTGTGTTTGCCACCTCAGCACAGAGCCAGCTGCTCTCCAGCCCTCCTCAACCGTCCGTGGCTTTCTTTTATAAGTATGGTGAAGGGGAAGGACATTTTTTGGTCTACAGCCTGTCCATTTTCTAGCTTTGGTCATGCTAGATTAGGATCTCAGAGCTGAGGGGGCCCAGCGGTCATGGATGAGGAAGGGTAACGTGGATATCCCACTCTGTGAGCCTCTGAGCCTTACTTCCCACACGTCAGCTCTCCCCTAAACACTTCCCTCTGTCCTGTCCCGTCTTGACACACACCAGCGCCCCCAGACCTTCCTCCCCTTCCCAGTCAGTGCACAGAGGCCAGGCAGCTTGTCCTCTCAGACTCCGTCATGGGCACCACTGGCTGTGACTCTGTGTGAGACCCTCTGTGAGAGCTTCCAGATGATCTTGTTGAAGTTTCACAAGAACCCTGTGAGGTAGAGATAATGACCCCCATTTTTGGCTGAGGAAACAGAAACTTGAAGAAGGTGAGAAGCTTGCCCAGCAGCACACGGCGAGTAGGTGGGGGAGAGTGATACCCTGTCGGGCTTTCGTGGCCAGTGTGCTCGGGCCTCGTGCTCAGCTCTCAGCCTGTGTTTGGATCACCCAAGGGTCAGGGCGAAGAGTTCTCTCAATGCTTTAGCAGTTCCTCTGAAGTTTCTAGATAGCTCTGCCTCTCACCTCTCCTGTTGCCTCCTGCCCATCTCCTGCATCATAGAAATAGCTCTCACTTGCAGATGCGGGGAGCAAAGTGTCATTTCTCTTGCAGCCTGTTAGCTTGTGCCAGCTTCCAACCAACACATCCTCCTTCCCTATTTTCCTCTTAGGCTCCTGGTCCTCATGTTCCCTCAGACCAGGGGCTGCCAGGCAGCGGCACACGCGAGCCTTGCGCTGCAGGCAAGTCTGTTGCATGCTCAGGGCAAACCGCCTTGGTCATGAGTCACATACTCTGTTTCACAAGATTCACTGCCTGTGTCATGTCTCCTTCAAATAAATGAACATGACCCACCATTATGTCAAACGTAATTCATGGAAAAACCGACTTTTGGGTGCAGTTCCCAGACACGGTAGCACCTAAGCGCCATGTATGGATCCCAGCAGACTGTCCTTCTCATTCTAAAGCAGAAATCCACCTGGCTGGGGAAGGGAACAGTAAAGATCACCTACTAGGGCTTTTCATGGTGCAGTGGGGACTTTTTTGAACACCTCCCAGAGTCCAGTGCTTCCCTCTTCACTTTCCCCCACAGCTTTCCAGATTTCATGCCCCTTTCATTTTCCTTGGTTCTTTCCTCATTTTGTCATCTCTTCTCTCCTCCTCTTCGCTCCTCCTGTCTCTCCCTCCCCCACCCTCGATGCCCACCCAGCCCCTCGTCCTGATCCCCTTATTGCTACATTATAGGAACCAGTCACTGATACAGCGCACTTGGCTCTGATTTCCCCACTTTGGGAGTCAGCAGAAAAGCTGATGGGGCTTTGGTGGAAGGGGCAGTTAATGACCCCAAAGGAAGATCTCTCACTAGAGGTGTTTCAGCTCTCAACTGGCTTCAGCAGCTCAAGCTGTCCCAAAGGCCAGATGGTTGGGGATGTCCCAGGGGCGTGTGTCAGATGGCTATCCAGTTCCTTCTCTCTTCACATCCTGGTATGGCCCTACTGCTCCTCCAAAGCCAGCCCACACCACACTTATCCATCCAAAAACATCTTTACATCGGCACGCCGTGGCTGGAGGGAAGTCTCCATATATTTCTGGAGACAATGCTTTAGTGCATATGGACATTTAGAATTTAAGGACTGGCAAGCTACCTACGTCATCTACATAGCTGTATTTCCCAACAGGCAAGGCAGTCTGAGGCGTTGTTGGCAAGATCGAGCACACCTGTGACTCAGGGCCCTCGCAGAAGGGGCTCTTCTGGCCCTGCTGTTGCTCTTGTCCCAGCAACAATATCGGTCAAATCATGGTTGGAAGTGGAGATACCATTTTTCCCGATACATATGAAATAAATGTAGATTAAGTTCATCCAGATATACCATATGTATCACCAGTGATTATGATCCACTTCGGGGGGGATATTAGCCAGTCCTACTGACACCACCGATGCTGCGCTGTTGGGTTGTTGCCATGATAATTCTCCGTAGTCCCCGGCCCTCAGGAGCCAGACCGTGGAGGAACACAATTCCTGCTCTTCCCCCAATTTTAATTCCAAAAAGTGGAAAACTCATTCCTATACTCTCCAAGTGACTTCCATTTTTTTTTTTTCTTCTTTTTTCCAGGTTAACTTCTACCTCAAGAGAAGCATCCCTCAAGCAACTCCCACTAGGACAGCTCCTGACTCAGTGTATGAGGACAGAGTTTTACAAAAGAAAGTACAGCCACGGGTAGCTAGGAAGAGAGACAGGGGTGTGAAGTAGCCCCAGAGTCCCTGCCTGAAATCTGCAGTGCTCAGCACTTTAGAAAGCCTTTATTTCTGTTCTGCAATCAGATGAAGCTTTCTTTCTGTTTTGTTATCTGGGACATTTTTAAATGTAAACAAATTCAGAACAGATCAGAATGGCCCCTGTGTCCCAGAGGCAAGGACTGTGCCACAATAACGTACACTTAGCGTGCTCAGTAAGGTTTTCCAATTCTCGGGTCTGGTTTATGTCCAGAAGGCTCCGTGCCAGTCCAAGACTGGTTCTGGCTGGTTGGCCTGTAACGTAGCTGGCACTCAATAAAGCTTTCTGAATGGATGGGTGAAATGCTGAGATGATCCATCATTAATGTTGTTCCCATAGCAAAACCAGGTGACCAGTTCTTCTGAAATCCCAGAGGACCAGGTCAACACCAGCCAGTAGTTTCTCAATAAAAAAAAAGGATTTCACACACAAATACCTGGTCCCACTGCTATCTGTTTTTGTACTTGGGCTTTTTATTTTATTTCATTTTTTTATATTCAAAAGGGCAGCTTTATTATTTAAAAAAAAAAAGGAAGGTGGGCCTCCGGTGGCGCAGCGGTTGAGCGCGGGGTTGCGAAGCTGCCCGCGGCCTCTGCATTGCTGGTTCGATCCCCAGCTGCTCCCCGGCCACCGGAGGAGGGTCCCACATGGCACGCAGACCTCTCCTGCCACCTGCTGCTCCCCTCAGCAGTGTACTTCGGTCCTTCTGCCTGCTCTGCTCCCCGCTCTGGCTCTGGTGAATTCTCTCACCCTCCCGCACTTCTGACTGTACCCAGTGCATGTATAACCAACCAACCAAACAAACAAACAAACAAACAAACAAACAAACAAACAAATAAATAAATAAATAAAAGGAAGGGAAGTAAGGGATGCTTGTGCAGACACAAGCGGGCAGAAAGAGCTGCCCCTGAAAGAGGCCTGCATGGTCTCAGGCCAGCAGGCTGGGTCGGAGAGCTGCCTCTGCTGCTTTGCAGAGGGAGGTTGGTGAAGAGAAACACCTGCCTAGGTACAGGTGGGCAGGAGGGCTGTTATCATACTTGGGTGTTTTTAAAGAGCTTGTGCCTTTCAAGACATTTTCTGGGTATGTAAGTATAATGCAGATGCCTCTGTGCAGTGGTTCTGTCCAGACCCTGTCACTGTGATAGTTACAGCACCTGAATGACTTCCCCAGAATGAACCCACTCTACTAAAGTGGGTGTCACTGAAGACTTCGTGTGGTATTTCACTATATGGCTCACAAGTCCACACCCACACCCACCCCCTCAATTAGGCATGGGAGGGTCCCCAAATCCCCTATCCCTGAGGCTTGTTAAGGGTTCTTTACCATGCACCCTGTTTCAGGTCTCAGCCTCAGTTAATAAGCAGGGCAGGCTTCCCCCTCCCTCCCCAGTTAACTCAGCCCTTTCTTAACATCAGGCAAATTAGCTCCTCTCAACAAGTGTCCCACACCCAGCCGAAACCAGAACCAAGTGATGCTCGGTGACCCCCTGCCCTCTGCAGGAGGCCTTCCAGGATTAGGATGAACACGTGATTTTTTTCTGTTACTTGAGCCATCTCCATCTGTGGTCAGAAGGAAAACAAGAGAAACGTATCTTTTCCCCATTTAGAAAGAGTATTCTCTCCTCAGGTGACTTATCCTTTCTCTACATCTTTCCCTTATTCCCGATTTTAATCCCATGTTCCTTGTTTCCCTTCTTGTTATAAAAGAGCAGCTACTTGGGAGAGCTCTTTTCTTTTCTTTTTAAAGATTTATTTATTTTTGCATACAAGAACTGGGGCACAGGCCAGAGCTGTTGGGGGGAGCGATGAGAGGAGTCACCAGAGACAGAGTGGGGAGCAGAACAGGCAGATTGAAATATACTGCTGAGGGGAGCAGCGGGCAAGTCAGGAGAGGTCTGCTGCGCCATGTGGGTTGCTCCCTGGCCGGGGATTGAACTTGTGCTGCAGAGGCTGCGGGTAGCCTCACAGGTTGCGTCTTAATTCCTTGCGCCACCAGGGAGGCCCCATTGGGAAGGCTCTTTTCACTTCTGAACAGAACTGATTTTGAAAGTAGAGTCTCATTGCCTTCCTTGGCTCAGCCACATACTTTCATTCACTCATTCATTCACTCATGCAGAGGGCGTTTACTGAGTCCTTGCTTTCAATAAATGCAGAGAATACAAATAAGATACAAGCCAGCACTCTCAGGACGACCGGGTCTAGGAGACAATAGGTCATCTTACTGCACTGTGATCATTGCTGATTCAGTAAACTCCGAGGTGGGGTCAGGGAATCTGTGAGAAGGGCCCTCCTATAGTCTTGGGAAGATCTGGAAAGTCACTCCTGAGTGGGAAGTGGGGGAGCAGTAGGCCGAGGAGCTGCAAGTGCAGAGGGTGTGGAGGCTGGAGAGAGGGCAGTATCTGGGAATCAGGAGAAATGCACTGTGGCAGGAGTGAGTGAGCTGGTGGGAGCAAGAGCTCCAGCAGGGTAGAGGACCAGGTCTTGAAGGACCTTTGAACCACATTACAGAGTTTGGACTTTATCCCGGGAAGAACAAGGAGTCATTGAAGGGCTCTCCTGTAGGGAGTGGCTGACCAGATTTAGAAGGCTCTCTCTGGCCGTAGCCTGAGGGTTGGCTGGAGCAAGGGCAAGGCTGAGTCAAGCAGGAGCTGCTGACCGCCAGAGAGAAGGTGGCCTGGACCCAGCAGGGCCACAGCAGTGCAGAAGCACCAAGAGTTCTCTCCTGCTTATCGGGAGAGCTCCCTACCTGGCGCCGGGGCTTCACCACCGTGTCAAGGTGTTCTGTTGAAGACTCTGAGTTCTGCCCAGATCCTCCTGTCATGCTGCAGATTTAAAGGCATTACTGGTTTTTAAACCCTAAAAACTACTCTGAGTAAAAGTCACTCAAGCTGGAATTACACAGTCAGAACACTTATGGAAAACATAGCCTCTGGCCTTAACCCTACGAGACAATTTCTCGGCACATCAAGGAAGGATGTGCTAATAGGGGACAGAGAGGAAGGGGTCACAGACCAAGAAGGGAGGGCTTCTGAGTGGAGTCTACCACTTTCCTGCCGGGCCCCTTACTATTTTATACCTGCATATCGGCTCGCAAAGAGAAAATCTACACAGAACGCCAGCCAAGGTAGATGGTGCTCCCTGAGGAGAGAGAAGGCTGTGGTGAAAGGCATAGGTTTTAGGCTCTGCGCACCTGGACTTTGACTGTAGTTCTGTTTGTTATTTGTTGTGTGACCCTAACCAAGTAACTTAGCTTCTCTGAGTCATTGTTACTCACCTGGAAAAAATGGAGCTAATAACTACTTCTCTTGGAGTCTGTGAGGATTGAAAGTAATACTCATGAGCCAGTAGGGCGGAGACTGGGGCGCTCCTCAGGGGGTTTTCACTCCTGGGGCTGGCTAACTGTAAGCAGGGTCTGACCCAGACACCAGGATTTCGGATTGCAAAGAGGAGTGAGTGAGGCCATTTCCTAATGGGCTGGACTACCCCCACCCTGCATTATTTTATTTTTTTACTCTCATGTGCTAGAAAATCTTTATTAGTTCCTTATCCTTTCTGGCACTTTCAAATTGAAGATTTCATGACATAGTGTGGTGCCAGCCAGCACAAGGCAGACTCTCTGGATCCGGCAGGCGGGTAAAGGAGAGTCCCGGAGCCCTCAGTGGCTTTTTCCAGGCTTTTTATGATCTTTCTACACCATTTGTAGTGTGGCAACCAGGTGCAAGGCAGGCGGAGGGGCTGGGGGCCCCCAGCCAGAGGATCTTGGCTCTTTCTCATTGGGCTCTCTCAGGTGGCCATCATCTGTGGTCTCTTTCTCTCTGTGGTCACTCTTTTCTGGTAGCCCCATGCTGTAGTCTGCCACAGCCATGCTCTTATGTGATGCCACCCGTATAGCCTCAGCCTCCAGGCTCAGGTGCGCCCACTTACGCACGCCCACACCACACTCCTGGGGTCCGCCATCAGGCATGCATGCCCCGTCTATGCTCCAAGTGCCTCCTGCATTTAAGGCCGCAGACGATAGCCACAGAGGCCAGCGGTGTAAAAGTCTAGCAATTTCACTTACCTTATACATAGTAATTCTCCTTCTCTTATGACATAGGAGAATTTCCAATTTTCAAACAGAATGATGATTTTGGACCTGGACTGTTTCCTCCTGCTTTCCCACCCTCCTGAGGTTTCTGCCCTGGTAAGCTGTGATCCTTCTGTCTTTCCATTTTAATCAATGGTATGCCCAGTGCTCCAAACATATATAAGCTCATGTATGTTGGCTGAATGATCGCCAAGATTGCATTCATATTTTTTCCTCCTCTTTTTCATTATGTTCTTCTTTTTCTCTACTCTATATAGCTTTAGCATCTATTTTTTGTTGTTGTTAGCATCTATTTTTTGTTGATAAACCATAGGAGGGGAATTCTGGATTCCTGCAGACCTGGCCCTGGATCACCCCTTCTCTTGCATGTGGCAGAACCTGTGATGGTATCAGTCCCATCATTTGTTCCATTAGATGGCAAAGGGGATTTTGCTGGTGTAATCAAAGTTCCCCATCAGTTGATTCCAAGTTAATCAAAAGGGAGCTTATCCTGGATGGGCCTGGACTAATCAGAAGAGGTCTTTGCCAGCAAAGAGCTTCTCTGGCTGGCTCAGAGGAATAACGCAGACAGGTTGTGAACTGCCTATGAAGAGGAACAGCCCCTAGGAGCAGAGGGGGATCCCAGTGCAACAGCTGGCAAGAAAACAGAGACCATAGTCCTAGTGCCAAGGAAATGAGTGGCGCCCGTGATCTGGATGAGCTCAGGCCATGTCTGAGGGCAGCTTTGTGCGATGGGAGCAGAGGCTTCAGCTTAACCTGAGGGTTCAGACCCTGATCAAAGAAATGATGGCATAATACATTTGTGCTGTTCTGAGTCTCTTAATTTGTGCTGGTTTGTTACACACTCATAGAAAACTTACACATAAGTGACCTCAAATTGTTAATTAGTTAAGATACTAAACAAATGAAACAGAAAAAACCATTCGGTCACCATGATGAGTGATAGAGCTGCTATGTTCTCACCTGAAGCAAATGTATGTAAAACAAAGCTCAGAAACATGTAACTTTTCAAGTGAGAGGCTGCTGTGGTCAACTTCACCCAGTGGGTGACTCTGCCATCTTCTCTTTCTAAAGAGCACATGTCGGGGCCTCCCTGGTTGTGCAAGGGGATAAGTCTCAGACTCTGAAGCTGTCC